TTGTTAAAGGCCTTATACACTCTTGTTAATGTCACTGTGTTTCACACCGGCCTTGGTTAGATCACTTTGCCTCGCAGTCACAAAGGTTGTGAGTTTAATTCCTGGTTGGGTTTGCATTTTAGTCATCCTATGGAGTTAGTGACCTCTGCCATGGTAACATGGAGTTTGCACCACTGTCCCAGGGTAACCATGGGCAGATTCTAATTTGCCAAATGGACACATTGCCGAATGTTCCTTTTCATTATATTCTTTCGTGTGAAAAACGTTCCAACATCTCTCATTGCAAACAATGTGCAATATTGTCAGGGTGATGTTTCTCAGACATTCTTGCCAAGATGTAAAATCTCATCCTTGGACTTTGACTCTATAGTCCTCGGTGCCGCGCGAACTTATACATTGAACGTACTCAAGTAAAAACACAGCGTGCCGCCGGCAATAAAGGAAGAGGCTGTGATTTTGCATATTTGTTTAAAAAAAGACAGGTATTACTTGCCACCCGCACTGAATGTGTCTGCTGCAGTGGGATGTGTGGGTGGCTAATTTACCCGCGACACCCGTTGTTTGATCGTACACCCGTGGGAGCAGCACCGAGAAGACTGCTCGTGTTTCAAAGGTTCGCTCCATCATTTAGGTGTAAATGGGCACATGTGGTTGTCACGGTTATACAGACCGGAGTAGTGAAGCCATACTCTAAAGCAGGAGTTGGCAACCAAAATAACAAGAAGAACCATTTTTTCAAATTCGGAAAATAATAAAAAATATAAAATATTTCAAAAGCCGCAATGCATGTGAATACAAGGTGGTCCTCAAATAACATCACAAAACAGTCTCTCATGAGCCGCATGCAGCTCCGGAGCCGTAGGTTGCTAACCCTTGCCCATGGTGAACTGGACTTCCATGGTGAACTGGACTTCCATGGTCAGGAGTCGGCAACCGAAACAACAAGATAGCCATTTTTTTCAAATTTCTAAAGCTGCACTGCAGTCTTTAAAGATCCGAAGGTTTCCACCCGCTGCTCTAAAGGAAGACGCAATCCAACAACGAAATCCAGTAGTGCTTTTCTTGTCCACGATCTTCGATGGAAATTTGGCAATGTGCATCTACTATGGCCACATATGCAGTTATCATCCATTCTCCACAATGGAAGATTAATTCCTACTCAAATTAGGCAGTGCGCATCTCCGGTTTATAACCCGGAGGCAGTGTTAGAAATTGCACTTTGTTATGGGGGTTACAAGTTTATCCATAGGACAACCACTTGACTTCCCCACAACGTTGTACTTATTTTATCAACCCCAGATGAGTGATGGGTTGAATTCACCCCTAAACTAGGATTTTAACTTGCAAACTTCCAGTTGCGATGCACTCGCTCTGCCGCTGAGCAACTTGGCTAGTTTTGAATGATTAGCAATCACCTTCCTCTCTTTGCCTCGTCCAGACTTGCACTTTTGTGCACTCTCGGCTGTTCGATAAATTCTGTACAGCCTGGCAGCCTCCACAGTCATTACTGCCGTTGGCATCTTTCCTGGGTGTTGACCAGGCTGTGCAGAGAAGTCTTTTATGTATGTTGAACTTCTTTCGCACCATACTTGGCCAACCGTGCTCATCGGAGGTGCGGGGTAAGGATAACAAACATAACAAGCAGTTCTAAAGAAATTCGTTTTCAATCGAGAACACATTCCTGCGGAGGGAGCTGGTAAGAACGTTGGGTTGCTCGGTCAATGGCCAGGGTCAACGGCGGCGTGGTGTATTCCGCAAATATGGCCGACTGTGAGGGCGGGCACAAGCCGGCGTGAGTAGGTTAAACGTTGAGTTTTATAAGGGCACCACGGGGTGACCAGCCCCTCCTCACCCTCCCCTCCCCACCCAGCCCCTCCCCACCCTCCCCACCCAGCCCCTCCCCACCCTCCCCACCCAGCCCCTCCCCACCCTCCCCTCTCCACCCAGCCCCACCCCTCCCATTTTTTGATGCACGACGGACGGACACAATAATCCCCTGTGGCCTGGTGGAACCAGGTGGTTCCTACCAGTAAAATTTAAAAGTGCAAAGCTTCAGTGGCTTCCTAATATCGGAAGACAGAATGTTCCAGACTGGCCACAGAAGCGCATCTGAAAGCGTGCGAACAGCCAAGAGCCACTGCGTGCATGACCAGAGTTTGCATGATGGTTTATGCTTCTTGACCTAGATCAGCAAGGCTTTGTTCAACCTCTCCCCCCCCATCCTCCCACTCCTATCTACACCCACAGTAGTGCATGGGGCTCGAGCAGGCTCACTTTTATCCTCTGCATTGGTGCTCAGAGAGCTTTTAAACTACGATTCCTTGCATCTCGATTTATAGAGAGATTATTTGAAAACGTCAGCATGTCGCCTTGGCAGATTTTGCTGATGCCTCGTGCACAGAATTGTCTCAATTTCACCTCGGTTCTGGCAGCCGATCAGGTATAAAGGAGGACTCTGGGACTTAGGCTGGACTTGTGCCATTACCTTTTAATCGTATCGCCCAGGGGTCAGAAACTTGCGGCTCTTGTAGCGCTGCTTCATGACGTTATTTGTGATCGAGCGTCTCGTATTCACGTGCATTGCAGGCTCTTGTAATATCGAGTGATTTTTTTTTTTTACCAATTTCCCCAAAAATGGCAGCTCTTGTTATTTTGGTTGCCGGCCCCTGGTATTGCCGATGCCTCGGTAATACCTGCAGCCCTAAGAGGTGCTGGTGGTGTTAGGCTTCACGGCGGCAATCCTGGAGGTGAAGTTTACTTAACTACGAATGCCACCGTTGCAGTGGACGTTGTTACATTATTTGAGACCACATGCTATGAAATCGATGCTCGCACCACAGGCAATCGAGGATTTACAATTGTGGCTGACGGACGCCAAACTGGCAGTGAGGAGTCTGTCGCAGGGGTTCCTCAGCTGAGGAGCTGAGGATTCCCGAATAAGAAGAACAAGACAACGTTACATTATAGAGAGTGAAAATTGGGAATCCAGTACAAATGAGACGGTACAACCTCACACTATAGACAGCACAAATGAGGCAAATTGACAAACAAACCAGACAAAACAACCAAGAAATGAAATGAATGTGTTCTTCAACCTACTCATGTGCCCCAATTATGCTCCTTTTCCACTGCCACATGCGAAGTTGAGCCATTGCAGAGCCCTCACAGTGTGGGTGGTTTATCACTGGCTATTTGCCGTACCGTGCAGGATCTAAACCAAAATACACAATCCACACACAATGTCTGAAATTAGGCATGGGGCCAAGCAGGACCAGTATCAGGGCTTAATGACAGATTCATTGTGTTTGACATCAGCCAGTACAACTCATCTGCAGTGGAAACCAACCTGGCCCCTTTTGAATGAAACTGAGCCGCACCGGGCTGTGCTCAAGTCAGCCTGGTGCAGCTCAGTTGTACATTGTAAAAGAGCTATTTGTAGTATTTAATGGAAGCAGACAAGTGAGTTTGAATTTGTACATGCTTAGTGGTCGCCTTCGAAATAACAACCACCGGTAACTCCCATTATATCCAGGTTGCGGATTAATTGTGCTTGTGAAAACATAAATAACGTGTTCTCACTCTCGTGCTGGTTTAACGACTCGCTGTTTCTCAGTTGTGACCGTGTGGTCAAGTAAACCGATGAGTTTAATCGCCATTACCTGCCATGATCGATGTACTGCTGGATGAAGGTCTTCCCAAGTCGTCGTCATCCTGTGATGTAATAATCTACCTTGCACTTATGCACGACCAAATTACATCGCTTCAGCTCTCCCGGTGGACGTATTCTTGGTTGCATTCCATTCTTTGGCTGCCACTCCGTTATTCTTGATTACCATAGGAAACAATATAAACACATGTCACATTGCAGGTCTTCACATCCGTTCTACATCCGTAAACAATAGATATGTTTCATCTATTTACGTGGATATATTTCGTATTTTCAGTGTTCTTGTTTTATATCAGACGAGCGGGAAGTACCTGGCGTTGCCCGGGTCTCAATTTTTTTTCAAAACTACTCTTACAAATCTAACAGTAGTGCGTACTGACTGTGGTGGTATCTGCTATGATTAGAGCAGTATACTGTGGTGGTACCTGCTATATATTACAGTAGTGCATACTGTGGTGGTACCTGCTTTCACTGCAGCAGTGCATACTGACTGGTGGTATCTGCTATGATTACAGCAGTGCATACCGACTGTGGTGGTACCTGCTATCACTACAGTAGTACATGCTGACTCTATAGCAGTATTTATCGCCTGTATAGCACAAAGTACTCACCTGATAGAGTGGCGTGGTGAGGCCTCGTCCCGTGCAGAGCCTCCGGCCTCGCCTAGATTGTCCAGCCGGCCGAGGTGGCACCTTGGCAGGCTGGGGCTGGGCTGTTACTTCTGATCCCCCCCCCCCAGCCACCTTCTCCCCGGCCGCTTTGCAGTAATATCTACGGCCTATAGTGGTAGCATCTAGCGACTGTATAGTAGTAATAACTGCACGCATCGGGGTGGGGGGGACATCACACAGTGAAGAATTAACGTCAGCTTTTAGTGTATTTTTATAGCATTTTTTACGCGAAAGAAAATGTCTCCCTCACTCCCACCGAAGGCGTGCGACTTGGCATGGGCCATCCCCCCAACCAAAGGCGCGTGAGTTGGTATGGTTGTGAACGCGAAATAAATAATTAAAAGGGAAGCGCACACAAATCACACTAAATCGCTAATTAAACGAATTTAAAGTTGACGGATGTGAAAAAGGAATAGCGCTTGCTCACCGCGGGGCTTACGGCGTGGTACCTGGCTCTTTTTATTTTTCGTAAACCCCACCGTTGGAGAGGCAAATCGTTCGCAAGCGCGCGAACACACACAAACCCACAAACACCCACAAACAGACAATTTTTGACTTTTATATACTGTATATAGATAGATTGTCCCCCCCCCCCACCTCCCTCCTCCCATTACCCTGGGTAATCGAGAGTTGGCTGAACTTCTGCTGGCTGTTTTGTCCAGGTGCTGCCTCCAAACATGGTGTCGGTGGGGATCTACTGCGGCGTCATCGCCATCTTCTTCACCTCGCTGAAGTCCGTCAACTACCGGCTGCACATGATGTTTGACCGGGGCGAGTTGGTGGAGCGTAGCGGCTGCAGCGGCGGCGGCGGCGGCGCTGGCGGCGGCGGCGGCGGCGGCGTCGGAGGAGGAGGCATTGAGATGCTGGACCTCCGCTCGCGGCCTCCCGGCGTGCTTCAGGACGACGACGAGACGCCAGTGGGACCCGGCCCAAGCAGCGGGGCCAGGCAGGAGTACAGCGGAGGGCCCGGGTGAGGCACACCCCACTCCCCCCCCCCCTTCTCCATCCCTCCCCTACTCCCCCTGTAGCACCACAGTGCCGTAGCCAAGGGACGGTCGGTATGCTGCATCACCATTATACATCATGGTCGTCATGAGTATCATCAACCGTGATCATTCCACTGCTGGAGTGAGGCCTTTCCATGCTGTCGGCATTAATCGCGTCCTGCGATTAATAATTCACGTAGCACCTGCACACGCTCTTGGCTCTTTTATCCTTGGGCTGCCATGCCATCATTATTCTTGATCATGGGTCATCAGCCCTTCTAGCGACGTGGCTTGCCCAAGCCCACTTTTCTTCTAATTTATTTCCGATATGTGTGTTTCTTTTTCTGTCTCTCAACGTTGTGATAAGCAGTATACCCAAACATATAAAGATGCATGAGTGGGTATACACATGGCAGGATATGGGTGAGCCATTTTGAAGTTCGGACGAGAATGTGGGTGGAAAGCACTCTTCTTGGGAAGAGGATGTTGTCATGGTTGGGGAAACACATGTGCAAATGTGCATTGGTTGCTGCAACAGAGATCATTGTTTAGTCAGCTTTATCGTGTCCAGTGACTTGACAGGAAGAGAAATGATGATCGTGTTCGTGTCGGCAGTGACCCTGGTGGGGGCAGCACGAGTGGCAGTGGCGGCAAAGTGGAGGTGGTGGAGCTGCACAGGGAGGGAACGCCGCCTCTAGCGTGCAGCTCGCGTAACTCCTGCGCGGGAGACCTGCATCGGGTGAGCTCAACGAAAGGACTTGTCGCTGCTGCTTTGCAATAAATAGCACTGGTCAACAACAAAAAAATCATTTTTTTCTGGCCTGAGCTTTTGCAGCTGTTTTAGACTAATTTCAGGGTGCTGATTCCAAATCTGATCTTAGATTTGCTCTATCACATTTAATTTTATGCTATCGGCATACCCCATTTTCATTGATTTCTACCCGAAATTAACTCTGTCACTTATGATTGCAAGTTGTTGCGAGTCAGTGACTGCTTTAGTGTTAAAATATGGTGCTGTATTTTTAGGATGGTGTGTTTATAATATAATTTTATGTAGATATCCACATTTATTTAATATTTTTCCTCTGCAGTTTTTATTGAAAATGCAATATTTGATATCTCAAAACCCTGATGTGATAGACAAAAACTGATGCCAGATTTGGAATTGGCACCCCAAAATTACCTTAAAACCGTTGGAATACCTTATGCCAGAAAAAGTGTGTTGACCAGTGTAGTCTTGATAATTGTTTTTTTACCCTTCTATCTGGCAAAAAAACTGACACCTTTTTACAAGGAGTCATGTTTGCATAGACCGCAATACCTGCAGTCATAATACAAACAAAAGACATAACTCTGATAATGTGTACTGTCCTTGAAGTTGATTGGTCCACACCCGAGACAGCTTTCCTTAGAGCCTAGTCTCACATGGGTTGGACCAGATGACGCCAAAAGGCGCACAACTCAAAGACAATGCACCATCAGAGTATGAGAGCTCGGGGCAAGCATCTACACTATGGGAACCTCATTTGCCAGTAAAAATATGATAATTGGTTTTTTACCCTTCTATCTGGCAACAAAACTGACACCTTTTTATGCAAACATGACTCCTTGTAAAATGGTGTCAGTTTTGTTGCCAGATAGAAGGGTAAAAAACCAATAATCATATTTTTACTGGCAAATGAGGTTCCCATAGTGCAGTGTAGTCTTGTCACATGGCCATCGTCAGCACCTATAGCATGTATAAGCCGCCTCATTGGTATGTATATTTAAAGGCCAGCTTATTTTTATTTGAATGTGTTCAGGGCAATTACTGTAATGTGTTCCGCTGATCAAGTTCCTGTTCTTTTTTTACCAGGTTGAGATTCTCCCAGTCCTCGAGTCCACTGGCAGTGCCAAAGGTTTGTTCACCGACATGACGCAACATCTCCCGCATCCGCTATTTCCTTTGCACAGCAGCTGCATAGCCTCTTGGTGTCAAATTTCGAGGATATGAATACTAATTGTTTAAAGTAAAAAATAAAGGATTTTATGGCTGGTGTCTTCGGTAGTTGTGTGTTATCACAAGCCGCTTAAACTAAGTAATGCTTATGTAGGACTCTTTAGGGTTCCGTAAAAATGCACAAAACTCAAAAGAGCTACACTAGAGGAAACTACGACATTTGAGAGTAGCGGGAGAAATGCCAAGAGCTGGTTTTCAGAGCTTCCTTGTTTGAGAATTGCTTCTCATGTTTTATTCATAAACACTTGAATCATTCTAACAGTGGAAACAAGGGCTGAAGAGCTATTTTACACAGATGAACATGGGATTATTACAATGTTCTGCTTACATCCCCTGAGCTAGTAGTGGAAATTGCATGTTCCTATGGCAGGGACTGTCATGAACATCAGAGTTCGAAAACTTTTTTGTGGTATTAAAAATAAATGTGTTTGTTGCGTCATTGAGTGTGCACATCGGAACAGTGAATCCTTGCTGGCTGATTATTTCCCCGCTTAGCTGAAGCATCGCCGCCCCACTCACCACGACGTGCGTGCACGTCTCACCGTCTGCGCTCGCGGTATGAAAACCCCCACAGATGCGCTCGGGAGGGAGAAGCCACCTTTGCCGCCGCTACTCTCGTGCGACTCCCCCGCCTCGAGCCACGGCTCGGGCTCCCTCGACTCGGAGACGCAGACGCTGCTGGCGTCCGTGGGCAAGCGCGGCCACGCGTCGAGCGGCGACGCGCCGGCGACTGCGTCCGCCGCCACCGACGGCCGCCTGACGTGGTCGAGCGAGACGAGCGAGGCCCCCGCGCGTCGACGTGACGGCCAAGCGCCGCGCGCGTCGCTCAGCGAGTTCCTCGACATGCCGGCGCTGCGGGCCTTCGAGTCGCCCGACGGCCGCGAGCCCGGGAGCCCTCGCGGCGACGCGGCCTCGATGTCCGTCGACGACTCGCCCGGCAACGCGCCTGACGACGACGACGAAGACGGCGGCGGAAGCGGTGGCGTTGACGGCCCTCGGCTGCCGGACGGAGCCTCCCTGCGGCAGGAGGAGTCGCGGAACAGCCTGCGCAGCCTCAGCTCGGTCGGCTCGGGCCGCCTGCGCTTTGTGGAGCCCGCCGACGACCCTCGCGGCCCGCGGTGTGCCGCCGCTTACGAGGACGATCGCGGCAAGTCCGCGCGGAGCCAGCCGCCCGATCCGAGGGCTGACGAGAAGTCGTCCGCCAGGGCGGACGCGAGGACTAAGCAGAAGGAGCGGCTTCCTTCGTACGGCGGCGAAACTAACGCGAACCCGCACTCCAACCTCATAGCGGCAGACGCGCTGGCGGCACAGAAGGCGGCCGACGTCAAGGAGGGCAACGGCGGTCGGACTCGGGGTGGCAGGACCGGCGCCGAGAACCTGGACGGGTGCCCGAGCTCGGCGGAGAGCGTCGCGCCGAGCCTCGTGGAGTCCCCGGCAAGCAGGGGCGGCAGGCCCGTGCAGGAGAGCGCACGGGTGGCGACAGCGGGGGAGGGCGCGGACCCGGCGGTGCGGCCCAAGTCGTCGAGCTTCCTGCGGCGCGCGAGTCGCAAGCGGAAGACGAGGCGGAAACGCAGCGGTAGCTTTGAGCTGGACCGCCCGAGCGCGGGCTCGGCTCCGAGCCGAGCTCACGGCAGCGGCGGTGAGTACGTGACGGTGCCCACACCGTTTGGCGTGCGCGACAAGAACAACGAGGACGACGAGGACTCGAGCGAGCTGAGCTCGCCGTCTTCGACCAACAGCTTCTTCCGAGAGAGCAGCTTCAACAGTAGCTCGACGCACTCCAGCCCATCGCCGGACTCCGACTCGGGGCTTTTCCTTGAGGCGGTGGCGGCGGCGGCGGCCGCGGCGGCGGCTGCTTCGCACAAGCACGGGCGGGGGAAACGCGGCGTGTGCCGAGTGACTGGAGGGAGTGGTGGCGGCGGCGGCGGCGGCAGCGGAGCGGCCCCGCCTGCTGGCACCGGCACGCCAAGGCCCCCGCTGAGGCGGCCGCCGTCGCACTCTGTGTCGCACCCCCCCCGGCGTACGCCCAGCATGGCGAGCGCCAAGACGCACGCGCGCGTGCTCAGCATGGATGCCGGGGGGGCCGGGGCGGCGGGCGGAGGAAGAGGTGAGTGGCACCGAAATTAGCAACGAGAACATTCTTCCGCAAAGTTACATTTTGTTGAAGCAGTCGATAACTCGGCAAACTCGACGGTGACTATTACTATTACGACACGACCAATGACGAAATTGACTAATTTGACTGATGGTGCAGAATCGGACAATTTAGTGCCCCGGGGAAGTGCGAACGTGGCAATTTGATATTTTTGAATATAAAGAGTTCACCGATTATCTGATGCCGTAGCATTGGGGAGGGGGGACGTGCATGCCGCTCGCACCAATAATTATTAATAACTAAGAGTCGACAATTCAATGCACGACTAGGTTTGGGCCTCCCCACACCGTGCAGATCGTTAAAGGGTTATTTGACCTTCCTGAATTGGTGCGCGTTGGTGGAGGCGGGGAGCGTAGACGTGTTGGTTGGAGCAATAATAGATATTCCCGCACCGTCCTCTACAGATGACGTAGCCAAAGAGCAGTCTAAAACACCAGTGTGTTGTGCGCGTTGTTCTATAGCAATCGATGAATCGTAAAACCTCTCTCCTTATATCGGTACGCACAGGCGCCGCGGCTAGTGGCGGTCCAGCGGACGTCTCGGCAGGAGACTCTGCGGCCGCGGGGGCGACTGCCGGCCCGGCAGTCGAGGACCCCTCGTCCTCGTCGCGTCCCCTCACTTCGTCCAAGTCGGAGCTGGAGAAGAAGGAGGGAGAGGCGCTGGACGAGCGCTCGCTGCTGGGACGTGCCCGCCTGCTCGAGCTCATGTCGCGTGGGCACACGGGCGGCGGCGGCGGCGGCGGCGGCGGCGGCGGTGGAGGGAACGGCAGCCAGGCGGAGTGGCGCGAGCTGGTGACCAGGAGCCAGATCGCCACCTCGTCGTCCGAGTGGAGGGACCTGGTCACGCGAAGCCACTCGGATTGGCTGGAGCTCGAGGAGCAGGGGGCGGCTGGTGGGGGTGAGTGTGTGTGGCTATTTGTGTGTGTCTGTGTGCATGCTTTGACTTGTTTTCATTTGTGCAATTAGTGGCGTGCAAGTGTTTTGTTGTGTGTGTGGGGAGCGGTAGTGTAGCGGTTAGCGTGCTGCACTACGAACCTGGCCACCCGGGTTCGATCCCCGCTCACGGCAAACACCAGTGACGATTATCTGAACTGGTCCTGGGCCTCCCCTAGGTCGACTCAACCTTAAATGAGTACCTGGTGCGATGTGTAAACATCGCCGCTAGGGAGACAAAGGCGGCCGGGCGTGGTGTTGGCCACCTACCCCCTCGTGAGCCGTGCCGGCCTTTATAGGTGCTCGCTAACAGCACTTGCCCCTACAGTCTGTTAAGGCTATACGGGGGATCTTTGTTTATCTTTGTGTATTACTTTATTTGTTGCTGCTCACGCTCGGACTCGGAGCTACTTGAAGCACAAAAGGCGATTGAGGGTGCTAAAATTAAAAACAGTGTTGCCAGTTCGAATAGAAATGTATATTTACATTAAAAGCTTGGAGTAGTGAATTAATGCTGTTTGAAGGCCATTTTCAATTGGTAGACCTCAAGTGGCTATGGGCCATATGACATGCTGCAGTGGTCACTCATGGTTCTAGTACATGGAGGTTGCAAGTGATACCTCAGCCTTTCCAGTCTCAAGGGACCGCTAGGCACCACATGAGACCAGTTCATCTGGTACGCTGCACGAGACTGCACGTGCCCAATCCGGTGGAGAAAACCGCCGATGATGGAGCCACCGCCATCGCAATGTGCAGCCTCTCCCCATCCCAGACCCAGAAGCATCTCCCCCCCCCTCGAGCAGTTTCTTTAACGGCGCGGCATGTGGGTAGTGCCGTCATCGGTGAGCGAGGAGGGAGGCAAGCCACGGCGGCACAGCAGCATGACGCGCGGCGCGGTGCGGAGGCAGACCGTGCGGCGCCGCCACCACGCCGGCAGCAACCCCACGCCGCCGCCCTCCATCCTGGGCTCGCCACTCAGGTGAGAGAGAGATCCCTAGCTGCCATCGCCTGCGAACGTAGTTTCCGAAGTCGCGTGTGCAGAGCGTGAACTCGGTAACCTTGCGAGGGTGCCGCCGATAACCCACGTCTATTTTGGAAAGGAGACCTGGGACATACGTGACAAATATCTTATCGTAGCAGCGGTAAAAATTTTAATTGCAGTGGTCCGTGATTAAAATAGATTCGTACACTTATGATGTATGCGTTAAATCGTGCTTGCCAAGCATGGATTATTTGGGATTTATGCACATTAAAATGTGACCTACATGCGAATGCAACAGCTGCTACAAACAAAATAACAAAACAGAATTTGATACAAACAGTACAAATGAAATAAGAGCAAACGACACAATTTTGTTTTTAAATAGAATCGTATCTGAGTCGTAACAATTGTAGTTGAGTCGATTGAAACAAAACTTCATTTGCAAAAGAGACTTGGGATGCAAAAAATTATTATACCACATTTTGCCCAAACAGCTACCGGTTGACTTTGATTCTCTGAATCGAATACTTCTGAAAACAAATGCCTGTTCGAAAGCCTTACACAATCCTTGCATATGCGCGATATTTCCACGACTTGCTCCCATCCGATCCTGGCCTCGCGCCACTCTGACCTTTGCCCTCCGCGCTGCTTCTCGCAGCCTACCGGACGGCCCCCGCTGCCGCACGTCATCGCTGTTCAAGCCCGTGCAGAGTCTGCCGCTCTCCCTGGGGCCGTCCGTGCCGGGCAGCGGTGGCCCCTGCGGTTCGGGCGGCGCCGGCGGCGGCGGTGGCACGGGCGGAAGCTGCGGGGGAGGCCCCGGCGGGAGCGGCGGGGCGAGCTCCTCGTCGTGCGTGCAGGCCCAGCTTCCGGGCGCTCCGCCGCTGCACGTCGCCACGTCGCACGATGACACCACGTCCGGTGCCGTGCACTGCTTCGAGGATGAGGAAGGTGAGAGAGAGAGACAGCGTCGCTCGTTCCGCCGATTGTTCTGCTGTGGTAGCACTGTGATATTTCGTCCGGGGATAAAGTTCACGGTAACCGTGACGTCCGTTTTGCAAGATCTCGTAATGTCGACATTAGCGTTGCTCGTTTTACATTATTAAATATATTATTTCCTGACCAAATATTTGCGAAACTCGCCACCACAATAATTAAAAGTTATAAATAAATAGCTGTTACTCACGAAATTGGTGCTTTTCAAAATATTTTGTAGCGTAGTTGATGGTGGCTATTATACGCCATCATTTTCTTAGTCAATTTAACCATTGTATTTTCTATGACTGCATGGTGTGCGTTATAAATGGTTCACATTGTGAATGTGCAATTATTATAAGACTCGTGGCAGGCTTATGTTGAAGAACTTGTCAGTAGTCTTTATTCGTACCGGAAGTACAACAGCAGAATCATTCCATTGGAAATGCGGAATATAATTTAAAAGTTTTTGGGAATTGTTATCACAGTCATCATCACATCGTAAAGCTTTGTATCAGGGTACAAACCTACTCATGTGCTCTTCCTTTTTGCTTGTTCACTTGCTCAGCTTTGAAAGACAGGAGAGGAAAACTTTAAATGTTAATATTTTAATTGGATTGAATGTATTTCATCTCACAGGTTTATTTTAAATAGTAAAGGTGCCTTTAGTTTGAAGTTATTTTCACATTTAGTAGTGCATGGTGATTCAGTAATTCCTCGCCAAACGCGGTTTTGGCTTAACGCGGAAGTTTTCAGGAACGCACGCACCGCGTTGAACAAGGGATTATTCAAAACTTAATTAGGTATTTGAACACACTCCTCTGTAAGATATGGAGTCTGTTTAGGATAAGGTAAGAGGGTAATCTTTGAGATATCTATACATCGATCACGCTGTATCAGCAGGTCAGCATACCGGTAGAATACTGAGAACACATTCCTGCGGAGGGAGCTGGTTGGAACGTTGGGTTGCTCGGTTAATGGCCAGGGTCAACGGCGGCGTGGTGTATTCCCCAAATATGCCGGACTGTGAGGGCGGGCACAAGCCGGCGTGAGTAGGTTAAACGGGGGTGACCAGCCCCTCCCCACCCAGCCCCACCCCTTCCACCCCCCACCCAGCCCCACCCTCCCCACCCAGCCCCTCCCCACCCAGCCCCTCCCTCCCCACCCAGCCCCTCCCCTCCCACTCCCCACCCAGCCCCTCCCTCCCCACCCAGCCCCTCCCTCCCACCCAGCCCCTCCCCACCCTCCCCTCTCCACCCAGCCCCACCCCTCCCATTTTTGGATGCACGACGGACGGACACAATAATCCCCTGTGGGCTGGTGTAACCAGGAGGTTCCTACCAGTAGCAGAGCACTGACCATAGAAACACTATCAGGAGACCACAGAAGGCAACGCAGCCAACCGATTATCACGGTTGGCTCCGTACGGTTCCAAAGAAGTTCTACACACGTACATGTAGAGAAGTGAGAGATGCAGGCTGAACCTGCTGGCGGCTTCGTTGTGCTTCCGTGCCCCAGGGAACCTGATGACGTACACCTTCGGGGAGCAGAGCGACGGCTGTGCCACGCTTCTCTCCAACATGGACGCCACCATCAACCCCAAGCACTCGAGCTGGTGAGGCCCTCTCCATCGCCCACGTGTCACGTGTAGCCACGAAGACTTTTTTTTAAATCCTTCATATTCAGTTCACTTGCTTGCTTGCGCGCTTACGACCGTGCAAATCTTTCGGTCGTTTTTTAACCCACTTCCCGTGATCCAATCGAGCTGACATTTTGCACACAGACTCGTTGTGCGTGACAATTGATTTTTGTGAAAAGTTTTTTCAAAAATTTTACACTTTTTAGGAAAAAATAAATTATATATAATTACCAATTGCTTAATGGTGGCAGGCAATCATCTGACCCATAGGTGGCAGCCATCTCAAGCCAGAGGACGAGAGGACTCTAGCCGCCACGCATATAAAGGATTTATAGTGAAAAACTTTGTTTTTACGGGTTAATTTTTTTTCCACTGTATAACCGAGCCGTGCCCAGGGCTGTCTTGCTAGACTGGCGCAGATCACAGGGATACGGGTTGTTGTTCCACTGCAGAAGCTGAGCTGAGCCGTGCTGCTGACATCACACGCAGTGAAATAGCTGAGATGCGTGTTTTTGACACGGTGTTTTATGTATGTATGTTGAACTTCTTTTGCACCGTACGTAGCCAACCGTGCTAATCAGAGGTGCGCTGGATTGTCCTCACCGAGTACTGACTGACGTCACACGCAGTCGGATTCAGAGGTCAGCGTATCGCGGTTTGGTTCTGGCTCGGCACAACAAATAGCCCCGTGCTGGCTTGGCTTGAATATGCCGGTGGAAAAGGGGTAATCGGGTCTTTAAACTACAGCCTTGATGAAATGCCATTGCACGAGTCACCTGAATCCTTGTTAGGCTTCGCCCTGTACCACACAGTCACTTTCATGCTTATCCAAATTGGCCAATGAATTAACGCTGCATTGCATGCGAGTGACCTCAAACCTCTGAAAGTTTTGACCATCACCTTGCGGTTGATGCTGCCCTCTCGTGATAGTGTAATAGGTTACGGCAGAGTCCCAGATCTGTTGTGGATTATCTCGCCGACGACTGACATGCACCCACTCACTGCTCGTGCTCCCCACTGTGCCAACATTCGCGCGTTCTCACACAGGGATAGCCACTCGTACTTTGACGCGCCCTCGGTCGGCTTCCTCGACAAGACGGAGGAAGCGGCGTCTCGCGACCGCGACCTCAACCCCTACGAGACTATCGAAGTGCCGCGTCCCCGTGAATCCGTCTTCTTGGAGCAGGTGCGAGCAAAGAGGTGGGAGTGTCGATGGAAGTGCACGGTGGCGAGATGTTAACTTCCTCGCCTGGTATACTGGAGGCCGTGGGTTCGATCCCGACCCTGAAACCTGCTGTATATTTGGAGTTTGCTTGTCTCTCTCCCCCGTGGTGGTGTGGTTTTTTTCTCCGGGTCCTCCGGTTTTCCCTTCACATTTACAAACATGCATTTAGACTATTTGGCTGCTATAAATTTCCACGTGTTAAGCCACTTCGTTGCCTGGGCTGCTTCTGAAAAAGAGCTAGATAGCTCAGTGGGCCTTATCTGGTGAAATAAGAAATAGTTTAGTAGTTTAGTTTAAAGTTTAACGGATCGGTCCATTTGTTCGCTTGCCACTCAGCCGACGCTGCGCGTTGAGTGCTCGCTGTCAGTGCCCTGTAACAGAAGCCGTAGAACAGTGCCATGCTCAGCACGCTGTGTAAAATAATATAGTTTTGTTTTTAGTTTCATTACCATCTTAAAAATAGAAAAATGCTCAACTCTAGTAGTTTACATGTACATTTCTAGTCGTTTGTTAATTCACTGCTGGATGAAGGCCTTCCCTAGAACATGTGGGGGTGTGCGGGTTATTTGACCATGCTTCATGCTGGTCAGTGTGGATTGGCGATCCCTTAAGAGTTTATTGGCTATAAAACAGAAAATGTTTCTTCAGGCGGAACCAAATTATTGCTCTGACCCAGGCAGACAATAAAATTGTCTGCCTTCACTCGCCTCAATTCTGTCCGTAACCCCCCCCCCACCCCCCAACGTCACTACGCTACGACACCTAAACCCGTTCTCTCTGCTTCCTTCCACCGATCTCGCTCCGCCCCGGCAGCGTTTGTTCCGGGCGCAGCAGCGATTCCGGGGTCCGGCGTTGGAGCTGCCGTTGCCAGAGGTGCACGACGGGCGCGGCGGCATCGGGGGCGGGATCGGCGCGGGGACGCTGGCGGACAGCGATCGGCCCGGGGAGAAGCGAGTGAAGCAGCGGTACAAGCTGCAGTTCTTCCCCGGAGCGTGGCTGGCCATCCGCTACGACCGCCTGGCGCTGCTGGCCCTGCTCGATCGGTGGGCCTCGCGAGAGAGCAGCGCAACGTCTGCGGGAGCTCTTGTGCCACGTACGGCACCGTTGTCAATCCGCTGCTGGACAAGGGAAATTTCGACTATCCTGTGCCACTCTAGTTTGTGCTGTATTGGTTAAGGTGGGGGACAAAAACACACGGGCATAGACGGGGGTTAGCAACTGCAATAACAAGAAGGGACCTTTTTTCGAATTCAGTAAAAGACTCTATTTCAAGAGTAGCAGTGCACGTGAATAACATCGCGAACCAGTCCTTAAAGAGCCACAGGTTGCTGACCGCTGGGCTTAGAGGTCCAGTATAACAATGGATTTTATTATTTAGTTACATTCCCCGCTATGACAAAAACTGTAAGTGTGGAGTCAAGTGCTCACGCTAATTTAAACAAACGTTATGCAGGATGAATGTTTTCAAATTATTAATTGTTGTGATGAACTACGTTTTATAAAGCACTATTTGCATGGGGCCTCAAAGCACTGCACGTAAAGTTTAAGTTACGGTGAAAGTTCCCCAGCTGTCTTGGGTGTGGACCAATCAACTTCAAGGACAGTGCACATTATCAGAGTTATGTTTTTTGTTTGCATTATGACTGCAGGTATTGTGGTCTATGTAAACATGACTCCTTGTAAAAAAAGGTGTCAGTTTTGTTGCCAGATAGAAGGGTAAAAAACCAATTACGACCTCTTAGATAGTTTCAAACACTGTTCAAAAACAAATCGCCGCTTTTACATAGCTGCTGAAGCAGAACCATCTTTCATTGTGCTCCATGTTCTCTATTCTCACCCAATATCGGAGCACCTTAGTGTAGGTAGCTCACGAGACCGATCGTCGGTGGCACGTGTGTACGTTGGCATGCTCGCAGAAACCGGCAGTTGGGCGAGAACATCCTGGCCGTGGTGCTGGCCGTACTCGTCGCGTTCCTTGGCTTCGTGCTGCTCAAGACCGGCTTCTTCCACGACATCTGGGTGCTGCAGTTCTGCCTGGTGATCGCCAGCTGCCAGTACTCGCTCATAAAGGTGACGCTCGCCTGAGAACGTGTGTGCGCTTGCGTTGCCCGCCTTCGTCTCGCTGGCGAGACGTTAAACTACCTCGCCTGGTACTCGTAGGTTTTTTTGGTAGTCACGTAGGTAAAAATAAATGTATTATTATTTATTTTAACCTACGTGACTTTACCGAAAAAACATAAGAGTATGAATCCTTGCAGTCACGGAAGCTTCAAATCTAGAATTAATACCCTCTACGGGGAGGAATTTCACCTATATTTTTATTATTTATTTTTACCTACGTGACTTTACCGAAAAAACCTAAGAGTATGAATCCTTGCAGTCACGAAAGCTTCAAATCTAGAATTAATACCCTCTACGAGTAGGAATTTCACATATATTTTTATTATTTATTTTTACCTACGTGACCTTACCGAAAAAACCTAAGAGTATGAATCCTTGCAGTCACGAAAGCTTCAAATCTAGAATTAATACCCTCTACGAGTAGGAATTTCACCTATATTTTTATTATTTATTTTTACCTACGTGACTTTACCGAAAAACCGAAGAGTATTAATCCTTGCAGTCACGAAAGCTTCAAATCTAGAATTAATACCCTCTACGAGTAGGAATTTCACCTATATTTTTATTATTTATTTTTACCTATGTGACTTTACCGAAAAAACCTAAGAGTATGAATCCACTCAGTCACGAAAGTTTCAAATCTAGAATTACCTCGCCTGGTATTGAGGAGGTTGTGGGCTCGATCTCGACCCTCTGACACCTTCATATTTGGAGTTTGCATGTTCTCTCTCCCTGTGGTCGTGTGGATTTTTTCAGGGTCTTGTGGGTTCTCCCCCTCCACATTTAGAATCGACATGCGTTTTTAATATTTGTCTGCGAAAAATTTCCACACGATAAGCCACTTTATTGAGCTATCATTTGTGGCGAGGTCGCTTCTGAAATAGAGCTATATAGCTCAGTGGGCCTTACCTTGTGAAAAAAAGTTTAAATAGTATATAGCCTCTGTGCGCCTGTGTGTTTGTGTGTGCGGCGAGTGGTGGTGTGGTGGGTCAGTGCAATGTGCTACGAACCCAGCGGACCCAAGTTCGATTCCCAATAGCGGCCAACATAAGTGACCAATATTTTAACCGATTCTGGGCCTTCTTTCTAGGTCAAATTAGTGTTAGATGAACACCTGTTGTGGTGTGCAGACATCATCACTGGGGAGACGGGGTCAGGCGAGGTTCTGGCTGTACGCGAGGCTTGATCTTTTTCCTCCCGAACGTGAGATTTGTATTTTGTGATAATGTTTATTTTGTCTGTTGAGGCAAGTGCGCACAGCAAAGGACATAGCAGGGGGGAGTTGGGTCAGTATTGCTCTGGGTAATATTAATTCGTGTTTTTAACGTTGAGGAAAGTTAATGATAAATCGTAAATCTGTAAATTGAACGTAAATCCAAATGTTCGTTATATAATTTGTGTATAAAATTTCTGATAAACCTTTAATAGGTGCCTGTTTCATTTCCCCATTTTTAATTCCTGTCTTCTTGCATTACAGAGTGTACAACCAGACGCTGCATCACCAATGCATGTAAGTAAACGTGGTCCTCTCTCCCCTTACTTATCATTTGACGTGCCGCCTTCAAAGGTTATGGATCTTGGTTGATCCTGTTAGCAGTGGTCCCTTGTATGTAGAACATTCCACAGTTACCAACCTCAGGGTGGCTCTTTCACGGGTTGAAGATTGTGACTACTTAAACACTGGTTGTCTTTGACATCCATTTGTGTCTTCCTCTCCCTCCCCTCTGTCGAGTGAGGTCACTATTTCACTATCGTACATTTTTATTGCATCTATTTTAAGTGCAATAATGACATAATCGGAGTGCTACGGAGGCATGCTTAACCGTGATTTTAAAGTATTTTTTCCGCTAATTACGTTTCCAACCACAGTCATCTTTTGTTATACGGCAACACAAAATACGGAATATCGCTGTAACGTAACTTAGGAAATTAGGGAACGAATTCGATAAACGTTACATAAAATTTGCATTTACGGAGTTTTTTAATCTCTGAATTCAAATAGTTTTTGTGGGGTAAATCGGACAATGCACGGTTTGCGGATTGTCCTAGCGGGCATTCCATGCTGCTCCAGGTGCTTTGCGAGGCACGCTTTCCACACTGTGCTGGTTCCTCCGCAACTCTCCGTGCCACCCAAGCTGGGCTCGTTTTGGTTCCGTCCTTTGTGTTGATCACTCCTTGTGCTGGACTATACAGGATTTCACCCTTCGTTCAATGCTCGCTCTCACTTCAATATAAGTAAGTCAAGATGTCTAGAAACGAGGCCATTAAGTGCAAGTAATTTAGCAGAAGCCCAAAAAGAGAAAATACATTTCCTTGAATGTAAGTCCTGTCCACTACTTTGTTTGACGGACTTATTTTGAGGATTATAATTTTATCATAAAATTATATATGTCCATTAAATGTGCTTTAAAAAGTTTGCTACATTCTTAAGTGTGATTTTATTACATCTTTGGGCCAATTTTTTCCCGTAGGGAAGCATCGCCAATTGTACAATGTAAGTCAATGGGAATATAGGGTTTGATATATGGAATTTGGCAACTTTTCAGTAACCCATCTGTTCTGTATATCAAGGGATGCCCCAGTGTCGTACAACCTTGGACAAATAGCCTGGTTACATATTATGTATGTGCTCCCTAATATTTGAAATCTCCAAAATATACAAAAATCAGGTCTAGACATAAAATTTTGTATTGTCCAAAAATAATGTGTGTTTCGTTTCGATTTAAAGCTTTCGTGACTGCAGAGATTAATCTTCTTGGTTCTTTCGGTAAAGTCACGTAGAATGGAAATAATAATATAATAAAAATATAACATAATAAAATAATTATCACGACGTTTCGGCCACAACGCAAGCAGCCGTCCTCAGGTGACGCTGTCTCCCCGACAGACCTAGTCTTCACCTGAGGACGGCTGCTTGCGTTGTGGCCGAAACGTCGTGAGAATTATTTTATTATGTTTTATTTTTATTATTTTATTATTTCCATTCTACATGACTTTACCGAAAGAACCAAGAAGAAAAAAATGTGTGTTTCGGATTGCTCCAAAAACCCGAAGTGACTTTCCCAAAAACGGTGCCACACGTGGGAACGCGTGGCATCACTTACCACGGAGACGTTTTACATTCGTAAAAAATATAAACGATGCGAAGATTTTCTTTAGTCATTCAAAATATAAAAATCTGAAACTTTTATGAAACATATCTACAAGAGCCGTTTGATTTTTAGTGTGCATCTTTTAATTATGTGATATTGGCAGGCCAGATTCAGTTGCCATGCAACTGGTTATCATTGTTGCCATTCAAGTCCCAGTTGCCGGTTCCATCGTGTGCTTTGTGGTTAAAACTACAACGGCAATGGCCGCTGATATTTGCCACCACCATCGCTCTTGAGTCTTATCTTTCTTCGTCTCCGACACAGGACTACAGCTACCAAAGCCGGTCATCCGCACACGTCTAGCTGTTGCACTTCGTGTGTGTGTGTGCGTGCAGGGTCACAACCGGGTGATCGCCTACAGCCGGCCGGCATACTTCTGTCTGTGCTGTGGCCTCATGTGGCTGCTAGACCTGGGCAGCCAAAGCGTGAGCCTGCGCGTGGCGTTCACGCTGTACGGCGTGCCCTGCACCGTGCCCCGGTTACTCATTTTTGCCCGTGACCTCATCATGGGTGAGGAGCCGAGCAAGCGATGTCCATTTTCTTGTGCTTTCCAACGAAGGTTTCAACGCGTTGATGCATCAGATCTGTCCGTCGCTACGTCCGATTGTCAGTCAGTCGATCTCACTGTAACATGGGGGTCGTGTTCAATCCAGTAAAGATTACGCAATGTACATGCAGTTTTTGTTTAAAGTTGTGTCGCTAATTAATTAAAAGGGTTATTGAAAATGTGGGCTGTCTAAACCTCAGATAAGTTCAAATTCTGGTGATCTTACACAAGAATGAACGCAAGTTAGACCGTGAAGGACGTGATTAGACGTCCAGAGGCACGATGCTCCTGGTCTTAACCACGTCTCCGTTTAGTGCGGTTGCCTACGTCCAGTGCGAAAGAAGATCGTACATACAGACAAGTGGTAATTGGATCTTGGTATAGTTTGTAAGGTTATTGTTTATTTTCAGCTTATACCACTCACATTATTTTATTCACACTTAACTCTTAGTTTACCAGAGTGAAGTAGCTTGTTTGTAAAATGTGATCTCGGCAGTGCCAGCCTTAAAAAAGTACTCCTGTGTGTTGGCTGTTTCGTCACTGCTGGGTGACTGTGCTGAATGTCGTCGACTGATTCCCAGTCCTCATTGCTTTGTGTCCTCCCCACTCCCCTCTATTCCCTCGCGTGTCTGCCCACCGAGCAGTGTTCACTCTGTGCTTCCCCGTGGTGTTCGTCTTCGGCCTCCTGCCGCAGATCAACACCTTCCTCATGTACGCGCTGGAGCAGCTGGACATGCACGTGTTCGGGGGCAACGGTGAGTTTTGCGTTGGCTTTGTAGACGGTGCAGCATGGCGAAGAGCGGTGTGCCGTTCTTTCGTGGGCAATTCGGAGAAAACGCATCGGGGTATTAGCGCAGTGGATGTGATGAGAGAAGAGGCAGAGAACAGAAGCACGTGAAGGAAAAGAAAATCCAAGCAGCCAACCCAATACGATTATATAACATTTGGCTTTCAAGAAGATCCCAGTTAAAATCCACTCATTGGGAGGGTGTTCATTTTCCTCTGCTGCTGCTGCTATCATCTGGCAACCCCCCCCCTACCAACCTTCCGTGCAGTCGATTCTCTGCCCCTGTTCAAATCTATGCACGAGACCTTCTTGTGCGCCTATGAGTGACTGCCGGTCCTAAATTAATATGCCCACTGTTTTTGTACCACATCTTGAGTTTTGGTTGCGTTTAAGCTCTTCTACATAAATCCACATTGTACTTTGCATTGGGGGCTGTGCGGTTCGCCACCTTTTTCTCGCCGTCTTTGTTTCAGCTGCCACCAGTGTGCTGGCCTCTGTCTACGGCTTCGTGCGCAGCGTGCTGTGCGTGGCGCTGCTCTACGGCTTCTGCTACGGGGCACTGACGGTGAGCTCTCGCGCGCAGCGTCGGCCGAGTGGCAAGTGAACGAACGGACCGATCCGTTAAACTATAAACTAAACTACCGAACTGTTTTTTTATTTTACCCAGTAAGACCCACTGAGCTTTTTGGCTCTTGTTTTCAGAAGTGACCTGGATATCACAAATGATAGCTCAGCAAAGTGGCTTATCATGTGGAAATTTAGGCAAATTCTCTAAACGCCTGTTTCTAAATGTGGAGGGAAAAACCGAAAGGCCCAGAGAAATATCCACGCGACCACAGGGAGAAAGACGTGCAAACTCCGAATATATAGGCGTCAGGGTCGCGATCGAACCAAAAGACCTCCTGTATACCAAGCGAAGTAGTTAACATCTCGCCACCGGTAAAGGAAGATACAGCTAAAAAATAAACAAAAGGCCATTTAAATTTAATTTCGATTTAAAGCTTTCATGACTGCAGGGATTCATCTTTTTGGTTCTTTCGGTAAAGTCACGTCGAAGGGAAATAATAATAAAATAATAAAAATAATACATAATAAAATACAATTCTCACGACGTTTCGGCCACAAGGCAAGCAGCCCTCCTCAGGTGAAGAACTTGAGGACTGCTGCTTGCGTTGTGGCCGAAATTTCGTGAGAATTGTATTTTATTATGTTTTATTTGTATTATTTTATTATTTCCCTTCTTCGTGACTTTACCGAAAGAACCAAGAAGAGGCCATTTAAATTATTTAGAATCCATAATGCTTCACAACAATGAAGAATAATTTTGCATACAAATAAATAAGCAGCTTTTTCATAGATATTTTACCAAGGCTGTTTCTCGTGCTGCTCGTCATACGTCCGTATCTTTGTTAATTAGCAAATACACATTACAGTTGCAGTCAAGCAAGTCGTCGTAACATTTGAATATGGTGAACACGGCAACGCCCACGAGAGGACCCAAACACGGCTGAATGTGGCGCTGGCCACGCCACCTTGCCGGCCTTAATTGGTGTTCGCCGACAACTTTCCCCCCAGCAGTGCTTTAGGATGATGGTTGTGTGCGTGGGTGTTGATGTGTTTTGCATGTGCGCGCGTTTCCTGCAGCAAACGTGGGACTCGCAGCACATCCCCGTGCTGTTCTCCGTGTTCTGCGGGCTACTGGTGGCCCTCTCGTACCACCTGAGCCGGCAGAACAGCGACCCCACTGTCCTCTGGTGCGTATGCCAGTGCCCTGGCCATTCCATAACATCAGTCGTAAGTCACAGGTTTAATGCTGGACCTGCCTGACACAAATGGTAGGATAGCCCAGTTCACAACTTGGAGCGAATTTGTGTCAGCATTTCTACAAGGAGAGTTGTGCTACATAAACGTGTGCGAGAGATGTTCTAGTAAATCGTTCTGCCGAATGAGGTGTTTAATTTCTCTTTAAACAATTCAGTTCTTACGTCCGCTGCTTTTGGTTTCACCATTGACCCCGCTTCTACGATGATGCCCACGGCTATTGGGTGCCACGATGGGGAGATGTTAACTACCTCGCCTGGTATACCGGAGGTCGTGAGTTCGATCCTGACCCTGACACGTGTATTTTTGGAGTTTGCATGTTCTCCCCATGGTTGTGTAGATTTTTCTCCAGGTCTTCCCTCCACATTTAGAAACATGTGTTTAGGGTATTCGGTTGCTCTACATTTCCACATGACAAGCCACTTTGTTGTTGAGCTATCATTTGTGGACAGGGTCGCTTCTGAAAAATAGCTCAGTAGGCCTCACCTGGTAAAATAAGAATACTCTTTGGTTCTTTCGGTAAAGTCACGTAGGTCGAAATACAACAAAATAAATCACGACGTTTCGGACGCAACACAAGCGCCCGTCTTCAGGTGAAAATCGCAATAGCCGCGATGTCTGCTGCGAGCATTAACTTTGCACTTTAATCCAACATGCTAATCTAAGTTCATTTCCTTTAACATGGCACGCTATTTATTACCTTGACACTATAATACCCCATTAACACTAATTCGGCTGCCTTTGTTCTCAAAACTTCTATAAGCTCTTGCTGGTGACAGCTTCTCTTCACAAGGCAGCAGACATCGTGCTGCTCGCAGCAGACATCACGGCTATCGCGATTTTCACCTGAAGACGGGCGCTTGTGTTGCGTCCGAAACGTTGTGATTTATTTGTTTTATTTCTACCTATGTGACTTTCGCGGAAGAACCAAAGAGTATGGATTCCTGCCGTCACGAAAGCTTCAAATCAAGATTAAAATAAGAATAGTTTGGTTCAGCTTTTTTGTTTAGTTTAGTCTGTCCAGTTCTAAAGCTCTCACCGTGTTATGAATCAAGTATATTTAACCGTGCGGCGTCATACACAGGTCACTCATTCAGTCGAAGCTTTTGCCCGAAGAGCCAGCAGACAACCCCGAGGAACCACTGGAGGAGATGAAAGACCCCCTTCCGGACAAACTCAAGCAGTCTGTGGTGCGTTTGCATCGTCAACATCATCATCATTAACATCATCATCATGCTATTGATCATCAGGTCTGGCATTGCCACTGCCCATCCTTGCCCTGTGTTGTCGCTCATCAATTTCTGTGCGTGTGTTTGGACACCTGTGAAACCTACTGGGTTACTTGTGAAAAAGAGCTTCATAGCTCATCGGATTCCTGCAATCTAAAATATTCTGATTCTGTATCTCCTGTAGCATCCCTCATCTGTCCCCATGTCTCTGCTGTGTCTCACCGCTGACCGTGTTGTCTCCGCTGTATCCTGTGCTGTGTCTCACCACTGACTGTGTGTCTCTGCTGTATGCTGTGCTGTGTCTAACCACTGGCCGCGTGTATCCGCTCTATCCTATGCTGCTGTCCGCGTCTCTCAGACGTTGTCCGTCGTTTGTTGGAGCCCGTGCCTCTTTTGTTGCCCCTTGAACCCTTGTGTTGTTGACTGTTTGCCGTTTGTCTCGCCTGGTGCCGCCGCGTTGCATCCGCTTCTCTTACCGTCCGGCCACGCGTGTCCCTCGTGAGCAGAGCGAGCGCCTCCAGTCGGACGTCATCGTGTGCGTCGTCATGGCTGTGCTGGCGTTTGCCGTGCACGTGAGCACCGTCTTCGTGGCGCTTCAGGTTCGTTTTTCGGGACTGATTTGCGTTGCTGGCAAGGGGACTTTACCTTCTTGCAAAAATTGGACGAGAAATTTGGTCGATTCTGTGTTGGCGGTGGCGCGCAAGCAGAAAGAACATCACATTCGTGAATAACAGTCTTATAAGGAGCTATACATATGTGCCCTGGCACATATATGTCCTGTGAAGAAATGTTTCCTATCATATATTTTTACTTTGAAGCCACACACAGTGTTATCTATATATTTGAAAGTGTTGAATATTGTGCTCTTGAAAACTGACCAACTTGATCTGAAGAGTGTTGCCTGAAAGCAGAGCAAGAAGTACAGTGAATGACTATTAAATAATTAGTCAAAAGCATTTCTGGCCTTCGGCCAGGAAAAGTCACAATTTGCACACGAACGAGGCATTCACGCAAGCACCCGATGCTCCGTTTAGAAGTTTTATCTTATATTATTATATTATTCATCATAGAAAGATAGATAAAGTGGTGCGCTTACCAACGTAAAGGAACGTCTCTCCCTGCGACTTGTTGATTGTGACGGCGTACGCGGGGAGAATGGGAAATATTGTCGTCATCGCAAAACAAATGGCAAAGTCGTGTCGGAGTGGGCCAATTCTTGTCTGGGAATCGGCACCGAATCACCTCGTTCTCTGTCTCTCTCAAGCGATCATCACATTAATCATAGAAAGATAGATAAAGTTGTGAGCTTACCAACATAATCGAACGTCTGTTCCTGCAACATGTTGATAGTGATAGCTTATGCGGGGAGAGCTGGGAGAATGGGAAATTGTCGTCATTGCAAAACAAATGTCGGTGGGGGTCAAGTCGATTCTGGGAATCGATTATGGAAATCAACACTGAATCGACTCGTTCTGCAGATCGATTCCAACGTAATCGAACGTCTGTCCGTGCGCCTCCGTCGTTCAAACCGACGCGCCCCCTGCGTGAAAACGACGGAAAGTGCAGCGTTCATCACAGATAAAGTTCGGCGTTCATATATATTTAACGAATGTGCAAATGCGTCCTTTGTGCCCCGTCTGCTTCCGTACTTGCTAATAAAATGTTACTTAAAACAAACCAACTACCCCCGCCCCACCCCCCACTCCGGCGCATGTAGGAAAGCGTTTCACAATCCATGCGTATGCGCGATTTTTCCCGGTGCTGTACGGACAGCCGGTGCTGAGCCTGGTGCTGTACGGGTTGACGGGCGGCGTTGGCTTCCTGGTGCACTACGTGCTGCCCCAGCTGCGCAAGCAGCTACCCTGGTACTGCTTCGCTCACCCGCTGCTCAAGACGCGCGAGTACAGCCAGTTCGAAGTCAGAGGTAAGATGGTTGTTGCTCGGGGTGTCTTGTTTTTACTCCTCCCTTCCCACCCAGATCCCGGCCGGACTTTTGGTAACGTGTTCAGCGGGGGTAATGTTAAAATGCGTGGATATTTCGCACTGCCGAAATGGCTCTCGTCAGCGAATAATAAGGGGGGAGAGTATTTGGTGTATTAGTTTTATTGTGAATTGTCACCTATGACCGAATCATTGGGAATGCACCCAGTCTCATCATATCTTGCAAGTCCAATCTCATCACATCCCTCAAATATATATAATAACAACGACAACAATAATACATAAAAAAAAAATCCTGCATCGTTTTTTATTTTTATACGGAGCACTGGTTGTGTTAGTAAAGCGCCGGGGGTCAGCGTTGGTTTGACACTCTCGCGATCGTCGCCAACCCCACCCGTGTCCCCCCCGCACTCCCCGTGTTTGCAGAACCAGCGCAGCTCATGTGGTTTGAGAAGTCACAGGTGTGGCTGCAGTTCCTGGAGAAGAACTTCCTGTACCCGGCCGTGGTGCTGAGCGCCATGACCAACGACGCAAAGACGATCGCCAGCCCCGACCGCCTGGGCCCTTAGTGCGTGAACCTCACAGACACGCCGCTCAACCTGCGACGGCCTCCGGTCAATGTGTCGATCCCAATCTATTACTAAGCGTCACTTTTAGCATTTGCAGCAAGTGCGGTGGAACGTCACACTCTTACCCTTGCCGTAATTGCGATTGCAATTGTGTCATCGAGAATGAATTACAATTAGAGCGTAAATATATATTTAGGCTAACTGCCGCTGCTTTAATTTTAATTGAAGCCACATCCAGCTTGGATTAATACAAATGGACAAATCTGAGCTTGAACGTCCAGTGGTTGGTTGCATGAAGCGAGTGAACTTTGCTTTTGTTTTTTTATTTTGTACCTCAGCCGGTGCAAGATGAGTTTTTACTCGGGATGTGAAATGTAACTAGTTTCAACAGTTCAAATCACAACTGGGCTTTCGGAAGCAATGCAAGGGCTCAGGCTTTCAGCTGTTCACCCACACTTTCAGCTTACGGCTGTGTGTCTGGGAAAGCATCAACCTTATTATCCCACTTCTATCAGGTGCTTTTAGACCCATGAGGGCAGCGGCACATCCCCGCTCCAACATGTAAATAACCAAACTTCACTATGGGGACCTCATTTGCCAGTAAAAATATGATAATTGGTTCTTTACCCTTCTATCTGGCAACAAAACTGACACCTTTTTGCAAGGAGTCATGTTTGCATAGACCGCAATACCTGCAGTCATAAATACAAACAAAAGACATAACTCTGATAATGTGCACTGTCCTTGAAGTTGATTGGTCCACACCCGAGACAGCTTTCCTTCGAGCCTAGTCTCATATGGGTTGGACCAGATGACGCCAAAAGGCGCACAACTCAAGGACAATGCACCATCAGAGTATGAGAGCTCGGGGCAAGCATCTACACTATCAACTTCAAGGACAGTGCACATTATCAGAGTTATGTCTTTTGTTTGTATTTATGACTGCAGGTATTGCGGTCTATGCAAACATGACTCCTTGCAAAAAGGTGTCAGTTTTGTTGCCAGATAGAAGGGTAAAGAACCAATTATCATATTTTTACTGGCAAATGAGGTCCCCATAGTGTAGATGCTTGCCCCGAGCTCTCATACTCTGATGGTGCATTGTCCTTGAGTTGTGCGCCTTTTGGCGTCATCTGGTCCAACCCATATGAGACTAGGCTCGAAGGAAAGCTGTCTCGGGTGTGGACCAATCAACTTCAAGGACAGTGCACATTATCAGAGTTATGTCTTTTGTTTGTATTTATGACTGCAGGTATTGCGGTCTATGCAAACATGACTCCTTGCAAAAAGGTTTCAGTTTTGTTGCCAGATAGAAGGGTAAAGAACCAATTATCAACCAAACTTCACTCGCCCCATTCGGGAATTGAATTGTCACGCCACTCACCCTGACAATTCATTGCGACCCAGCTCGGCCCAACCGTTAATCCCATTCGCTCCTCTGTGTGCGTGCCGCTTCCCCGTGCGTCCTGCGTGCGCCACCGCAGTGTGGGGGCGCTGGCGGTGGTGGTGGCCGGCATGAAGCTGCTGCGCTTCTCCTTCAGCAGCCCCACCTACCAGTACGTGACGCTCATCTTCACCGTGCTCTTCTTCCGCTTCGACTACCCCGCCTACTCGGAGACCTTCCTGCTCGACTTCTTTTTCTTCTCCATCGTGTTCAGCAAGGTGAGTGCGGTTGCGTGGGCGCGCTAGTGACGTGCGTGTAAGCGGGGTTTCACCGTATTGTTATTAGACTTATTATGAATGTCTACCTATGACCGGATCAATGGCAATGAGTTCTCGGGAGCCCCAATCTCATCACATCCCGCAAATATATAATAACTTTTTAAAAGTGAATTCCTACATTCATTTTTTTTGTACTTAGGACTGGTTGTTTTTGTAACGTGGGGGGATGGGGGAGTCGTGAAGGGGAGGAGGGGCAGAGTTTGTTTGGCCCTCACACGATCGTTGCCAACCCTACCCGTGTCCCCCTCGTGTGCCATGCCGGCCTTCATAGGTGCTCGCTAACAGCACTCGACCCAACAATCTGTTCAGGCTATATGGGGGATCTTTCTCTGTAGCGTGCAAACCCAAATGTTTGAACCAGCAACCTCCGGATTGCAAGTCCAGTGTCATAATCATTACATCATGGCAAACATCCTTAACTGAATGCAAGTGCGAATGACTTGAGATATTGTAGATGGAGGAGAGTTTATGTTTTTTTGGAGTGGCAGCTGATGGCGAATGTTTATCTGCCCCCAGCTCTGGGACCTGTGGCACAAGCTGCGCTTCGTGTTCACGTACATCGCGCCGTGGCAGATCACGTGGGGTTCCGCCTTCCACGCCTTTGCCCAGCCCTTCGCCGTGCCACGTATCCTTCCTGGCCTCTCGCCCGTTCGTTCAACCGCTGGGCTAATTTCGACAGTCTTCCGTCAGCAGAATCAGGCTCACTTGAATCAATGCTGTGGATATCTGTGAAAATACACCGGGCATCTTTGAAAATTCTGGACATAGAGCTTCATAGCTCATCGGATTCCTCGAGTCTAAATTACTCAAATTCTGAATCAATGCTGGTGAACTGCCAGATATTAATGGTAAGGACCCATCCCTAAGATCCAAGATCGATGCAAAATGATAATGCATTACTCAGGTCAACTTATTGCTTGTCTGGGCTGTGAATGTAATTCACGTCCCCGAGAAATGAAAGTGGACCTGTGGAACTGATTACCTGTCATGCACATGCATGGGGGAAATTGTAACGGATAGTTCTGTGTTGTTATTGTGGGGAACGACGTCCACCCCACCGCCCTCGCTAGGCAGGTGGGGCGTGACGTCCGCCCCTTGCGCTCCCTCCTCCACCGCGTCCGCCAGCTCCTGCCAGGCCCCCGCCGACCGAGTGATCGGCCCCCTGCGCTAGCGCCCTCTCTGAGAGACATATTCGTGCTTCTGGCGCACAGCCGCACGGAGTTAACCGACACACTCTCGTACACCACATCTAACGCAGCGTACAGCGGCACGTTCGCACCCACATCTGCAAGCGATTACCTGAACGAGCGCCCGTGCACACCACAGCTAACGCAGCGTACAGCGGCATGCTCGCGTCCACATTTGCAAGCGATTACCTCAACGAGCGCCCGTGCACACCGCAGCTATCGTTAAAAAATCCAGGGTTACGTTATCCTGCGCGGCCAATTGTGCCCTACCTTTGATTCTCACTCGGTTTCCTTCCCTCACATGGAGCGCTGCGATGGTTGCTTCTGCGACCTATTGTCTATCCACCCTTACTAATGAATTTCTTACTTATCCTGTTTTATCCGGCAGGACGTCCGGCTGGCGAATACACACCCTGCTAGCGTGTATTCGGTCTGGGGCTGGGGGAAGTCGTGGCGCTGCGATCCCCTGACCTCATGGTCTGCTCTGCTCGCTTAATATTCCACCCCCGCCCCCTCCCCAATGTCGTGCATGGCTCATTGTGGCTGGCCCCGGTGAACCTTTTTGCGCCCATACAATTTTAAGTCAACTCAGGGGCACCGCAATGTGACCTGTCCTGCGAGGGTCGGCCAATCTCCTGGCACCGGGAAACCGTGGGGGACTTTCCTCATAGGGACCTTTCGGATTAAGACCCGTTGTGCCAGGCAATCCCCCGCCAGGACACTTTGTGTGTGAGCTCAGTGTGGGGGCCAGGGGGGAGTCGCGGGGCTTGCAGAGTTGCTCCGAGACCATGGCACCACACTATCACTAAATGAGATATACATCGGATAAAGCAACTTGGAAGTTGACAGCTGGTAGGCGTTGTAGTTGGGCAAAGGGGGTGAGTATGTGTGATTGCACAGGGCAGGATGGAGGGAGGGCAGGTTACCTAGATGGGCATTTGGAGTGACACCCAGAGGTTGTTGACCAATCAGATTTTGGAGGTCCAGTGTCAACGTCTTGAGAGATCTAGCAGAAGTAAGGAAGCAATATCTAGGTATGGTGATGTCGACTGTGGTGTGACCTCTTGATCTTGACGTGAGGTTACATATACAGCCACCTTGCGAAATCAAAAATGAACGCCGAGTGGAGGAATCCTGTCGCCAATAGGCATGCGAGAGATGCTGACGTTTGAAGAGAGGTTTCTTTCTTTGTTTAACCTTAACGTGCGCTCGCAGACTCGGCCATGTTGTTTGTGCAGGCCGTCATCTCGGCCGTCTTCTCAACACCATTGAACCCGTTCCTGGGCAGTGCCATTTTCCTCACGTCATACGTGCGGCCCGTGCGCTTCTGGGAGCGAGACTACAAGTGAGCGACTGCTGCCCGCTCCCTCTCGAGTTCTCTCTTTCACGGGAGCGTGTCCGGTGTAGTACTTGTTGGGCATGTCGTGTGATGCTCAAATACGACCACCAACCAGCACCAGTACCAACGTCACCACGACGACCATCGTCACGGCCAATACTCAAAATACCACCGCTCCCGCCATGGTCAACGCCGCCAACACCATCACCACTATCATGACCGCCAAATACCATCGCGAGCACCACCGCTATATCACCAGCACCACCACCAACATTACCCTTGTCATTGGCAGCACCAGCCCTGCCCCCAGTCCCACTGCATTCAGATTGAAATTGCACACTACCATACGGCGATTGTGCAATCGCGATCGGGTGAGTACCGCGTTCACGTGCATCGCGGGTTGCGGCGTCTTAATTGCGAACCCGTTTCTATCCACGCTTCTTGAATCGCTGCAGTTAATGGAACCTTTGGCAATGACTTGGTTATGTAAACGACCTGTGACGCGACATCGGCTTATGAGCAGCTCTCTGTTTCTCCCCCCCGTCTGTCTGTTGTCCACAGCACCAAGCGGGTCGATCACTCCAACACTCGGCTTGCCACGCAGCTTGACCGCAGTCCCGGTGAGCAGCACAGCTGCCCATTCTCCCCGCCCCCCCCCCCGCCGTTTCCTGTCACTGGCATACGCACACGCACGTGCAGGGTGGTGATCGCTTGCCCCTGGTTATCCCAAAATGAGTGTAAATTGATATTTGCCAGACAAAACACGTGTATTTTTATTTCCGTCATTAGGAAGCCACTGGAGCTATGCACTTTTAAATATAACTTGAAAATGAATTTCTTTAGTACTGCTTTTTGTGTTTAGTTTGTTGTCTTTCCTCCGATTGGCTAAGTACAGTGCGAAACAAGTTCAACATATATACGTACATCATAACAGTTGGACATTTCTGGACCGCCCTGCCCTGTGAAGTTCGTAGATCCACCTCTGGCAGACACAGTCCACATGTTCATTTCACACAACCCGCGGCCGCATGAGGCCTACCAGTTTTAAACGGCCCTCACAATCAATGTTCATCCGTGACTGCGTTTTAGCCGCGCTGATCAGTGGTGGTGCGCACGCCTGTAATCGAGCACTCGAGGGGAGAGTTGGGGGATCGCACACAATAGTTGTGATACTACCACTTTCATTTGTTGGTTGTAAATATATGAAACATTGTAGCAATTAATTGGTTGAAATGTATTTTCACAGTCACGATGCATGCATCAAAATGTGTGTGTGTATAGCTTTTTATTTCAGTCTATGTTAGGTAAGTGCAAATTAAACCTTTTGGCGAATGGGCCGAAGGAGATAGAACAACCAAGGTATAGCATTTGAAACAGACAGTACAATCAAAGTATGTATGTTGAACATCTTTCGCGCACTGTAATAATTTTATATCTACCCATCCGTCACTCGCTGTGCCACATCCTGACGATTTACGCATTTAAATAAAACCGCAGGTGCGGACGATAACAACCTCAACTCCATCTTCTACGAGCACCTGACGCGCTCACTGCAGCACAGCTTGTGCGGCGACCTGACCCTCGGCCGCTGGGGAAACTACACGACGGGCGACTGTTTCATCCTGGCGTCCGACTACCTCAACGCCTTCATCCACCTCATCGAGATTGGCAACGGGCTCGTCACCTTTCAGCTGCGCGGCCTGGAGTTCAGAGGTCGGTTGTGCGTGCTGCGTGTGCTGTGCGCGCGCGTGTATGTATAAGTTCGTGTACTTGTGTGTGCTTTGGATAAGGAAGCGCTCGCAATATTTGAAGATTCGCGACGCCAATGTTGCAAGTTGAAGTTCCCAAATTGCCCTGGATAATAGGTTTAGTTGATTTTATGGACATAGAATAAATGTAGAAACTCTCTCGGTCTTCAACCGCAATGTTTTCTTTTACTCATTTAAATGTTAAACAAGCTTTGCGAAGCGTCTTGATTTGCGACGGCATCTATACACTTGTGATCGCATGACAGAGGAGTGGACCGTGCGCTTCCTCAGGCACCTATTGCCAGCAGCGGGAGGTGGAGGCGATCACGGAGGGCGTGGAGGAGGACGAGGGCTGCTGCTGCTGTGAGCCCGGCCACCTGCCGCACGCTCTGTCCTTCAACGCCGCGTTCGGGCAGCGCTGGCTCGCCTGGGAGGTGTCCGTGGTGAAGTACGTCCTCGAGGGCTACAGCATCACGGACAACAGCGCCGCCACCATGCTGCAGGTGTTCGACCTGCGCAAGATCCTGCTCACGTACTACGTCAAGGTGAGCCGTCGGTTGGGCGGCGGGTGCGGGTGGGGCACAGGTGTGTGGCGTACCTGCCGGGGGGGGGTGGGGGGGGTTCGTGGCTTTCGAGGAGGGCGCAACACAAAAATAAAACCGCGTGGCTGTGGAAGCGTTAATCCTTTCCGGAAGTAAAAGGCCATGCTCGAGGGCGTGGCTCAGTTTGGTGCCAGCTGTCGTGGAGTGCAGTCGTGCCGCTACAGTTCTCTGTGGTGAATACACTTATTTAAAAACAACGGCGCTACGCGTCTCTAAATAGAATTGACGCGAACTGCTCGCGCGTTCCGAGATTCAGAGGTGAACGGGACCCCCACCCACCTGCAATTTGTAGTCGTCTTGGAAGGGGAAAGTGTTAACAGCTGCTTTCTCTGTAAGCGATCGCCATTGGCCGCTGGCCCCTCCCCTCCTAAGCACGTGTCACCTGCGTCTCGCGTGCAGAGCATAATCTACTACGTGGTGAGCTCGCTGCGGCTGGAGGAGTGGCTGGAGAGCGAGGTGGTGCGCGAGGGGCTGCGCCCGTGCTGCGAGCGTGGCTACGCCGACGTCGACCCGACCTTCAACCCCAACATCGACGAGGACTACGACCATCTGCTGTCGGGCGTCTCGCGCCAGAGCTTCTGCAACGTCTACCTCGAGTGGATCCAGCACTGTGCTAGCCGGCGCGAGCAGGCGAGATTGCAGCCTGTGCACCCATTTGTTGATGTTTTCACCATCCGTGCTGATCTGATTGAGTACTTAGTTAATCAATCGAAAAGCCTTGAGAAATGTAATCCTGATCTCGATAAAATTTTTCCCATCAGCCCTCCATGGTCACTACTACTTGTCCTCTGCAGATATTGGTCCACAGGAATGTAGAATTTTCACATGCAGTGAATTAGACAACACACAATATAGTACAAAACGAGACTTATCGTATACAGGAGACGGCATGTGAGATAAAAAAAAAGTCCTGCTCACGAATGAATGGTGATCCCAACTTCGTTATGGAGGCTGTTCACAAGCTCCACTCGATTCCCTACACTCTCGAATTCCATGTTCCTGTCGCTGCCAGAAATCTTGAAAACTAAACTTGTGCTCCCCGAAGGCACCGTTCTCGCATTCTCGAGAATATAAACTAGGGTATAGACTGGAGCGTGTAGATGGCCACCAATGGAAACCAGGCTCAGTGTAATCACTAAATCCTTGTAACGTGGCGATCTATTGAGCCTGGCATGGAGGACGACGAGTCATTACATCCAAAAGATTGTGGGACTTCTGATAAAAAACAATAATTATAAACACGCGAATGAATAAATCAATGAGTAAGTGAGTGAATGAATGAATGTTGCCGTGTGGGCTGGAGAGCAGGCGGTGGATAGTGCCAAGGACTCGAACCTCGTGACTCTCTGCTTCGGGCTCTGCGTGCTGGGACGCCGAGCCTTGGGCACCGCCTCCCACCACATGTCCTCCAGGTGAAGGTTATCTGGACAATAGACTGACACACTGGCCTCACGAGGGATCTAGACAATAGACTGACAGACCGGACACTGACAGGGCCTCTGAGACAATGGACTGACAGACTGGTCCCACATGGGATCTCTAGACAATAGACTGACAGACCGGACACTGACGGGGCCTCTGAGACAATGGACTGACAGACTGGTCCCACATGGGATCTCTAGACAATAGACTGACAGACTGGACACTGACAGGGCCTCTGAGACAATAGACTGACAGACTGGCCCCACGTGGGATCTCTAGACAATAGAGTGACAGACCGGACACTGACAGGGCCTCTGAGACAATAGACTGAGAGACTAGTCTCTCATAAGTGCCGTTGCATTTTACAACGTGATATGGTTGCAACTGTCTCGAGTGCTTGTGTCCCAGCACTGATGCCGCAGTGCGTGTGGGCGGGTGCAGCAGCCTGGAGCCCTTCCTGTACGGGCTCCATGCCCTCTTCAAGGGCGACTTCCGCATCACGTCGCCCAAGGACGAGTGGATCTTTGCCGACATGGAACTCCTGCGCAAAGTGGTGGCCCCGGGCGTGCGCATGTCACTCAAGTTACACCAGGTCAGCAGACGAGGCCTGTCTCCTGGTCTAACACCTTTCTTTGAACCTGCTTCTTGGTTAAACTCTCACTGGGGATGATTGAAAAGTGTGTGGCCTGACATAGGAAGTATAATGGTTGACCTCACCTTAATGGAACTTATTTCCAAGGCTTTTTAATCGCCAGCCGCAAAGAGTCACATAGACCGAAAGAACCAAGAAGATGAATTCCTGCAGTCACGAAAGTTTTAAATTGAAATTCCTTGTCTCGCTCATGAAATCAGCTGGTCACAGCACACGTCCCCCTGTTGCTAGATCACCGCGCTTTCTCCTCGCCAGGACCACTTCACGTCCCCGGACGAATACGAGGACCCGGCAGTTCTGTACGACGCCATCTGGAACCACGAACGCGAGCTCGTCATCTCGCACGAGGGCGACCCCGCGTGGCGCAACGCCGTGCTCTCCAACCGCCCCTCGCTGCTGGCGCTGCGCCACGTGCTGGACGACGGTTCGGACGACTACAAGGTCATCATGCTCAACCGCCGCTACCTGAGCTTCCGCGTCATCAAGGTGGGGCGGGGGGGGCGGGGGGAGTCCGAGGTGGGACCGGGTGGCATGAATAACCGCGCGTGAAACCCATGAATTTATCACGAGTAGTGAAGTGGCACATGAGGATGGCTGCTTGCGTTGTGGCCGAAACGTCGTGAGAATTATTTTATTATGTTTTATTTTTATTATTTTTTATTATTTCCATTCTACGTGACTTTACCGAAAGAACCAAGAAGATGAATCCCTGCAGTCACGAAAGCTTTAAATCGAAATTTGGCACATAGCTATTGAGTTTGCAGGCGGTGCAAGTGCACTGGTGGCACATGGGGGTTGGAGAGCACCCGATCATTGGGCTATGAAGAGGGAGGAAATTGGGCATGGAACCCAATTTAATACCTCACATCAATTCCTATAATAATGATAATTATATTTTAACGTGCACAGTGATTGCTCACTCTCGTGTAGAGAGAATGAGACTTGAGGAGCCACAGACAAGCAGGAAGCCGTCGCCGACAGTCGCCTAAGCTCTGCAGTCCTCTATATATTGTGTTGTTGGCCAATTAATGAATGTTTATATGTGGGAGGAAACAACACTTTATCCCATGCAGACGGAACAGGTGGGGGTCTGCATTTTTTCTGTGACGCCAACCTGCAGTGCGCCGCTGCTCACGAGCGTAAGGAATCACTTGTCAAAATCTCTGAACCGTTGCGTTCCCACTCGCGACGTCGCTTCCCGGCAGGTGAACCGCGAGTGCGTGCGGGGCCTGTGGGCCGGCCAGCTCCAGGAACTCGTGTTCCTGCGAAACCGCAACCCGGAGCGCGGCAGCATCCAGAACGCCAAGCAAGCGCTGCGCAACATGATCAACTCGTCGTGCGACCAGCCCATCGGATACCCCATCTACGTGTCGCCGCTCACCACCTCGTACGCCGGCACGCACCAGCAGCTCCGCTCCGTCGCCGGCGGGGCCATCACCGTCCGCAGCATCGGACACTTCCTGGCTGCCACCTGGCACAGGTGTGTGTGCGTGCGATTGTGTGCGAGGAGAGATGTAGTGTAGCGGTGAGCGCTACGCTGCGTTACCAACTCGGCGAGCCGGGTTCGATTCACGCTCACGCCCACCAACACCAGTGACGATTATTTGAACCGTTCCTGGCCCTCCCCTAGGTCGACTCAGCCTGAAATGAGTACCTGGTGTGGTGTGTAAACATTGCCACTGGAGAGACGAAGGCGGTCGGGCGTGGTGCTGGCCACCCACCCCGTTCCGGCCTTAATAGGTGCTTTCTAACAGCACTCTCCCCTACAGTCTGTTAAGGCTATATGGGGGATCTTTGTACACGTAGATTCGTGTTTGCGCGTGGGCATTTGTGCCGCAGTGGTTAGTTCACTGCACTCTGAACCTGATGACCTGAGTTTGATTCCCAATCACAGCCAACATCTGTGCCGAGTGGTATCTGAAATAATCCTGGGTTGACTTTGTCTTGATTGAGTACCTTGTTCATTGTGAGAACATCAGCACTTGGGATGCAAACACAGCCAGGAATGGTGGAGGCCACACTATTCCACTTAATAAGTGCACAGTAAAAGCACTTGCCCCAACAGACTATATAGGCTGTTATAGAGAATAATATGTCTTGGTATGTGTGTGTCTATGTGAAGTATGTATCAATGCATGTGTGTGATAACCTATAACCATCTGTGTCATTTGGACCTTTAGCAAGTATTCCTCCTCTCATGTGTCGTATAATTGCCTGGCACAAACACCGTGATTACATCACTATTTACAGTGATAAGACACAGTCAATTGACACTAGGAAGCACATATTTGTGCATCTATCGGTATCGCTTATGTGCTTGCCCATAATATCCTGCTCTCACGCATGACCTCATCCAGCGAGGCTACATCACTACACCTAGATTCAGTGCACCTAGCCTGCCCCAAACACCGTGTTCGATGTTACCACAAATGGTATATCGGAAGCCCGTTGCATTGATTTTGTTGCATATGTTGGAGAGCCTTGACAATTCTGCCATCGATCCGATTGCTTCTTGGTCCACGTGTAAAGTTTTTTTTTTACGTGGCTCGTGCCGCGCGCAGGATGCGGAAGGGGTGCGGCGCCGGGTGCAACAGTGGCGGAAACGTGGACGACTCTGATTGCTGCGTCGGGGGGCTCTCGTCCATCGGGGGAGGTGGCGGTGCCGTGGGCCCAAATCCCGGGGGGAACCCCTCCCAGGGGAACGCGGGGCACGCTGGCGTCAACGCCCCTCCAACCGGCAGCCACGCCGCCATGCAGCCCGTCATAGGGCAGCCCGTGCCAGGTGTGTGGAAGGGGCCGGTGATCCGTTTTAATGACTGCACACTCAACAAGAAACCCTCGATAAAATATTCTCCGGCTCTTTGTTCTTCGGCGCGCGCGCGTGATTTTTCTCTGGCTCCCATCAGCCGCAGCTGCCGGGTGTTCACCCACTGCCGTCACTCGCCTGCGCTGCGCAGGTTCCCTGGGGCAATCCCTGCAGGCTGGGCTGGTGCGCGCCTCTCCCCAGCGAGGCGCGGGCGTGTCGCAGGGCAGCCAGACGTCCGTGCTGTGGTACGGCGCCAGCGGAGGAGCGGGTGGCACTGGCGGCGGCGGCCGGCAGCCCTCGTCGCTCCGTTCGGGCGTCGTGCCGGGCTCCTGGTGCCACTCGTCGTTCCGCAACGCCTCCGAGGGCGCCGGCCTCGCCTCGCTGTGCACGCCCGAGATGGTGGGCGGCGGCGGAGGAGGAGGAGGAGGAGGCGGAGGAGGCGGCGGCGGCGGTGGAGCGAACCGGTCGAGCCTGGCGTCTTCGAGCAGCTCGACGCTGAGCAGCGTGATCCTGCCACTCGGCAAGCGCAGCACGTCCACGCTGGCCACCATCGCGGCGGGGTTGCTGGCGCCCGAGGCCAGCGCTAGCCTCGCGGGCAACGCCGGCAGCAACGCCGACTCGCAGTCCAACGCAAGCACGGGCACGGGCTCCAGCGCAGGCTCGGGCAGCGGGTGCGGGGGGCTGCCCTTGTCGGCGGCGGCTGCGGTCAGTGGTATCGGAGGTGGCGGTGGGACTGGCGGATCGGCAGGTTTGACCTTGGCGAGTTTTGGCGGAACACCGCCCAGGAGGGAAACCGTTGGTGCCAGAGTTCAGGTGAATGAACAGAAGGTGGTTTGGTAATTGTGTGTGTGCACGTGAGAAACAGTTGTTTTCTAAGGGGGGGCGGTGTCCCATTGGTTAGCGTGTCGCGCTACGAACCCGGCGACCCGAGTTCGATACCCGCTCATGGCCATCACCAGTGACGATTATCTGAACCGGTCCTGGGCCTCTTTTAGGTCGACTCAGCTTCACATTAGTACCTGGTGAGATGGTGAAACATCGCCAGGAGGGAGGCAAAGGCGGCCGGGTGTAGTGCTGGCCATCCAACGCCACCTCGTGTGCTGTGCCGGCCTTCATATGTGCTCGCTAACAGCATTTGCCCCAACAGTCTGTCACGGCTATACGGGCGAATCTTTGTCTTCGTGAGAAACAGTGTTTTTTCGTTCTTAAATATTGCACGTAGTAAGTTCACGTAACTCATATAGCGACTATGGGCACGACATTGACCATGGTGGGGTGGGGGGGGGGTGGGTGTTTTTTTGTCTCCGTGCATCAGATTGTGGACGTGAGCCAGGTGCTGGACTCGGTGCATGCCTCCAAGCGCCGTGAGCTGCAGTGGCCGGACGACTCGGTGCGGGCGCGCGCTGGCCGGGCTGCTTGGCGCGACTGGAGCCCCCAGGATGGCATGGAGGGCACTGTACGTCAGCCACTGCTGCTGCCGCAGCCACCACCGCCACCAAGGCCGCGGCTGCCTCCCCGCCACGCGGGCGAGGGAGACACCCCTTAGCCCCCCTCCCCTTCTCGCTTTTCATGCCCAGTTATTTCGTGCCGATCCGGCTGGTATTGACATGGTGGAAATTTGCCGAAAGACGTTTCTGTTTGGAACTCTCGCGGCGGTCACCGATGTCACTTTGTCAGAGAGTGGCTCCCGGAGGTGGCGTTAAGAAGTGTAGCGTCGCCTCCATTGCCTTCTTATCCACACTTGGTGGTTCACCCCTTTTTACGTTGTGGGTAAAGGAGCGTTTGTTGTTTGGCAATCAGACTTTCATTTTTGTTTTGGTTCTAAAAGCTGTGATAAGCCAAATTTACGTGAAAAACCAAAACCTTTGTATGTTTTGTGCAGTATGTAATTTATAAGCGTGGGTGGCTAAACCCAGAGTCTAACCCATGATCTCTGCACTGTTAGCGGTTTGTTTTTAATAATCTTAGGGACCATAAACAGTTATTCGTATTACCCCACCGAACGTATTTCTGGCACCCCTAATACTCTTTCCCACACTACCTCATGGCAGCCGTGCCCTTAACCCAATGGTTTACCCAAAGTTCACCTCTTCCCTAACGTTCTGACACTAACCCTCTTAATTGTCCACGTAACCTCTGTTCATAATGTGCTGTCTAATATAGTTTGCCCTCCTGAGCAATGTATTGAGACAACACGAGGGAGATATCCCACTAAACGACACAATGACATGGTTTGGTTCATAGGCTGGCTTTGGGTCTGTCCTGTGTTTGTTTCTAATGGGAACTTCTGTGTTGTTTCACTCTGCTTTGCTGTGCATGCTTGATTGCTCGCTTTGCTTTTCCTTAAAAATCACACCTGACCCTTACTTTTGCACTGACCGCTGATCGATCATTTTTTCTTTTAACATGTTTATAAACACGTCGCCTGGCCCTGTCTGAATTTTCTCAACTCTTTGCTCACGGCCACACACTTCTGTCCACCACTGACCTCTAATGACTGCCTACACGTCACCTCACTACTTCCTCTACTCCATTGTTTAATTTGCTGCACTCATCCATCGCGTTGCTCGCTTTCGTACAACCTCATCTGCCACTTCTCCACACCCTGCCCTTTTCCCCTCGGCTGGTGGTCGCCCATCCTGCCCCATCGCCTCCCCCCCCCCTCCACTTCCGCCATTGCCTCCCCGAATCGCTGCAATCTGAGCCCCTTCCCCGCGCCTCTCCCTCCCTCGCTGCCTGCCTGCATCCGCCACCGCGCGCTGCGTTCCGACGGGCAGGTGATCCATCGCTGGGTGCCGTGCAGTCGCGACCGCGTGAGTCGCTCGCACCTGGACCGCGCCATCCTGCTACTGCAGATCAGCGATAAGTACGTGCCCATCCTAGAGAGCGGCGTCACGGAGCTGGCCGAGAGCACGTAGCGCCACGATGGATGCCGACTTCCAACCGGTCCTCCTTGCCCCCCTCCGCCGCCGCTATCAGCGCGCCATCAACTCCTCGGGAGACGCACCCTGCTCTGTGCGAAATGCTGTCTTCCCCCCCGGCCCATCCCTCCTCCCACCACCGCTTGCGTGCTTGCCACCACCCGTGCACTGGCTGTCGAGGATTATGGGTAGCCTCGGTAAGTGTTTGGTTATCGGCCGAGACCTCTTTTGAGACACTCGCGGACGAATCGTTGGGAGGAAGCTGAGCCGTGCGCAGACTGCTGCTGTCATCGCCGCTGGGGGAGTGGGGCTGCCTGCCTTCGGGTTGGAATCATCGAGCGGTGTGGTTGGCATTGAGAGCTCAGAACTGCAGGCGTCTGGTGAGCACTACCCCCTCGCATGATGACGCCGAGACTCAGCGCTCTGGACGCAGCCCAGCGTCTCAAAAAAACTCGCCCAGTGCTTTCAGACTTGTGATTTGTCAATATAATCGTTTTTATGTTTTCCAAACTACTGGCTGCATCCTGAGATGTTGTCGGTGTAGAAACAGGCTTAATATATATTTTTTAATTCCTGTACCAATCGCCATTAAAAAAAGAAATGAATACCGAGTTTGTAAATAAGGCACCCAAGAGGGATGCAATGGGCAATTGAGTTCATGAATATTAATCGCAGCACCTTTACATTTTGAGTATTTTTGCTTGAAGAAATCGGTTATTTTTCTTGTTGGTTCACAGTCTCAAAAGTTATGACTACGAAACAGCCTTAAATATTTTAGGGACAGCAAAATGTGGCCCCCAGGGTGGCAGGGCTTGGCATTTTAAGCCCTGGGTTTACACACTGGCCTCATATCTTGAGCGTGACGCTTATGTAAAGTGTAAAAAAACATTGCTGCGTTGTCTGCCGGGCTATTTCTGTTTTTCAAACAAGCATGATGAACAACAAGTCGGCCTACTGCAGGCTATTTACATATCCGTTGGTCACAAAAGAATATCTGTTGCAGCCCTTAAGCATATCTGAGAAATTGTGGTGTAGTTTAAGGAGACGTTGCAGTGAATCGAGAACTTGACACTTGCAGCATTTTGACCAAACATTTCATTTCTCAATCATTTTTTGTGGATGGGTAGACCCTCAAGTGAGAGATTATGAAGGAGGGGGTAACCTATACTTGTGTTTTCAGGCTTCAGTTGAGTGTTTTGACAGCAGTCAGTACCAAGAAAAGGTTAAGTTGGAGAACGAAAGATCTATCGGTCAAAAAAAAGGCAGGGATTTTTATTTTACTGTAAATGTACCGCACGTTTGTGAGCTCTCGGGGTTTCTGAGTTAAGATGTGCGAATTATACACCCAAGGAATTAACACCATTATAACTCGGCACCCCCCCCCCCCCCCAATACTTTGTGAAACTTCTTGTTAAACCGTTTTTGAAAAGGACAAATCCATTTGATGGCTGGAATAAGGGGGGTGGGGTGGGTTAATGTTACATGAAGTGAGAATGGCTTTATGTAATGCTCGTTGAGCCAGCTTTCCCACGCCAGCCAGGGGACTTTGTTGAGTCGGGCTTCCTTCACTTAGATCCACCACGATGCGATCTGCCGGTGAGCTCTCTGTTGCCTGTCCGTGTTACCCTTGGGTTGGGCAGGTAACGGTGAATGAAGCAACTTTGCTTTGGAATGTAATGACCTCAAACCATGTTAATGGACATTCATCTTCAGTTTTCACTTTGGAAAAGCAATAATGTCACTTGCTGACACGCTTATCTTGAGCTCATTGAGCCCTCAGGGGCACTCTTCTTACTGCATCTATACAGCAGTCGGCAGTGCTCGTGTAGAATTTAGTCACTGGAGAGTAAACGACGACACAAATCCACAATTCGAGGTGTTATTCAAAATACAATTCACTGGTACTTTCACTCGTGACAGCGAGGTTGATAGCACCATCCGATTCGACTGATCACAGATGAGTGGCTCGCAGAGTGAATGCAAGAGACGTGCGCGGAAGGGGGTGACGGGGGATTTGGAGGAGCTTGCTCCAAATCATCGGAATCTTTATTTCGACTGGAGGAATTCTATGAGCTATGAAGACGTCCAGTATAGATGGATCAGAAAGCCTGGCAGGTGGCTGCGACGGGGGTGGAGCGCACGGCTCTACCGCAGTGCGAACTTAACAAGTCCCGATTTCGGCAAGACAACAACATTGGATGAAGTGTTTTGGCGATACACACAAGTGTAAAAGCTACTTGCAAGATGGGTAGGTGGATCGTGCAGCCATGTGAGTTCTGCCTCGCCTAATCTAGCAGCTTGTCGCCATGATCGTGTTTATTCGACGCATAGTCTGCTACGCAACAAGGTGGTACCTGTAGGGAGCGGTATAGTGTGAGGTTTGTGCCAGGCTGCCTGCAGAGGTTTGAGTGCAACACCGATAATATGCATTCGTATTTTTGGGGTACTCTTAGTTTCACTCTACAAGCTAAATAAATATTGTACTCATGGATTGGCCCATCTCAAACTGGATCTTACCGGAAATATTCTTGAGACTCAATGAGACTTTCCTGGGTAGAGCTTCCAAACGGATACGTGACATTCCCAGCGCATCAGTAAAATTGAGCATGTGTTTCGAAAGCATCTAAATGTGTCCACATCCAAGAGGCTGTCCGTGGAAAAGACATGCATCATTTGATTAGGGGAAAATAAGATTTGTTTTGGTTGAGGTTTTTTTGGAGAGGGAAGTTATGGATAGGATGGAATCAGACGGCAGAGGGGGAATGATGACACACGATAGAGGGACACGTGGTGGACATTAGTCTCAAGCCTGGTTTGTGAACAAGGGCTGTTGTCTGATGAGGTTGCTTGTAATTACCGGCAGAACGTCGTACCTGAAATGTTGTGGGTTTACTCTCCAACACACCGGTGTGCTGAACTAGTAACGAATTGGCATGTTTTGTTTTCCCTGACAAACCTTACTAATTGGCTGTGTCGGGTGGTGGTGGCGGCGGCGGGTTTCACTACAAATCTATATTAACGTGATCTAACCCCAAAAAAACTATTGTGGGTGATGGGAGTTTAAGCAGACACCAGGGCAGCAGCAGTAACACAGAAGTGGAATGACCTCCCTGTGGCATTGTTTTTTTTTTAAGATGAGAATAATAATGTTTGCCTTGTACCACAAGTGGATTGGCAGACATGGCAGCCGGAAAGATGATGGGCCTATAGCTTGACGGAAGGTGGTGGTTGTCCCCCTTCACATTTTTTTCTGGTGGAAACGCTGCGAGTCGTCACGATGCGATGGGATCTTTCTATGCATCCACCGACCACCGAACACAAGACCCCCTCGCCCTGAAGTGGGACCGCTTCACTTGATTACTTATTTCTGAGGGTTGGGGGGGGGGGTAATCAGATTTTTGCGAGAAAGTCAGGTTAAACTGGGCATTTAAATGAAACCTTTGCAAGCGGTTACAGGTCATGTCATGGTATATGTTTTCCGGCTGATGTGTACATTGGGAACACGTTTTCGCTCTTGGCTTATTGTACAAACTGTGTGTGTGTGTGTGAGCGACCAAGCCAAGATGATATTTTACATTATGCTGGCTGCATAATTGTTTATCTTGAAATGAATATTGTATAGTTTTGCATTCCCGTTTGTTTCTCTTGATATTAATCTTGGATGTACAAAAATAAGTGATCGGTCATTTTCAGCCCTTAGTCAATGCACCGCTGGAGGAATGCCTCTCCACACTCTTGGTCATGGAGGTTGCTTGACTATACTTCACCTCGCTGGTCCGTGTGGGCTGGTAAAGGGGGGGGGGGCACTGTTCAGATATCACTTGCCGTCAATGTTAGCCCTGGGCCTCGAATCGAACTCGGTCGCCAGGTTCGGAGAGCAGTGCACTAGCCACTGTGCCACCGTTCAAAAATGTTGTGCCCATGATCTCTCGCAGCAAGTTGGCCAGCAAGGGTCATTGGGCCTGGGGGAATGAGACACATTTAAATTAATAACCCGTGCTTTTCGCGTTGCTAAAAATGTTGATGAAAAGAAACTTTATCTTTATTTGTTCCCTCTCCTGTTCCATGTATTTATATGTTACTTGGATAATCTTGACCGAGTGTTGTGTAAGGGTTAAAAAGTGAAAAATTCAATTTATCGCAAGCTTATATACTGTAAAAACATATACACGAATGCTGTTCGTGACTATCGCATAAGATGGCGCATATATGATGAGAGCGTGGTGGAAAAGCAACTTTGAAAACGTTACCGCACTGCGATATATTTTTTATCTGCAGTAGTGTTAAATCCAGTAATTTTAAATCCAGTCCAGCTTTAAGTTCTGTCATTGGTTTAAGAGATCTACAATCTCTTACGTCACAAACAAACAAATACCTCACTTAGTGAAGGCCAATGAGCCCAAACGTTTACTTAACCATGGTCTTGTTCAGTCACTTATCGTTTGAGTTTCCTGCGTGTGCCTGGGTCTGTTTGTGATGTAGTGCGTTTAGCACACGACGTCTGCCGAAACTGCGGTCCATTTTCCACTTCCAAGTACACGAACCGCACCGGGTTACGTAATTAAGTGTGCACGCCAATCTTGCACTCTGGGGCATGCTCGTTCGTGCGGATGTTTGTAAATATTTGATGGAGAACCTGGATTGGCTCGCGAGCTATCCTTTTTCCCAAAGAGTTTAACCCCCCTTCGTCTAAGTGGAATGGACCGAGTTTTGCTGCATTTTCGGAACTAAATCTCACCACTCGTTCTGAGCACGCACATTTGTGCACAAACGCGCCCGCGCTTACAGGCCACATTCACTTGGCGTAGTTGCATTTGTTACGAACAACCGCTTTTGATCAGAACAACCGCTGCAGCGTATACATATACAGTAGATATGTATTGTATATATGTATACAGTATACATTGTATATACAACCAATGGAGAACTTTGCCACTAGAAACGGGACTGGATGTTTGTCCTGGGAGTCTTGAGTCCAAACTTCACGGACTTACCCGGCCCAGATTTCAAATCTGTCACCGCTCAACCTAATTTAAATAACCCAGAATATGAAAGCATACAGGAGGTTGGCTGGCATGTAAAACTGGACTGGATCATAGTGTCTGGAGCATGAGTTGAGACTTAACTGCCTTACTGCACTGGTTGAATGAAAGCTTGTTAATAGACGTGTAATGTAATGGGTTTGTTCCTCTTTATGTGTGTATATAATTGTTTTACCAGTAATGCCTTCTGTGGTTTCCATACAGGCATATTTGATTTATGTGTTTGCATACACATGTGAGTGTGCGTTCCTATTTATGTACATTTGTTCCCATGTGTAAGTGCACCTGTGCACACACGTGTGTGTACATACACACGTGTGTGCTCTGTGCATGCATTTCACGCTCAGCATTCAATTTGCAATCAAAACGTTTTCATATTAAAAAGAACGTGTTTAATTTGGGTTGTCGCGTTCGCTGTTAAAGTGTATACATCGCTTTGAGATACAGCACATTTATCCTTTCCATTTGCATTGGCCAGAGGGTTGTGTTAATTATCGTCCTCCCTTTTTTTTGTCTGTTAACTCTTTTTATTTTCTTACCCTGTGGAGAGGTTGTGAAAATGTAGATTGTGTTTTTTCTCCGTATTTATTTATGCGCGGCACCTGGGTTCCTTCTACGCAGTGACAATGTTTCAGATTGTATAACCGGTTAAAAAGGCTTTGACATGCCCTCCTCCCCGCGCGTGGAGACACCAGTTCAGGAAATTGTGCAGTTTTATTCAAATATTTTTATTCTCTTCGCTCGGTTCCTGCTGAAATAAGACACCAAATGATGGTGGCTGGATGTCTCTGGGGGGCAAATGCCCTATTGTCAGGGTCACTATTGAGCCAGCACATTTGAGATCTTTGATTTCAGGCCGCTGTTGGCAGCAGCTTAAATTGACGTGGCTTTCTTGGGGCACGTGACATCACATTGTTAGAAATGCATTGGTGTACGTCTGATTTAGCCAAGGGGTGAAAAAGTAAAGAAAAAAACAAGCGATAACAGAACAAAATAATATTCGCATTTCTTCCTTACAGCTTTATTTAGTCTTGGGCCCTTGTATGGCTGGTGATCAGTTCCCTTTAAATCAGGACACCCAGTAGCATTCGTTTGAGGCTACGTCTTGCTGATGATAATCAGAGACGATGGGACGGGTTTGAATTACCCCAAGTTCATAAACAAATTCCATTGGGGAAAGGTCGCGTTTAAACGTTATTGATGAAACAAGCCACTTATTTTTTTAAAGTAAAAAAAACATTCCCCCCCCCCCTCTATTAAAGGACACCAAGAGAATGTTCCGATTGTATACAACAACAAAAATAGGCATTATTTAGCTGACATTTCTATAACAAATGAAAGAGATAAACCACTTTTAAATTTAATCCACCTTTAATCTGCACTCATTGGATTAAATGGCATACAGTGTGTCATGCCCACATGTTCATCAGCAAGACGTATCGGCATGTGCATAAGGCGGTTATTCTCAATTTCCAGGTGGTGTCTTCATTTTCAAACGTTGCATTTCTCCCCCCTTCCCCCCCCCCCCAGTCTTCCTGATCCAGAGATAGAACCTATACAAACCATCATCACATATCACTTGACAGCCGGGTCGAATGTGCGTGTAGATTGGCAGATGTGGTTAACTAGGATCGTTGGACTACTGAGCAGAGGGAACCAGGTCTGGGGTGTGTAATCCACTGCTGTGTTCACACGGCAATGTTGTTCATGTCCTCAATTACTTGGCAGAGCTCACGTCTATACTCGGGTATGCTTTCTTGCCGGTCTTAGGTGCGGCATCCGTTACTATTACTGTTCAACCACACAGCACAAATATATCTGTGGGGGAGCAACCTTCAAACTACTGTTGGCTTTCAACATGCCACCTTTCATCACGGAGTAAATCACAAGTGATGAGTGCAAAAGAAAACTGAACACTTCATTGGCAGTGGTGTATTTACAAGCACAGACCTAAAACACATCACCACCGTATTAACAGTGCCTTGTTTCAGAAAAATATACAGCAGGCTAAAATGTCAGCCAGTGGCCCACGTGAAATAAGGGTAATTCCCTGAACGTTTGGCCTACGATGTTTCTGTTTATGTGGTGTTAATGAAGACTGGTGGTGAAGTGTTGGTTGGCCTGTGTGACTGACACAAGCCGTGGTTTATTTGCGTTTGGTCACTTTTCGCTGCCTGTTTTATTTTATTGTTGCTACCATCGTGCGCACGGCGGCGCTATGCACCACGCCAGCCACGTGTGCAGGGCCTCCACGTGAACATGCCGTGGGCTCCACCCCATCCTCGCGGCGACTGATTTTCCATACTCGGAATAGGAGCAATGACTACGTAATAGGAATAAAACATCTCCTTATTCGCCTTTGTTGTGTTTCACATTCATTTATGATGAGTTTCGTTTTTTTTAAGTTGGCAGATGTGAACACATCTTACCGGTTTGTGTGGTGTACATTTATACAGGACGTTTTAATGTCGCCAGTTTTCCGAGCCCCCCCTCCCCCTTCACTCGTTGAAACAGTACTTTATGCAAAACGAAAACATGAATTGGGAATCCAGCGGATTTATCTTTCATCACAGGCTGCCTCGAATCCTGATGTCCGTTCTCGTACTCCCTGTCTACGAAGAGACGATCCCTTTGGGCTGTGTGCTCGCCTGGCTTGAGCCGTCCGTGTGGACACGAGCTACTGCAGTGGAGTTTGAGCGAGGAGGTTTAAAAGTGACGGGCGAGCACTTTTATATCCATGCTCTTTTTGTTTTTACCTCGCTGGCTGTCGATGTGTTGTTTCTTCCTGGCGGGTCACTCTCGCCTAACTTCCTAACACTTAACTGGGGATTTACAGGCATGCAAACGCATATGTTTTTTTGAGCCAGATACAAATCTTGTCAAAGTCAAAATTAGACTCCCCACTCAAACGGGCATGTGATGGCACTTTGCTGGTGGTGGCTCCGAGTCAAGGGTAGAAATAGAACGTTTCTATGCTGGGACAGATGACTCTTCCCAAAGAGGTACTGCTTAAGAGTGGTAGCTAAGTTTAATTATCTAAGGGATTAGATTATTGGTAGGCTGAGTTCAACCTCAATTGGGATGCGAACTTTGTAACTTTATGAATGTGAATCAGGAATTCAAAGCAATTTTCCACCCACATCTGTATGCCATACATTGAATACATTCGGGAAGTTTGTAAAGCAACAATACTCTCGCCATGTAATTTTAAAGCTCAGTCCTGTGGTGCTGTGTTCACCCATTCTATCATTTACAATAGCTGCTGTTTTCCAGTAAACGGCGGTCATTTCGCCACGGTGGCTGTCGCCAGGCTAGGCGCACCGTTAAGGAATACAAACAAGATGAATACAAACACATGACATTGTGTTCGTACACGTGAACCATTGTCCACCGTAACGTTCCCCAGGCGCCGCGGGTAGCGGTGCGTGCAATGTGCGCTTTGATGGCAAGAGCCAACTTCGTGTAAATACAAATGTAGGTGTATGATTAAATACAGAAGAGGAACTGAAATCTGCACACGTGGAGCAAACGTTGCTATCAAATGTTCATTATATGCCATGCTCGTACATTGTGTATTGATTGACGCAACAAAACAAGCAGGACAATACAAAAAAGATTTATTACGATTTGCCTTGTGGGTTTGAGTGAAGACACCGCCCATATTCACGCACACATTACACAATTGTCACTTGCATTGCAGGTGCAGTCGTTATCTGATGTGTTTATTGACCTCTTGAAGCTGTGGTCACAGTGCTTGGCTCACAATGATAAGGTTCTGAGTGCACATTTTTTATGGTTGGGTAGATAAAGACAATATCGTACTTATGCAAAACTCAACATGTTCGTTAATGACACTGCCTTAAAAGGAAACATATAATCGGCGACGTTTTGGGCAAATGGCCCGTCTTTATGAGCATATCTGCCAGAGAGATGGTGAATACGCGTTGGAGGCTGCACTTTAAAACCATGAGGCCTGATAATTAACTTTTTTTTCTTGAGTTATTTATGTATTTGCACCACTGCCACCACAGTATCGCCCAGCAATGTGTACTCTTTCTGATGAGCAACTGGCACTCCCCTGACGGTGAATGGAATTCATTGCGACTAAAAAGAAAACGCAATGGTTGGATCAGAGGTCGGAAAAACCAAAATAACAAGAAAACCCATTTTTTAAAATGTATTATTCGGTGAAAAAAAAGTCAAGAGCCACAATGCATCTGAATACGAGATGGTGGTCTTGTATAAAGAACGAGTCGCATGCTGCTCTGAAGCCGAGATTCTTGTCCTAACACGTTGAAAGGTGGGTCCCATCAACTTCTCCTGCATGAGTTTGACATTCCACGAAGCTAAGGGCATCTTAGGTGGTGCACGTTAAAGATGCACGATTGTCAACGATGCTTTTTAAATGTTCAATTCACGACTGACAGCCCATGTGTGAAGATATATCACCGTTATCCTAACCATCGATTTAAATTATGTATTTTACACACAGACTCCTGCTACGGGTGTATCAGGATTTCACAGTCTTCATTGCCTGATGGGGGCAAATGCACTGAGTGACCGTACATCCCCAACATTGAAAAATCCTTACTAGCTTTACTACCCGGCTTCGCCCGAGACTTGGATTCTTCTAGATTTGATGTTTTCGTGACTGCAAGGATTCATACTCTTTGGTTTTTTAGGTCAAGTCACGTAGGTAAAAAATAAAATAAATAAAAAATGAAAATAACTAAATTAAATCACGACGTTTCAGGCGCAACATAAGCGTCCGTCTTCAGGTGGGGACAACGCAGCAAAAGCACAACCGCTTAAGTGTGTCTAAGGGATGGCTGTGACGAGGAATTATATAGTAGCGGGGAGAAGGAGAGGGGAGGGGGCATGGTGAGTGTGGGGGCGGTGTGTGGGCTGGGAGGTAACGCCTGGAGTTCAAACTGAAGCTTTGTGATGCAGGGGGCGGAATTAGAAAAGCTCAGTTAAGCCGAGTGTGGGGGTAGGGTGTGGGCTGGGAGGTAACGCATGGAGTTAAAACTGAAGCTTTGTGATGCAGGGGGCGGAAGTAGATAAGAAAGCTAAGTTAAGCCGATTAAAGACATCCTTTATACTGGTAGGAACCTCCTGGTTACACACCAGCCCACAGGGAATTATTGTGTCCGTCGTGCAGGGAGGGGCTGGGTGGGGAGGGAGGGGCTGGGTGGGGAGGGAAGGGTGGGGAGGGGCTGGGTGGGGAGAGTGGGGCTGGGTGGGGAGGGGCTGGGTGGGGAGGAGCTGGTCACCCCGTGGTGCCCTTATAAAACTCAACGTTTAACCTACTCACGCCGGCTTGTGCCCGCCCTCACAGTCGGGCATATTTGCGGAATACACCACGCCGCCGTTGACCCTGGCCATTGACCGAGCAACCCAACGTTCCTACCAGCTCCCTCCGCAGGAATGTGTTTTGTTTGCACGGAGGGGGGGGGGGTAAATCGGAGTTGTGCAAGCTAAACTTGCACACTCGAAACAACGTGTGGCAAATTTTTTCAAGTGTTAGGAGTAAGCCGGGCTTGGAGTCAAATTTCATAGTGATGGTAGTTTTACCATCACTGGTAGTTTTACCATCACTGGTAATTTTAACGTAAAAGTGCATACCATTGAGGACCTCTACAGTATAGAGGCAAGCGGCTGTGATATCAATGCTCTGCACTGGAGTGGCTGGTGTTAGATACAGGGACTCATCGACTTACGAACATACGAATTACAAACTTTCAGAGATACAAACAAACCTGTCCATATGTCCAGTTGCCTGTTCAGACCAAGAGTCGTAAGTTCAACCACCGCGCAATAGATGGCGGTGGCGGCATCTACATCTGCAGAACGTGAAGAACCAGTGGCAACTACATCTGCAGAACGTGAAGAACCAGTGGCATCTACATCTGCAAAACGTGAAGAACCAGTGACATCTACATCTACAGAACGTGAAGAACCAGTGGCATGTACGTCTGCAGAACGTGAAGAACCAGTGGCATCTACATCTGCAGAACGTGAAGAACCAGTGGCATCTACATCTACAAACCGTGAAGAACCAGTGGCATGTACGTCTGCAGAACGTGAAGAACCAGTGGCATCTACATCTGCAGAACGTGAAGAACCAGTGGCATCTACATCTACAAAACGTGAAGAACCAGTGGCATGTACGTCTGCAGAACGTGAAGAACCAGTGGCATCTACATCTGCAGAACGTGAAGAACCAGTGGCATCTACATCTACAAACCGTGAAGAACCAGTGGCATGTACGTCTGCAGAACGTGAAGAACCAGTGGCATCTACATCTGCAGAACGTGAAGAACCAGTGGCATCTACATCTACAAAACGTGAAGAACCAGTGGCATGTACGTCTGCAGAACGTGAAGAACCAGTGGCATCTACATCTGCAGAACGTGAAGAACCAGTGGCATCTACATCTACAAAACGTGAAGAATCAGTGGCATGTACGTCTGCAGAACGTGAAGAACCAGTGGCATCTACATCTGCAGAACGTGAAGAACCAGTGGCATCTACATCTACAAAACGTGAAGAATCAGTGGCATGTACGTCTGCAGAACGTGAAGAACCAGTGGCATCTACATCTGCAGAACGTGAAGAACCAGTGGCATCTACATCTACAAAACGTGAAGAATCAGTGGCATGTACGTCTGCAGAACGTGAAGAACCAGTGGCATCTACATCTGCAGAACGTGAAGAACCAGTGGCATGTACGTCTGCAGAACGTGAAGAACCAGTGGCATCTACATCTGCAGAACGTGAAGAACCAGTGGCATCTACATATGCAGAACGTGAAGAACCAGTGGCATCTACATCTGCAGAACGTGAAGAGCCAGTGGCATCTACATCTGCAGAACGTGAAGAACCAGTGGCATGTACGTCTGCAGACCGTGAAGAACCAGTGGCATCTACATCTCCAGGAGATTATACAACTTTAAAAGCCATTCCCCGTGTTTAGTGCACATGCCGTAACAACACGTTTGAAATCGACAGGAGTAAAGTTGGACTTACGAACAAATCGACTTAGGAACAGACCTCTGGAACATAACTCGTTCGTAAGTAGAGGCGTTCCTGTATTGGCAAGTAAAATCCAGCACTTGTAGAACTGCGCGTGGTCTCACGAATTCACCGCGACACACAACCGCACGTCAGCCACCGTAAAACTACCTTGGTTTATTCTCCACCAGTCACGTGATGCCCTCTTGTGGTCAAACACACAACAGCCTTTTGGCGTTCTCTGGGTCTAACACCGGTGGTGAGACAAGGCCACAAAGAAGGCTGTCTCTGATGTAGGCAAATCAGTTGTAAAGACAATGCAGATATTCTTGATTTGAAGCTTTCGTGACTGCAATAATCCATACTCTCTGGTTCTTTCGGTAAAGTCACGTAGATATTGTTAGAGCATGTTTTGCCACAAGTACATGTGGTTAATGCACACTTGATGCCTTGCAAAAAGGTATCTATCTGGTGTTTTAACATATTAACAACTATTTTATTTGCCAGAAAGGGTAAAACCTTTTCTTATTTTTTTCATCATTTTTCGGTTCGGGTTGCTTCCTCCTCCCAGGGTCCAGGTCCCATTCCCACCTCCATCGCCAAAGGTCGCGGCACGAAGTCTCGCATCGACCCGGCCACTCGAGGCCAGAATGTCGTCCCCAAAACGTTGCCTGTAATACGGCCTTGTTCTTTTTTTTAAGGGTTATGTCTATTGACGAATGTGTGGAATTTGATGTTGATGTTAACCGCGTTCGTGCACCGCTGCCAAGGCAGGTTTCACCGCCCCCCACCAAATATTCGTCCACGTATCCGTGCACTAGCAGGACCAGTCTCGAACCACTGCGTTACAGAGTCCTGTGATGAATGAGGACCCCCATGTCTAACCGAGTGGGTTCCTACCAATGACATCTGGCAGTGTTCACCAGTGTTGCTTCAAGCGAGCCTGACTGCTGATGAGACACTGAAATGTCGACGAAGCTTGTCGACGATGTTGCTTATGTCGCATCGATGCTGCTGATATGATGCGCTCTCAGTGGGTTGTGCGGCTGAAGGGATTGGTACAAATAGAACCGTACTGTTAGGTTTTTTCGGTAAAGTAACGTAGGTAAAAAAAATAATTTAAATTAAAAGTTTTACCTACGTGACTTTACCGAAAAAAACCTAACAGTAAGAATCCTTGCAGTCACGAAAGCTTCAAATCTAGAACAAATAGAACCGATTTCATTAATAATGTGGAGAGGCGACTTTGTGGAGGCTGTAGGCTCTTGCCATGCAGCAGCTGTCGATGTGTTTGTTCAAATCACGTGCCTGGAGTCGGATCTATAGTGCACATATCCATCTCAACCCTTTAGCCGTGACCCTATAGACCCAACCCTATCATGTAATGCCCATATATCCACCTCAACCCAACAGTCCTAACCATTAACCCCCTAAGTCTAAATCCTAACCCAACCCTAACCCTTTAAGCCTAACCCCCCTAAATCTAACCTCTAATCCTAAACCCCTAACGCCGAACCCTAAATCCCAAAGCCTAAACATAACCTTAAAACCCTAACCCTAATATCCTAAGCCTAAATCCTAACCTTAAACCCTAGCCCCTACTTGTATATGCAATACAGGCCAGAAGATAATCGTCACTGGTGTTGGCCGTGACCCGGAGTCAAGCCCGGGTCGCCGGGTTCGTAGCGCAGCGCGCTAACCATGACACCAACTCTACAAACCCCAAACCCTTACCGTAACCCCAATCCCTTCCTACTTACAAAGAGGCATTGCCTCCCCACTTAGCTATCTTGTCTCTTTCGCCTTTAACTCCCCGGTTACCTCTCACCAATGGTCCTCCTTTCTACGCACGCCACACTAACATCCATTGTTTAAGGGTAACTTATGAATCTAATTAAGTCTTATTAATATGGTGCACCTCTTCTTGGTTCTTTCGGTAAAGTCACGTAGAAGAAAAGTAATAAAATAATAAAAATAAAACATAATAAAATAATTCTCACGACGTTTCGGCCACAACGCAAGTAGCCGTCCTCAGGTGAAAACCAGGTCTGTCGAGGCGACAGCGTCTGAATGAAACACCACATTCATTTCATTCAGACGCTGTCGCCTCGACAGACCTGGTTTTCACCTGAGGACTGGCTACTTGCGTTGTGGCCGAAACATCGTGAAAATTATTTATTATGTTTTAATTTTATTATTTTATTACTTCCCTTCTACGTGACTTTACCGAAAGAACCAAGAAGACGAATCCCTGCAGTCACGAAAGCTTTAAATCGAAAAATGGTGCACCTCGTGATTTCTCCCACTTCTGTAGCTTTGTGAATAAAGCCCGTGTCACTGAAAAGCACGTTCACTTCGCTTATACAACACTTTATTTTACAACGGTTAACACGGACGACTTACAATACACTAATTACAAAACACCCCACACCCCAATGTGTTGCATTTATTGCAGGATTTGTAGATTTGAATAGTCACCGATCCATTGCAAAAGCTCAAGGGAGGCTGATGTGGGGTTAGAGTTCGCGTTTTGTTACAGTAGCTTGGGGCTGTGCTAGATTAAGCAGGGTGGTTGAAGCATCTCTAAACGCTTGGGGCTGTGCTAGATTAAGCAGGGTGGTTGAAGCATCTCTAAACGCTTGGGGCTGTGCTAGATCAAGCAGGGTGGTTGAAGCATCTCTAAACGCTTGGGGCTGTGCTAGATCAAGCAGGGTGGTTGAAGCATCTCTAAACGCTTGCATACAACAATTAACAAGCAGCCACCACGTGCTCCTAATTATTTTTACAAATTTTTTTTATAGAAAAGAGCACGACCGCTCACCAATAATACATTGACTTGACTTTTGCTCTCTAACGAGCGAATTAACCACGTGCTCGCGTCGCCATTGAACACAACATCCCAGATGGTACTCACTGCCTGTCTGGGAGTGGAAAGGTGGGTGGGGGGGGGGGCGATGGTGGGTGGGGGGGGGGCGATGGTGGGTGGGTGGGGGGCTATGGTGGGTGGGGGGGGAGGCGATGGTGGGGGGGGAGGCGATGGTGAGTGGGGGGAGGCGATGGTGAGTGGGGGGAGGCGATGGTGGGTGGGGGGGAGGCGATGGTGAGTGGGGGGCGATGGTGGGTGGGGGGGAGGTGCTGGTGGGTGGGGGGGAGGCGATGGTGAGTGGGGGGAGGCGATGGTGGGTGGGGGGAGGCGATGGTGAGTGGGGGGGGAGGCGATGGTGGGCGGGTGCCGTGTACTTGTACGTCGGGGAAGGGAGTGTGGAGGATGCGCAATTAGTGGGGAGCGAAGAGCGATGGATGTGCAGAGAGAGAGAGAGAAGGCCCCGTGAAGAAGAAGGAGGAGGAGGGACAGACCCTTTCTACCTATCCCGACCGCGACTCAAGGGCCTCGCTGTTCCGCGAGCTGCGTGAGCACGAGTCGCTGCTCCGACTCGTCGGCGTCTCCGTGCGCCCGGCACGCGCCCCGGTGCTGCGACAGAGCCAGCTCCAGGCGGCGCCTCTCGCCGCGGAGTTTCTCGATGAGCGCCTTGAGCCGCGAGTTCTGCACCTCCAGAATCTCCGACTCCTGCGGCGCGGGAGGCAAGAGGAGGAGGAGGGGGGGTGTGAGGTGGTGAGACGGGAAGAGCGCCGAGGACCAGGAGTTTTGCCGAGTAATGATGATCACGGCTGGGCTGGGCGGGGGGGATAGCTCTCGAGTGTACAGGCGGTGCAACTGCACAGCTAACGGCGCGTGGGCTGAGAAGAGGAAGGTGAATTGGACAGGAGGAACAATGTCATCCCCTGCATCAGAGCGCATGCCAACCATCACAACGCTGCTAAGCAGCCTAACTTCGTGAAGATGATGATGATGGGGAATTTGCCTTGTGTTCATGGTGGTGGTGATTATGATGATGGGGGGAGGGGGATAAGGATCCTTACCTTAGAGAGTAATGATGGTTACGTTGATCAATGTTATAAGGGACTGATATATGTCACACTTGACGGAAGCTCGCTTTCCCGCTACCACGTGGAGTGATGATATGTTTTTGATTGAGAGCTGCTGCTAATGATGATAATGATTGATGTACTGATTTAAGTTTGATGCTTAGGGATGGTGACGGTGTGATTATTCATATGATGATGATGATGAGACTGATGATCAATGGCGGATGACGATTGCTACTGGAGCCGTGGGTCTCCGTCACCTGCAGTAAGGACTCTGTCCGCTCCTTCTTCTTGTTCCGACACTTGGCAGCGGCCACCTTGTTCCTCTCTCTGCGCCTCCTCCGCCGCTCCATCTCCTCCGCTGCGCTCTGTGGATCGTTGCAAATCCAGGGGTATGGGGCAGAGGAAAAATAAGGGATACGATCCGCCTGGTGTCAAGATTTTAATTTGGCCAACAGACGGAGCGAGGTGGATTTTGTTCCCTCTGATCGATCCTCAGCGTTGGGTCACCTACACCGCAGTGTCGCGTCCCACCGCGGTGCAAGATTCATGTGCCTACCCCATCGTCTCACCAATCATTTACGATCGAGATGTCATCATGGCCAAACAACGCACCATCGCCTCGGGGCAATCGCCCCGCAAAGAACACACCCCACGAGACCATACACGGGCATTGCTAACAGATGAATGAAAAGACGAACAGTACGGACGACCACGTAGCGGCCTCGCACGACCAAGTGCCCATCCTCTTGAAGAAGTGATGACAACAAATTTCGATGTAAAGCTTTCGTGACTGCGTGGATTCATATTCTTGGTTCTTTCGGTAAAGTCACGTAGAAGGGAAATAATAAAATAAAAACATAATAAAGACAGCGTCCTAATGAGGACGCTGTTCTTCACCTGCTGCTTGCGTTGTGGCCGAAACGTCGTGAGAATTTGATCTTATTATGTTGAACTTTTATTATTTTATTATTTCCCTTCTACGTGACTTTACCGAAAGAACCAAGAATATGATGGCAACAACAAGTCCGCCTGTCACCTTAGCAGTTCCGTCACACGTCGGCTCGTTCGTGAGACAAGTCCATCAGAGGGTCCGTCCGTCGGATCCGTCCATCGGATCAAATCCGTCCACGTGTCCGGTCCGAGTTAGTTTACCTACTCCGCTTTGCCAGGCCGTCCAGGTCACGCTACCACGTTTCGTGTTGAACATATCAGCGAAGTCTGTTGTCGCGTCCGTCAGTCCGTCCGGTTCTAATCCGTCCGCAGCGTCCGTCTTTACCGCAGACGTATCCCGCCCGAGTGTGGAACGCTGACAGCCGCTGTGGTCGAGGTGACGAGGAACAAACATCATCATCGTCGTCGTCGTCTTCGGTGCCGTCCGTCACTCGCCTGCCGTGGGCTGCTCCAGCTGCATTCAATTCCGCGAGGCACAAGCCGCGCGCAATTTGTAGTCCCATGTGCGCTCTTATTTTGCGTGTGATCTTGACTTTTTTTTCTTTCTTTCTTCCTCCTTCTAAATATCATTGACGTAGAAGTGTTAGCAGGCCGCGGTACGGTCGACCGCGCGTGTTTTTTTCCCTCCCCCTTCCACCCGCCAGCAATCGCCTCCCTATCTGATTGGTTATAATGTCGAATTGGTTAAAGGTCTTTTCCGTGCCTCTTACCGTAAACTGTGGGATGCAGGGAGCATTTTCAGTCGCTCGGTTCCGCCCTCTCCTCTCCGCATTTCTCTCCTCTCACCATTCCCTCTCCTCTCTCCAGCACTACAGCACGTGGATTTGTAACGATATGTAACGTTTGTTTTCTTTCGTTTGCTGGTGACTGTATTTCATATTGAAATCGCCTCCGGTGCTTTTGCTGCTGGCGGCAATAAAAGTTGTTTAAAAAGTCAAAGTTTTCCCCTCTCCGCCACGCTCTCCCTGCATCCCCCCCATCCATTCTCCTTTCAATCTCCCACAAATACAGCCTCCTCCCTTGCCCAACTCTCCCCATCGCACCCTCTCGCTCTCTCACGCACTTTCCCTGCCTCCTGCCCACGGATTCCGCGCTCTCTTCACCGCACGACGCGCTCGTGTGAAGCGAGTGGGCGGGTAGGGGCACTGCGCGACAAACGCGGCAGCGATATTGTGCGCGCAGCAGCACCACCCACAGACGCACGGGCGGTCTGGAAGGGGCACGAGACAGCGGATGGCGATATCGATGATCGTCGTAAGTGCGGCAATTACGACGATCACATGAAACACGTGGGCGGCGCGACTTTGCGACTCGTTGAAAGTCTAGTGGGGGTTTGGCTGTCCGCCTGATGGTGCCGGTTGTAATTGTTGGCGAAACGTCGTACTCGGAGTGTAAATGTTGTGGCTTTGCTCTCCAACACACCGGTGTGCTGTACTAGTATAATCCACTACACTATACACTACTACACTATACACTACTACACTATACACTACTGCACTATACACTACACTATACACTACTACACTACACTATACACTACACTACACACTATTACACTATACACTACTACAGTACTACACTACACTATACACTACTACACTACACTATACACTACACTATACACTACTACTCTATACACTACAACACTACACTATACACTACACTATACACTACACTACACACTACTACTCTATACACTACTACACTATACACTACTACACTATACACTACTGCACTATACACTACTACACTAGACTACACACTAGTGTTGTACTAGTGACTAATTGGCATGTTCTGTTTACGTAATAACCCACACTAGTTGGCTGTGTCGGTGGTGGCGGGTTTAACGACACATTTATATTAACGCGATCTCACCCAAAAAATACTATATTATAATGGGATGTTACGTAAGGGACCGGCAACAATGAATTCATACAGAGGAGAGCGAGAGAGTCACGGAGACGGACACAGGGACTGAGACGGAGAGACGTGGATCGAGAGACACACTTGACCCGGGGAGAGACGCGGAGAAAGACGAGGCAACTCATCATTTGGTCTGCGCCATGAGCGTCTCTACTCGGTTATTGGTCGCAGTTGTTCGATTCATTGAAAATAATTGAAGCAATGGCCAGATGCGGTGGCATTAACGGCATTGTCCGCGATGCGATCTTGACCAGAACCTAAATACGACATTGTACAGCCCTTTGTCAACGCATTGTGCTGAACATACAAGCCCTCTCCACGCCATGTCGCCAATGGGGGATTGCTTGGTCATACTTCACCACACTGGTCGGCGCGGGATGGTGAAGCGAGACCAGGACCCATTGAAAATGTCACATGCCACTGATGTTAGCCGTGGCCGGGGAATCTAACTTACGTCGCCGGGGTTTCAAGCAAGAAACCACGACTAAAATACACAAGATAACGCCACGTGTAGAACAGAATTCTAGTAAAGGCCAATCTCTTGAAATGTTGTTTTCGAGTTTACCGTGAACGTAATTTGACATTTACAAAAAAATAACTTAGCCATGCACGTGTTGTTACGAGTTGTGGACTATTCATAGCCCGCACCGCCGCCGAGTATCCTGCCTGAGCCGAAAAGTCCCCTTGCCGAGCTGTGATTCACTTCTTCGCGAACCGCAAAGGGAATTTCCGCATTGGTTCATTGACTTCTCTCGCCATCGAGGAAGCACGGCGCGCGCAGATCCTGGATTAACTCGGATGTCCGTGCGCCTTTCACCGTTGAGCAAATGATCGATTGAAAATGACCTTTGGCCCATGGCAAAGAGTGATGACGGTTTCTAGATTTGAAGCTTTCGTGACTGCAAGGATTCATATTCTTAGGTTTTTTTCGGTAAAGTCACGTAGGTAAAAAAATAAAAATTAATAAAAGTAACTTCGATTAATTTTACCGAAAAAACCTAAGAATAGTAATGACGGAGTGGCAGCCCTCTGATGGGAGATGGAACAACGCGATTGCCTCGTGTGTAAGTGCTCGCGGTGGATGATTTCGTCGGAGGGTCGCGAGAGCTGGCGAACGTATTCTTAGGTTTTTTCGGTAAAGTCACGTAGGTAAAACATCAAAATTAATAAAAAATAAAGATCACGACGTTTCGGAGGCAACACAAGTCTCCGTCATCAGGTGGGACCGTCACAGCCAGATTAGCTGCATCAAGTGAGGCAATGATTCAAGATGTAATCCCTTAAAAGCGACACCAATGGAGTACGTATCGGGCTGGCGAACGACCTTCGGAGGCCTTCATAGAGCGATAGATTGATCACGGCTGATGTTCATTAGGGTGTCCCGAGCCAACATTAAGGTTGTTAAACTCGTTGATTCCCCCAACTTAACTGATTTAATCGCTCAGTGGTGAATGGCTCGGCTTGGTAACGTGAGGTTGTTTTTCTCTCTCTCAGTTTCAATTGTCGTTCTGAATTCAGAAAGTTATATTTTCTTCGACGTGGACATTGCAATCCAAAAAACGAGGCAAAAAATGTGCATTGGGCACATTCTCAGAGGTTCAAGCTTGCTGAAGGAAGGTCTGAAAGTATGTATGCTGAACTTCTTTCACACCGTACGTACCCAACCGTGCTAATTGGAGGTGCGTGGGTTGGGCAACAAACTAATGGAAACGTTACAAATGCCAATTATATTACACTTGGTGCTTCACTTTGGCTAGATTCCAGCTTTCAGAATGTAACTCGTCTGTTTTGACTGTCAGGCAGTAGCGTGGTGGGTGGAAAGTGCTGTCCCTCTACTGCGCGAACCAGAAATCACTTGACGGAATCTCAGAGGTGGCTCTGTGATATTCCCTTCCGTGGACAGTTTTCCAACACAGGGGAGGTGGGTCGGGGGGGGGGGGGATTACACTGCTCCAGAGAGATCAGAATTGATACTTTGTCTCATGACAAGTATAACCCATAAAAACAAAGTTTTTCACTATAAATCCTTTATATGCGTGGCGGCGAGAGTCCTCTCGTCCTCTGGCTTGAGATGGCTGCCACCTATGGGTCAGATGATTGTCTGCCACCATTAAACAATTGGTAATAAAAAAAAAAATTCTAAACAGTGTAAAATTTTGGAATTTTTTTTTCACGAAAATGCATTGTCACGCACAACGAGTCTGTGTGGAAAATGTCAGCTCGATTGGATCACGGGAAGTGGGTTAAAAAACGACCGAAAGATTTGCACGGTCCTAAGCAAGCAAGCAAGTGAACTTAATATAAAGGATTTAAAAAGACAACACTTCATGGGGAAGCCTTCATCCAGCAGTGGATCGATGCCTTGGTTGTAAAGGAGCCCAAGTGAACCAACGTCGGTCCCGATGGCGAGGATGACAATAATCCCTAGTCAATAATTACGTTGCAAAGTCACAACAAAACATAAAACGAAGACACTTTATGAATTCATTTATTTCCGACAAAAAAAAGTACACAAAATATAATCTCTCACAGTAGTTCGTATATTCAAATATCTCGCTTCGTTTGTTGCGTTATTCTCTATTAAATTATTACTCTTCTCGTCAAAGTATTCTCGTGCGCACACTCGCAGCTCGAGGCCGTACGCAGCTGTAGCAGCCGTGCGGACATAGGTCCTGGGGCGAGGCGGCGAACGGCTTGGAGCAGTGCTTCTTCACCCTTCACTGCAGCCTTGCACCACTTTTGGTTGTCATTCGAAAAACAATTACAATGTTAATAAATACATCGGTTTGGTGAAACAAAGTCAATTGTACTTACGTGCGCGTGCTTAATTTGCGTATTTCGACGATTTACCGTTAAAAACATCTGGCCGTGTCTCGCACCCCGAGGGCGTACCGTGCATCCCAGGTGAAGAAGCCGCTGGCCGAGACGAATTGTCAACGCGGCGTCAGCGCTGTGAGCTCGAGGGTTGAGTAAACGCTCACCCCCCCCCCCTTCTCCGAACCTGGGATCGATCGCGCCGGAAGCCCCATCCGAGGCTCCCCGGTTGAGAGACGTGAATATTTGATCAGTAGCGCGCGTGCTAAGATGATCGCGCAAGCAACGCGCTTAAAGCGTGCCACGTGGTGGTAGGTACGCGCGTGTTTGAAGGTTCACGGTATTGCCTTGACGAGTTCGGTGAAGCCGACACGTGCTTGAATGCTCGCTTCAGTTGAGTCACTGATTATTGTTGCTGCGTTTTTTTTTTCTTTCTAAACGAGAGATAAATCGTAATTATTGGTTTTCGACCTACAGCTCACCGTGTACGAAACTGCTGCGTTGCCGAAGGCTGCTTCGTTGTCGGCGAAATAAAAGGCAGTGCAGCGAAATGCATAGTTGTGCTATACTTCTATGCCTCTTCGTCTATGCCTCCCGCCTTAATCAACCCGCAGTGACCGGCGTGACGTTATGGGTCAAATCTCCCACCCACCAAGACCCACACCGCGTGTTTCGAGAGTCTCTCCACCACTCGGCAATGGGAGGGGGGTCTATTGAGCTAGGAATGTTACCGAGACGAACAGCACTTGATCTGCAATTACACAATAAAATCACGAGGTGGTGGAATTCCACTGCCTTTACACAAATCCGTGGTGCGTTGTACTCACGAACAGATTGACGTAACGATCAGTAAACCACCGTCAAAGACATCATCAAGAATTATTATTATACAAAGGGGCTGCTTGCCTGGACAGGAGGATAACACTGAAGACGAGGCTGTGCGTTGGACACACAGAACAACATTTATTATTGATTTCCCTACGTGTATAATAAATACGATCTTTACTCAAACAACTAATCCTCAAAACGACTAAAATAAAATCATAATTTTCCAGCACAATCCAAAAAAAAAGAGAGAAGTCGAGTCAAATTCAATGCCCAAACTCCCACAGACTCCGACCTCAACGAATGGGCGGCACCGGCGCGTGATACTCAGACGTTGATTTGAAGCTTTCGTGACCGCAGGAATCCATACTCTTTGGTTCTTTCGGTAAAGTCACGTGGGTAGAAAATAAAATAAATCACGACGTTTCTGGCGCAACACAGGCGCCCGTCATCAGGTGGACGCTTGTGTTGCGCCCGAAACGTCGTGATTTATTTTATTTTATACCCACGTGACTTTACCGAAAGAACCAAAGAGTATAGATACTCAGATGACCAACAGGACATGGGCGTACGACGGTGCCGTCGCTTCTCCAGGCAGCGTTCCCATGAGATGCCACTCGAGATTGAACTCGAGGTTCCACCGTAATTAAATTCATTTGTTCCCAACTTCAGTTGCCCACTCATTGAGGGCCTGCAGCCAGAATTTTCAGAGGGGGCCGTTTTCCGGCCTGGGATTCATTCGTGAGAGAGCTGGAACGCGGCCCCCAAAACTGCGGACTTGGGATGGCAGGCGCGCTCAACTTCACTTTTCGTATTCTTAGGTTTTTTCGGTAAAGTCACGTAGGTAAAAAATTTAAATGAATAAAAGTAAAATAAAAATAAAATAAAAATCACGACGTTTCGGAGGCAACACAAGCTTCCGTCTTCAGGTGGTCTTCAGGTGGAAGACGGAAGCTTGTGTTGCCTCCGAAACGTCGTGATTTTTATTTTATTTTTATTTTACTTTTATTAATTTACATTTTTTACCTACGTGACTTTACCGAAAAAAACTAAGAATATGAATCCTTGCAGTCACGAAAGCTTCAAATCTAGAATTCACTTTTCGTGTAAACAATGACCACTTAAGTTTGTCGGCCAACCCAGAGCTTGACATTTGACTCCTCACCACCACCATCCCACCACGTGCGAAACGAGAGAACCGCGAATCGTGCAAACGTCACCGCCTCCTTGAGATGTTGAGTTGTCCTTCAACTCTAGTCGAGTTATCTCCTCCATAGAAACAACTTACTGTAGTTTAGCCGGTGGTGGTGGTGGTGGGGCGGGTCACGCCGTGTGAACCCGTGGGTGGCATCATCAAATAGCACTGGTCAACAAAAAAAAAACTTTTTTTCTGGCCTGGACTTTTGCAGCTGTTTTAGACTAATTTCAGGGCACTGATTCCAAATCTGATCTCAGATTTACTCTATCACATCTCATTTTATGCTATAGGCATACCCCATTTTCATTGATTTTACCCGAAATTAACTCTGTCACTTATGATTGCAAGTTGTTGCGAGTCAGTGACTGCTTTAGTGTTAAAATATGGTGCTGCATATTTATGTTTAGTGTGTTTATAATATAATTTTATGTAGATATCCACATTTATTTAATATTTTTCTTCTGCAGTTTTTATTGAAAATGCAATTTTTGATATCTCAAAAACCTGATGTGATAGACAAAAACTGATGCCAGATTTGGAATCAGCACCCCCCCCCCCAAAATTGCCTTAAACCCGTTGGAATACCTTATGCCAGAAAAAGTGTGTTGACCAGTGTATAATTATTAGACAATCGTTTCTCTCCACGAACATATACCACCGTGAATTAATACCACTGTTGTCTGTGAGCCGACTCTGGGCCAAATGCGAACGCCAGTCCGTCGACCTCGTGGCATTGCGGGCGACTGGTGTTGAATGACGTTGATCAAGACGGAGACAAAATAAAATGAAGAGGTTGACCAGCGGCCTCGTGAGCTTTCCCGCCCAATATTATTTGACATGATACAGGTTTTTGTTGGGTTAGAGCGCGTATTTTTAAAATGTTCATTTTTAGTTGAGAGTTGTTTGTTGGTGAGTCTAACAAATGTGTTAATGTGGTTAGTGTTAGCTTTGTTAAATACATTATCAGCCGATTGCTCGATTCTATTCCAGTAATCTGTAGAGACACCGTTACTCATTTTTAAGTGTAAGGACATTAGAGATTAAGAAATGTGCCTTAGTTCATTTCGACTATGCTGCATTCTCTCTTTTAGCAATAATTCACGAGCTTTATGTCGTATACGCGATCTCACCTCCCCAAAAACTTGTATTATGAATGATACTGGTCGCGAAAGCTTACGTGTTAAACACGATTACATTTTTCTTGATGATGTCGCATCGGCTGACGGAGCTTAAGTGAACATTTATTTCGTCACGGAGATACAAAAACAAAGTTTGTGATGCCTCAGAAGGCCGGAATACCACGACGCGCTCGGCTTTCGACAAACTCGCCCTCAAAATTCGACGCACGCGGAAACGGGAACACCATCCAGTTGCCAGTTGATCAATAAATATTGAATCGCTATCCTCATAAATAGATTTTTTTTTATCATTAAAAAAATAAGACACCTTTGCATAAACAACCAACGAGCCTCTCGTTATGCAAAAATAAAATAAACCGCGACGACGCGAGTTCCGAATGTAAACAGGACGGTGGATTTGCAGACACCGACAATGAAATGTCTTCCATATCTCATCGGGATCGTAGAGCTGCATGGACATCCAGGTCGTCGACGTCGACATCGCTTGCACATTTCCAGCGTGGGCAGCGTCCCGGTATAAAATGTGTGTGTGTGTGTATAAAAAAAGAGGTTCACAATACGTGCAGCACGAAGTCCGAACGCTTGAGTCGTGATCAAGAATAAATACAGAGGTTGGGAAAGGTGGCGCATTGCTTCGCACACCGCTCGACTCCGAACCCGGGGTGGCCAGAGCTCTATGTCCAGCCACGGCTAACGTCAGTGGCGAGTGAAGGCTGAACCGATCCTGGGTGCGCTCACGTAATCATCAAGCTGCGTTATCCAGCGTGGTGAAGTATGGTCAAACGAACCCCACGGCCGATACGGCGTGTGGAAGCCTTTGCTCAGAAGTAGCAGGAGTCACAACATCAGCAATGGCAGTGCCGTTTTAGGAATGTTTCGAGAGTTTCAATAATCCTGTGACGCGGCATAGACAAAACGCGATTAAGTTTATGTGTTGTGGGGGGCGGGGGGGCGTGGGCGAATGAGGGCCACTCCGATTAACCGGATCTCCTCACTACAGCCCTTCGACGACTTATCACCATTACGTGTGTTAAACTTCTTTCGGAGGTGCGGGAATGAGCGTAAGCTATTCGACTCAATGCGGCAAGTCCTCGCTTAACGCGCGTGCACGCAACCGCGTCTTCACTGTGACGCGCGGTTCTTTCATTTGGGGAATACTTCTTGCGCAACGCGGAACGCGCTCCGCTATAACGTGGGACCCCCCTGTTATAGTGCGGTGTCTGAGCTGTCGACGACGAACTACTTTCTTGAGCTGCGTGGCTGAGCGGTACGATACAGCACGCGGAATGATACAGTAACAGTTATTTGTCCAGCCATCTTGCACCGTGCGTCCGTACATCGTGTGCCTGCATCGCATGCCGCCAAACTTTATCGTTGCATTTATTTACGGGGAAATTGTTTTTGCCGAACGCGTTTTTCGCTCAGCGCGGCAACTTTTCAGGAACGCATCTACCGCATTGAACGAGGACCTTGTTGTAGTTGATATTTTTTGTAAATATCATCATGGCTATTCGCGTGTATTAAGTCTCGATGAAACGTTCGCACATTTGAAGCATGGATCCTGTATAGTCAACGGGTGCATCGCGAGTGTAATGGGGGACTCCACGCGTTTCATTGACGATTGGACGGGGTCACGTGAAGGGATTACACCGTGTACGAATCTAAAACATCTATTCGCTAAAACACCCTTACCCGATGCGTGTGCCATTTGCTGGAGGAGGGGGTGATAATCGATTAATCTTCTTGGTTATATCGGTAAAGTCACGTAGAAGGGAAGTAATAAAATAATAAAAATAAAACATAATAAATAAATAAATTATAAGATCAAATTCTCAGCGACGTTTCGGCCACAACGCAAGCAGCCGTCCTCTGGTGAAGACCAGGACGGCTGCTTGCGTTATGGCCGAAACGTCGTGAGAATTATTTTATTATGTTTTATTTTTATTATTTTATTACTTCCCTTCTACGTGACTTTACCGAAAGAACCAAGAAGATGAATCCCTGCAGTCACGAAAGCTTTAAATCGAAATCGATTAATCGTCACGCCCCTTACCATGCATTGAGACTCGGAATCAGGGTTCTTGGATCGCGCGGAATACGACAGCCGTAATTGACATCGTTTCATCGCACGTACAATTAATACCATCATCGATAAGGAAATAAATGCTGGCCAAGCAATGCCTGTTTTAAACCAGCAAATTATGTTTTGGTTCAGTTTAATAAACCATTGGGCTCATTGTCTTGCGAAAGAAGTCAGACAAAGAGGGATGATTTACATTTGCTGAACGTTCTTCTGGCCGAATTTGAGCGGAAAAAACACGCCAATACCTCCGGAGCGACGGCGTCATTCCAGATATCGCTCGCCATATCAGTGGCCACCATCGTAGAGTACAAACCCCTGACACCGACGTGGCGTGGCTTGGCCTCCGTCCTGCAGTAGATTGACAAAAGCGTGGTACAGTTTTAAAATATCCATTGCCAGAAAAAGGGTTAGAACTTTAGGGCTACGCATTCCGGTCGTTTCATAGAAATGTTTGTGCGAATCTGGTCCCAAAACACCAAAGGCCACATCACGGAGCAATTTGTACGCACACGAGTTAACTAAAATCCGCAGAGACGCAGATATCTACTCCTGCGCGTGCATTCAAATCCAAAAGAAGGCCCCCTTTGCGACAACTCTCCGAGAGAATGAATGCCCGAGTGCGACGTGACGTACAAAAGAAACGACGACCCCTGCCTGTGGGTCCACCCAACGGCACGAAATGTGTACGCCAAAGTCGAGAGGCCGATCGTGTGTAAAGTGTGGGTGACGCCCCAACGCTTCCAAGACGTCTGTCCGATGTGAAAAAATCGAGCAAAACACAAAAATACACCCCTCTGGAGCGACACTCTGGAGGTACTAGTTGGAGGCTCTCTCCATCAGCGAGAAATTACGAGCCTGCAACATTTATCCTCGACCGCGTCAAGATTATTACTGGCAGAGGCGACTTCCTCTCTCTAATCTCGCAAGGGATTCGTGCGTTCATTCACGAAGGCATTAAAACGCCGCGCGCGCGTGTGTGTGTGTGGCTAATGCCCAAGGTGTGTGCGATATTAAGTATAAATACTAAGACGTTAATGACCACAACGGCGCAGTGGCCGGAGATAGCCGAGCAAAATGCCCATGCATTTCTAAGGCAGTGGAGTGACTGTGTGAATGTGCGCGGCCAATGCCAACCATACACATATTGTATTTACACATGCGCACACATATACTGTATGTATATCTAAAAATCATGTATATATATAAAAAATAAATAGTAATAAAGCAATGATCAATACTAGTCACAACGAAGGAAGCGTTTAACGTCCGTTCGATCGTGAGCTGCCAAGGAATTTTACGAAAAATTTGGCAAAGAAATTACCCCGTGCCGAAGCTTGCCGCGAGTTGCATTGGTTGCAGAAAAGAAACATTCTCCAAAACCGCATCATTATCACCATCATCACTACCATCATCACCATCATCACCGCCATCGTCGTCGTCATCACTTTTGTCGGAGCGCGGCTGGGAGACTCGGGGCAACCGAGGAACTAAACAAAGGCAAGCTCATGCACCCCTTCCTCCCCCTCCTCCTCCTCCACGACTCCACCGCTAGAGCGCGAGCAGCGTGGGCGAGCTGAGCGAATCCGACGACTGCTCCCCGTTACTGCTGCCGGGCGCGCGCTGCTGCTGCTGCTGCTGCGGCGGCGGAGGCGCGTCGCCACCCGCCTGGTTCCCCTCGTCCTGGCCCGGACCTGCGCCCTGCAGCAAGAACGGGTGGTAACCCGAGGTGGACGGGAAGGGACCCCCCACAGACGTGGAGGTGCCCGCAGCCGTGGCGGCAGATGACGCGGACGAAGAGGGCCCGGCGATGGGCTCGAAGTCAAAGTAGTAGCTGCCTGAGATGTTTGCTCCGGCCGACGGCTCGGCACACTCCTGCTGCTGCTGCAGCTGTTGCAGCTGAGAGCCGAGCTGCAGTTCCCCCTCGCTCTTGGAGGAGGGGGGCGGCACGCACACGAGGTGCGCGGACGTGGCGAGGGCGCAGTCCTCCACGTCGTCTTCGTGCGCGATCTTGCAGAAGCCCTTGTGCGCCGCGAGCACGAGCTGCAGTCGCTCCTTCTCCTTGCTGAGCGTCTCGATCTCGGCACGGAGGCCCGTGCTGCGGTCCTCCAGCTCGTCCGTCTCCTGCGACCCGCACACGCAACGCAAGATGCGCACGGACAGGCACGCGCACGGAATGCGCAATGCTGCGCAGGCAAACGTTGCTGCTCCAACGTTAGCCTGCATCGCCCTCCTCCCGGGGCCCCCCGCCCGCCATCCCCCCCCCCCCAACCACCCGCCCCCGACAATAATGATCGGGCTGGTGGGGGGAAAGAGCCGGCGAATTCAATCGTTGTGGACACCGCAGCGTCACGCAGCGAAGGTTCAGCAGCAGAGGTGGCCATTCACAACCGTCACCGTCGTCGTCATCATTGCCACCACTGAGAGCGGCTCTGAGATGGGAGGGAGGAGGAGGAGACTTGGGGGGTGGGAGGGGGGAGGGAGATACGATGAATGACGGAGGGAGGGAGAGACGGGAGATGGTGGGGGAGAGGAGAAGCAAGATTGGCTCGGGAGAGAGAGAGTACACATCGAGGGGAAGCGGTCTATCAGACGATGTAATTGTGTGCGGGTTTGGGTGAGCGGTGGCACAGTGGTTAGCGCACTGCGCTGCGAAACCGGCCACTTGGATTCTATCCCTGGCCAGAGCTCACCCCTGTGGTGATTGTCTGAACAAGGTCTGGGCTTCCCCGAGGTCGGCTCAACCTAAAATCATTAGTACCTAGTTGCAATGTGTAAACATTAGCAGTGGGGAGACAAAGGCGGCCGGGATTGGTGCTAGCCACCCACCCCCTCGTGTGCCGTGCCGGCCTTCATAGGTGCTGATCGCTGACAGCACTTGCCCCAACATACTCTTAGTTCTTTCGGTAAAGTCACGTAGGTAAAAAATGAAATCAAAATTAATAAAAAAAATCACGACGTTTCGGAGGCAACACAAGCTTCCGTCTTCAGGTGAAACTGTCACAGCAAAATATATTGCCCCAACAGTTTGTTAATGCTATGCACGGGGGATATTCGTCTATAAATCAACCTCTTATTTTATCTGTGTAACGTCGCTTACATTTACTGTGTCAATAGTAAGGGAAGACGATATTGCACTTTTGAACCCAGATGGGCAAAACGACGTCGTAAAACAATACAATATACGATTGCACACTTGTCTAAATGAGTAGCGTGTCTTCTATAATAGGCCAGAAATGTGTGTAACGCACGTGACGTCACTCCACATGCCGCACCCCCCCCCACGTCATTAATAATTAAATAATCATGAGCGGGTGCATTTTCACACTCACGCGGAAGAAGGTCGAGTCTAGAGATATATTTTTTTCGCAAAGTCGCTTCAAATATGACGACGTTTCTTTACGGAAAGTGACGGTCAAAAACAAATCTACGCAGCAGCAGTGCTACATGCGTGCGTGACGTCACTGCAAAAGAGCCCCCCCCCTCCCCCCCGTCATTACTATCATAAGCAAGACATTTTTTTTAACGCAAATTCGCTTAAAATTTAACGTATCTTTATTGAAAGTTACTCAAGTAAATAACTATATGCAGACGTTTCTTTACGTAAATATTACAGCTTCCGTCCTAGGACGGGCAAAAGGCGAGTATCATTATTATTATTATAATACAGCTGTTGTGTAGAGCTCACGCAGCCCAGCCGCTCTCTCTCTCTCTTCTTCTCGAGGCTTAAGCCAATCTTCACTCTCCTTCAACTCCCTTGAGCCCTCTTATACTGACAGCCACGCGGTTGTCCGCCGATCACACACCCCCACAATCACGTCACACCCCACGTCACATCCCACACCCCACGTTACACCCCACGTCACAAATCCACGTCACATCCACGTCACATCCACGTCACACCCGACGTCACAATTCAACGTCACGCCCCAAGAGGTGTATGCCCAGGGCTCCATCCACCCAGGGGGTGCTGATGGTGCTCACAGTCAGCGCCACGAGTCGGCAGTCCATCCCCGGAGTTTCCCTGTTGTGGTGCCGCATTCCCCTTGCCACAACGGCACCTCTCCCAATTCCCGTACACACGAGGCAATGTCTTCATGAGGATTGCGTTTCACGACACTTGTACCAGATGTACATGTCTCTAGTACCGCCATGGAAAGGTTCCTGTAACGTGGTCAAAGATGTTAAACATTGCATGGGTTAGAGGACATCCCTGTCACTTATATGGGTATGTGGTATGTCGTGGTCTCTTGAGTTATTATTCTGTGAAACAAATACTCTTGGCTTGAGGTGAACAGGAAATGGCTCTGACTCCTGGCCATGCAGTTTCATTGCGTGGGCATTTCATGTCATCAAAACACTCCGTCTCCTCAGCTCTCCACGATAAAACAGGGCAGTTATGGAAAGGGTGGAGGAGTTCTCATACGTGGACGGAGTAATAATGACCATCTCCGGTTTGGCAGCAGGAGGGTTTAACTTCGAATCAGTCGAGTGGCTGGTGGCCATCGAACAAAAGCGGTGGTCGCCGCATCGCGCGGAGCTTTCAGATGCGCTCCTGCGGCCGTCTGGAACGCTCTTCCTTCCGATATTCGGAAGCCAAAGGGAGCTGCGCACTTTTAAATCATCTCGATTGAAAACGAATTTCTTTAGAACTGCTTTTTGTGTTAAGCTTGTTGACCTTCCCCCCGCACCTCCGATAAGCACGGCTACGTATGGTGCAAAAGAAGCTCAACGTACATAGACACGAGTGACGTTACCTTTCCAACAGCTGTGCAATCTTCTGTGGAAGCTGCCCGACCTATCGCTCCATAAAAAGCTCCGGGTCTTCTCAGCCACAGTTACACATTCACTAATACATTTATGCACAATTTTAACTTATTAAGGACATTCAGAGGCGTGGGAGAAAACGAAGGAAATCGGAGAGCCTTTGAGAATTCGAAAGCATATGAAGGATGGCCCTAACGCTTGTTTGTGTAGAGTGGAGGGACACCATTCCAGATAATCACTGGAACTGAGTGGACTTGCCAATGGTGTCAAGATCGGCCCCTGCAGAGGAGGCTTGTGAAGGAAGCTACTGGGCAGTTGAAAGCAGTCGCTCTCCAACAACAGAGGAGGGCAGAGGAGCGATGCTCACAACAATGATGGCACAGTATGAAGGAAAGTTGATGCATCTGCCAGCCATCTCAGTCAGTAAACCCACGGCACCTGGGTCTGTCCCGTGACCTCCTGTCAGCCAGCCTTCCACACTCCACATGGGCTTAAGGTGCACCTAACCTGGCACGAGCACTGTGGTGACACCACTGCTACACAGGTGGCGAATGTGGGTTGTCGTGCTCGTGTGTGTGTGTCTGCGTGAGTGTGTGTGTCTGCGTGTGTTTGTCTATGTGAGTGTGTCTGTGCGCGTGTGTCTGCGTGAGTGTGTGTGTCTGCCTGAGTGTGTCTGCGTGTGTGTCTGCGTGAGTGTGTGTGTCGGCGTGAGTGTGTCTGCGTGTGTGTCTGTGTATGTGAGTGTGTCTGTGTGAGTGTGTCTGCGTGAGTGTGTGTGTCTGTGCGCGTGTGTCTGTGTGAGTGTGTCTGTGTGTGTCTGCGTGAGTGTGTCTGTGTGTGTGAGTGTGTCTGTGCGCGTGTGTCTGTGTGTGTGTGTCTGTGTGTGTCTGTGTGAGTGTGTCTGCGTGAGTGTGTGTGTCTGTGCGCGTGTGTCTGTGTGAGTGTGTCTGTGTGTGTCTGCGTGAGCGTCTGCGTGTGTGTGTGCGTGAGTGAGTGCGTGAGTGAGTGTGTCTGCGTGAGTGAGTGTGTCTATGTGAGTGTGTGTGTCTGCATGAGTGTGTCTGCGTGAGTGTGTCTGCGTGTGTGTGTGTCTGCGTGAGTGTCTGCGTGTGTGTCTGCGTGAGTGTGTCTATGTGAGTGTGTCTGCGTGAGTGTGTCTGCGTGAGTGAGTGTGTCTGCATGTGTGTGTCTGCGTGAGTGTGTCTGCGTGAGTGTGTTTGTGTGAGTGTGTCTATGTGAGTGTGTCTGCGTGTGTGTGTCTGTCTGCGTGTGTGTGTCTGTGTGAGTGAGTGTGTCTGCGTGAGTGTGTCTGCGTGAGTGAGTGAGTGTGTCTGCGTGAGCGTGTCTGCGTGAGTGTGTCTGCGTGTGTGAGTGTGTCTCCTCACCGACTGTAGTCTGTCCGTCAACTCTCTCCGCCGGTTTCGGCAGCGCGCGGCCGCCTGTTTGTTCCGCTCGCGACGAACTCGGCGCCTTTCCGCCTCCTCCGCCGAGAGCTGCACAGGAGGGCGGCGAGATGTTAGCGGGGTGGTGATGATGGTGATGTTGGGTGATGGTGATGTTGGGGGGGTGGTGATGGTGATGTTGGGTGATGGTGATGTTGGGGTGGTGATGTGAGCGTGGCGATGGTAACATGAATGTGGTGATAATGTTGGGGTGGCGGTGAAGGTGATATTGGGGTGGTGATGATGGTGATGTTGGGTGATGGTGATGTTGGGGGGGTGGTGATGGTGATGTTGGGTGATGGTGATGTTGGGGTGGTGATGTGAGCGTGGCGATGGTAACATGAATGTGGTGATAATGTTGGGGTGGCGGTGAAGGTGATATTGGGGGGGTGGTGATGGTGATGTTGGGGTGGTGGTGATATTGGGGGGGTGGTGATGGTGATGTTGGGGTGGTGGTGATGTTGGGGGGGTGGTGATGGTGATGTTGGGGTGGTGGTGATGTTGGGGGGGGGGTAGTGGTGATGTTGGGGTGGTGGTGATGGTGTGGTGGTGGTAATGGGGGGGGGGGGGTGATGGTGATGTTGGGGGGGGGTGATGGTGATGGTGTGGTGGTGGTGATGTTGGGGGGGGGGTAGTGGTGATATTGGGGTGATGGTGATGGTGTGGTGGTGGTAATGGGGGTGGTGGTGATGGTGATGTTGTGGGGGTGGTGGTGATGGGGGGGTGAAGGTGATGTTGGGTGTTGGTGATGGCGACTTTGGAGTTGGGCACAATCTCTTGCCTCTAACAGTGGCGATAACGCGTCATTGTTGTTTATGCAAATTACATGCAAATATTTAGTTTTGGTCAATGAACAAACAAGAGAACAAAAAATATCGATGCTTGAATGGAATAGTGACCTGATGTTGACAATTCATCATTGCCACAGGAACGAGGGGGAGGATGGCTTTAGACGACTGGCACATCGAGTTGAGTTTTAGTCCAACCTCACAGCGCAACATACGACACACGGTCACCACTCCTCTCTCGCAAGACTGCGATTCGCAGACTGGTCTCGTCTGCACTAGTTTGACACTCAGGGGAGACAATGGTGCCTTGTGGATGTCGTCAACTCGCAAGGAAATTGAACAAATTCTGGACCATAGAGGCCGTCCATAAATGACGTCACGGCGATTTTGGACGATTTTTGACCCCCCCCCCCTCGTCACACGGCGTCACAAAAAGTCAGACCCCCCCCCCTCAAATATGACGTCACACAGCTCTGCCCCCCCCCCCCAAAAAAAAAAACATGCTTCAAATGGCTTTAAACTATTGTCATTGTAGTGCGTATTTAATGTGCCGCTGCACTCTGATGTTGTAGGAGAAAACATTTATTAAAAAGTCTATTTAATTCAGTAGAACGTGTTGTCTATATGTATTTAAAGTTGCGCATTTTGATGTGAAGTCACATTTCTCAAACCCCCCCTCCTCGTCACACATCGTCACAAATATCTGACCCCCCCCCCCTAGGTGCGTGACGTCATTTATGGACGGCCCCATAACGTCGAGGCACACAATCTCCCGCTCTTTTTTGAGCGATGTCACGCGAATCAGGAACGCGCGCGGTCACGCGGACCCGCTCGGTGTTTCGGTTTGATCACCCGCAGTGTTCACCGGCGAGGCCACTCGCCTTCGACCGCGAACCTCCACAAGGAGCGGCCAAACACGGGAATGGTTGCATACTCTTCTTGGTTCTTTCGGTAAAGTCACGTAGGTAAAAAAATAAAATTAAAAGTTAATAATGGAAATAAAATAAAATATCTTCTTGGTTCTTTCGGTAAAGTCACGTAGAAGGGAAGTAATAAAATAATAAAAATAAAACATAATAAAATAAAATAATTCTCACGACGTTTCGGCTACAACGCAAGCAGCCGTCTTCAGGTGAAGAATGAGACACTGCCAAGCTAGGAGCTAGGAGCTTGGCAGTGTCTCATTCTTCACCTGAAGACGGCTGCTTGCGTTGTAGCCGAAACGTCGTGAGAATTATTTTATTTTATTATGTTTTATTTTTATTATTTTATTACTTCCCTTCTACGTGACTTTACCGAAAGAACCAAGAAGATAGTCACTAATTGGCGTTTTGTTTACGTGACAAATCCCTTACTATTTACCGCACAAAACATTAGACAAATCACACCCTGGAAATGTGAACCGGTTCTCGTCATCCCGTCCCTTCGCCGTTCGCCGACTCACACTGACTGACCACCGTGGAGAAGTATGGCCAGGCAGTGACAGACATGGCCTCCGCCCAGCCACGGGACGACAAAGAAGCCGTGAACGATCGCGATTGTTGCTATTGCAGTCCCGAGCAATTAGCATGCCGTGATGCAGCATTGTCGAGCACTGTCGTAGGAGGGGGGTGCATTTGTATTAACTATGAGTCAGTGGACGGCGCTGCTAAACCGGGACTGCGTCTCAACTCACAGCACCACCCCCAGCCCAGACAATGAACCCGATCACCCCCCCCCTCCTTGTCCCTTTCCCACCCTTCCCTATCGTCTAGCCTCATTTGCCCCCCGCCGCCCCCCTGTTAAGGAGGAGATACCTTATAATTATTCACTGCTGTATACACTCCCCTAAACCCCTACCGAACCATTGCCGTCTCTAGATTTAAAGCTTTCGTGACTGCAGGGATTCATCTTCTTGGTTCTTTCGGTAAAGTCACGTAGAAAGGAAATAATAAAATAATAAAAATAAAACATAATAAAATCATTCTCACGACGTTTCGGCCACAACGCAAGCAGCCGTCCTCAGGTGACGAACAGGTCTGTCGGAAAGACAGCGTCTGGCCGAAACGTCGTGAGAATTATTTTATTATGTTTTATTTTTATTATTTTATTATTTCCCTTCTACGTGACTTTACCGAAAGAACAAAGAAGACATTGTCATCTCATAATGACCTCGCGATGCCACAATCCATCTGGCTCCTGGTCGCGAGCTAATTTCATCGCTCCATCTCCACGGTCGTGCGTCTTCCGCCGTCACGGGCTGCCACTCTGTCGTCGGTCTTGAGCGGCCACTGCCAGAGCCGGAGTCCACAACCCCAAACTTCTTTACTTTCCTTAACAGTCAAGAGGGTGACTCAAAGCAGTGCCGGATTAAGCTCGTGCGGGGCCGGTCGCATATGTTACAAAGGGGCCCTAAATAAAAAAAACACGTCAATATTAAACACACAAATGTTGTACTTGCATAGTAAAGTAATTGTATTTTTCCATTTGCTATACAGCCAGATAATACGACAAATCGATAACCTTAAACACCCAGTCGTCCGTAAAAGTTGAAGGCGGTATAGTACTATAGTAATAGAGCAAGTGCAGAATCACTGAACCGGAATTGATAGCTTGAAAGCATTTAGCGCGGGGCCCTTGAAAGTGCGGGGCCCATAGCATATGTAGCTACTTGTGCTACTAGGATAATTCAATCCGGCACTGACTCAAACAGTTGTTTGTTCTCCAATCCACTCGGTTTTCCTTCCTGCCTCTCAGCATCCAGGAGCCGCCAAGTCTCCCCCACTCCGAGCCTGCACCGTGATTGCTTTCGCTCGGCTCACGTTGTCCTGGGCCCTTGGTCGAGATGGCCCCCCACTCGCAAGGGTTCTCACTGCAGCAGCTAACAAGCCCCTCTGTATGGAGGAGGATCAGGCGTCACCCGCAGATCCGCCCGTGGTTCAACGGGCCTGGTGGAAGAGACTCGGCCACTCGCAGATCTCATCTTAGCAGGTGATGTCGCTTGCATTAAAAAAACACCCGTATCGTGTAACGTTTTGGGCTCCTAGCCCGTATTTCTCGCCCCACAACGGTACCTGTTATATTTGTTACTTTTAGAGTAACGGTGATTGCCAAATGTGTTGAGCCTCGAATTATAAGCGTATATAAAAAAACTAATTTACGAAGATGTTTTCCATTATGTGTGCTGATGACCTGGCAGAGACCATCTCTCTACACCCTGACAACCTCGATCGAATCGACTGCTCACTCACTCACGTTCTATTCTATTCTGTTTCGCATTTATATAGCGGCCTTAACGGGGCACTTTACAATGCACGCCGACGGTCAATCTACTTCGAGATGAGGTCCTCTCTGCGACTTTCACGAGAGTGGGTTCGCTTTACCTGCCCACGCTCGCCGGTGCAGGTTGGTGGAGGGGTACAGCAGCAGGGTGCGTTCAGTTATCACCATCGCTAGCCGGGGCCGGGATCGAACTCGGCTATATTGATATCTGACTCAGTGCACCCAACTCACTACGCTGCATTAAAAGGACGGCCTTTTAATGCAGACTCGATTCCTTGCAAAAGGTTTCTATTTGGCGTTCGAATATCTTAACACCTCCTGTTTAATTGCCACGAAGGCAAAATTCCTCTTATTATTTTTTATTACACAAACACCACAATTCCCCAACCGTACCACAGCCGAAAACTCGGATCCGAACCCAAATGCCCCCCCCTTCCCTCCGAATCCGCCCCCCCCCTCCTTCAGTGACGCCCTTCCCGGCCATCGCGAACCCTCCACGCAATGACGACGCTGCCCCACTGCCCAGCGCCGCGGTTCAAGTGACGATGACTCACTCGCTCACTCACTCACCGAACGCGCCTTCCGAATGAAAGCTTGGCGCACGGGCGATCGGACGAGACGCGCGCATTCCTGCGCCGTGACTGTGTGCCGATCGCACGTGTCGACCTCCACCCCCCCACCACGCCGCCACCACCACCGCATTGTAATCTTGGCCGCCGGTTTAATATAACACTGACGGGTAAATGATCGGGTGAGTTGTGACTGGTGATGCAAACAATGGGCCGTCGTTTTGTGTAGAATAGCGGCATTCGTAATAATCGACAATTATGTTAGCAGGATGAGCGCAACTGAGTCTCAAAGATATTTTTTTTTCGGTGGTGTCCCTGCTTACATTTGGGCATGAGGCCCAATGCCGTGGGTTTTTAATTTTTTTTAACTCACTCCGTCTGTTGTCGTATCCTTAAAAAACATAATTTAACTCAAATTTTACCCACTTTCCAATGTGCTATCGAGTGCAAACTTGGTATACTCGTGTCATACTAATGACAAGACTATATTTTATCATAAAAAATTAAAAATATATATTTTTAAACATTGTACACGCTTTTATTTAACTCACTGTCTATTGTATCCTCAAATCTTGTAACTCAATTTCAACCATCTTCCCAATATCGTATCGACTGCAAACTTGGTATAGCTATGTCATACTGATGACAATACTATATTCTATCATTAAAAATTTAAAACATATATTTTTAAACAATATTTTTGACGGGTCTAATTGTCCACGCTCAACTCACGTTGCCTATAAATCACCACGGTCCCGTACGCTATGACAAGCTGCGGGGCCACTTCCTGGAGTCGTGGAGTTCTGCCGTTACGAGTACGGTACATTTCATTAAAGCGTGTTTAAAAAAAAGTATTTTTAATATTTAGTTTTTTTCGATTTAAAGCTTTCGTGACTGCAGGGATTAATCTTCTTGGTTCTTTCGGTAAAGTTACGTAGAAGGGAAATAATAAAATAATAAAAATAAGACAATAAAAACATAATAAAAATAAAAAATAAAACATAATAAAAGAACAGGTCTGTCGGGAAGACAGCGTCTCATTCAGACGCTGTCTTCCCGACAGACCTGGTCTTCACCTGAGGACGGCTGCTTGTATTGTGGCCGAAACGTCGTGAGAATTATTTTATTATGTTTTATTTTTATTATTTTATTATTTCCCTTCTACGTGACTTTACCGAAAGAACCAAGAAGAAAAATATTTTGTTGCTTTCGGTGATTGACGGTGCGGTGCTCACGAGGCGACCGCGTGCGTGCCCCCCTGCTGTGCCCTGCAGCAGCAGCGGCGGCGGGCAACGGACATAACAAGAAGAGACATTTGTTGTTGTTGTTGTTGTTTCGAATAATTTAAGAAACTCAACGTTTCAAGAGCCGCGATGCAATGTGGTGGTGAGTTCCAGACGGTGGGGTCCTCAATAGCTGACGGCACGAAGCGGTGCCTTTAAAGATCCACAGGCTGCCGACCCCCGACCTTCAAGAACTTTCCCCGCACTGAGCCCCAACCTCACAAAGATCTAGAGAGCTAAGCATGTTCGAGTCTGGATAATGTTTGGATGGGCACCCACCATGCATAACATGTGCCGTGGGATTACGGGGCTACGCGTAATGCTATCCATGCAATTTAATTGGAGGGTGTAGGAGTTGCATTTTGATTTAAAGCTTTCGTGACTGGAGAAAATAAAAAAAAATCAAATTTTCTTGCTGTGGATTTCACACCTGATGACGATTGCTTGTGTTGCAGTCGAAACGTCGTGAGAATTTGTATTGTTTTATATTTATATTATTTTTTTATTTCCCTTCGACGTGACTTTACCGAAAGAACCAAGAATATGGGGTAGGGGTTATTTCTACATTTGCTGTTGGGGCTATGGTCTCGGGCAGAGTCTTGCTTTTTCACATCTCCATCATCAGCCATGATCAACCCACTGCTGGATGGAAAAATCGGAGGTTCTGCTGGTCGGCACTCAGGCTCCGGTGAAAACATTTGAGGGGATAGGGGGGGGGGGGATCAGGTATGGCGGTCGCAGACTCCAGGATTCAGTTTCCTACTCATCTAAAGAGCCTCGGCACAAAACTCGACCAGATTGTGTCGTTTGATCACCACGTGCAAGATATCGTCAGGTTCTGCAATTTTCATATCAGCGCTCAACGACACATTTGACCACAGCTGAGTCATGACATAGCCAACACGGTGGCGTGTAGCATCGCATCGGCAAGGCTCGATTATTGCAACTCACTACTCTACGGGACGTCTGGAAAAACAAAACATTAAACAAGCTGCAGCGTGTAGTAAATTCTTTGGCACGTGTCGCGACGGGGTACTGCAAGCTCTGATCATGTCTGTCCAGCACTCGCTCAGCTGCACTGGTTTCCGGTTACCAAACGAAATACATTTTAGGGTCACACTCGCTACACACAAAGTGCTCGCCACAAATGAACCACAATATCTTGCCGATCTCGTCAAGGAGCGTAAACCATCCCACGAACTCTGGTCATCCTAGCAGCGGCTTTGCCTTGCCATTGAACTAAGACGGTCACTGCATCGCGCTCTTTCAGATGCGCTTCTGCAGCGGTCTGGAACGCTCTTCCTTCCGATATTAGGAAGCCACTGGAGCTATGCACTTTTAAATAATCTAACTCAATTGTTTGGAACTGCTTTTTATGTTTAATTTGTTGTCCTTCCCCCTGCACCTCCGATGAGTGCAATTGGCTACATACTGTGCAAAAGTATGTCAATAAGCATACAAACATCTCTCAACGCTGTCGTGTAACAACAACAACATCGTACTCCCGGAAAAAACCACGCAGACCGAAAATTACCGATCAGCGGTAATCGAGAATCGAACCGTCTCGCTTTGCGTTGAGGTGGCACCACTTCGTGTCTCGTGGCTGAGCTGTAACTCAACTCGAGTAAGCGTTTGGGTGTCGCGAGACACGACGGACGTCGCGGTCGCGCTGGTGTCGAGTGGGATGCGGTGGCAGATTAATTACATCTCATAAATTAGTCACGGCAGCTCGTGCCGCAGGGTGGCATTTTTGGTGGTCGCGCTTAGAGTTGTCTCGGATATGGAAATGTAACCGCGATCGCGCGTACAGTCGGTGCGCACGCACGTACGTACGCACAGGTTGGACGCTGCACTGGAGAGAATGAAAAGCACAGCTGTGCAGCCGAGGAAGAAAGTTTTCAGTCAGTTCATATGAATAGTGATGCCAGGTAAGTGCGGCCTGGCACAGACCGTTTCTAGTCTCAGAACTTTATGATTGTTCTTTATGCTATTCTATGATAAAAAAAAAATCTATTCATTTTCTAAATCCCAATCTGTGTTGCTTGAAGTAAACACGTGACCTGAAGTTGTCATAAGTGAGAGACGCCAATTATGGTGTTGACCTTACGGCATTACGACATCTTACAAGGTCAGCCCGGCTAAGAGCGAGCAGCTCCTTGTGAAAAGCGAGCTTCATGGACCACTTGACGTGGAATGGCGCAGCACCGTTGAAGCTCTCATGGCAGTTTTCAAGTGGGCTGAGTCACTTTTCCTGGATCTCAATCTGGGCCCGCGTGCTTTTCAGTGGTCGACATTCTACCAAATGACCAGGTTTGCCCGGGACAGTCCCAGGTTCGTAAATGAGGATTTTGCCTTTGATTTAAAACACCTCTGACCTCAGGCTTGGCTCATGATAGGAGCAAAGGGACTGGGAAGTGGGCGGGGGCTACCTGGGCAGTGGGCGGTGCTAGCAGATGGGTGGGTGGAGCCTAAGGGAAGTGGGCGAGGCTAACATCTAAATAAGCCGGGGCCCTTCATTGATGGCTGACGGAGGGATGGCCCTGCCAGCTTAGACGTGTGCCCAGTTTGAACCTCCGAGAAACGTGGAATTGGCAAACGCGCACTCGACGACAGAACAGCCCAGTCCTCCCTCTCGTGCAAACAATACTCACGTCTTCATCCCTGCGCCTCCGTCCTCCCAGAGAGCGAGCCTCCAACCCCACCTGGTGGCCCTGGTGGCGAGCTCCACTGGGGCCTGGCTGCTGGGCCTGTTCCTCCTGCCAGCTGGGGCCAGGCGGGGCCGGATCCGGTTCCACATAAGCGGGCGGTGGGACGCGGGGGTATTGGTGCGACGAGGCAGAGGAGGTGATCACGGTCGACTGGACCATCCACTGGAGGTCCTGGCTGGTGGTGATGGCCGTCACGGTGGGGACGAACAAGCCTTGGCTTGTGCTGGGCACGTCCACGCTGTAGCCCTGAACGGGAGAGATGTCCATGTTAGATTGGTGCGAGGGAGAGGAGAAGGGTGGGAAGCATGGGTGGGAGCACGATGGCACGGCTAGAGTGATTCATATTATTTATTATTCATCATCAGAAAAAGTAACAAACGTGGGGAGAGGCCATTCGGTCTATCTTTCTCGTCTGGGCAGGAAATCACAGACCAGCTGGAAGTCAGCCAGAAACTGGACACGACTGCCTAAGTTCTGCGCTGCTACTAGGTGGGTGGGCGGGGGGGGGGTGAGTAACTTGTAATGTTTAACTCAAATTGAGTAATTTCTCAAACGTGGCAAATGTGGACAATGACATCAGCACACAATGGCCTACTCAAGGGATCTCTGACCTCTATAACGAGAGACAAACCACTGGGCCATGCCACCTGCCATGAAGATGCTGCTGAGGAATGATTTAATGATGCTGGTGTCGCTGCTTATTGGTTATCGACAGTGACTCCTCAATTTGCTTGCCAAGGAAGAATCACCAACATAATCATGTATTTATTTATCTTTCTTCGCGACTTTACCGAAAGAACCAAAGAGTAATTCCTGCAGTCACGAAAGCTCCAAATCAAGTATGATTAATTAATCCGTATTCTGAATGGACAGCCAAAACCACCAATACACAAGTTGTGCAAGATATGGGCACTGACAGGCAACTGCTGAAGACCATCATTAGCAGGAAGTGTTACTACCTAGGCCACATTGCCCGAAACGACCACAAATACCAGCTATTAAAGCAAATCCTGGAAGGAAAAATCGAAGGGAAAAAACGACCAGGACGGCCAAAAACGACATGGCTCAGTAACATCAAAACATGGCTACAATTAACAACAGCAGCACAAACTCTACACGCCGTGCTAGACCGGGACCAATATCATCGTGAAGTCGCACACGCCGTTAGGCAGCACTCAAGAAGAAGAAGAATTCTGAATCATTTACGTTGAAACTTTGCACACGCCTTCATAGTCAACGTCGCTCGCTCAAGCATTGTTTCACCTGCCACCACTTTACACGCTCCAGGTTTGCCAATGCACCTCTGATGAACACGCTTGGCTACGTATGATGCGAAAGAAATTCAACATACACAATGCACGGGCGATATCCACCTTTTCTGAAGTGGATATCGCAGTTGAGCGTTGGTGATTTGTATAACAACACGGACACAATCCAGCGCACGTGATCTGCTGGCATTTCCCTATTTTATTATTGAGCGTATTGACAATCTCACAACTCTACAACTAAAGATCAAAACCAATATATGATTTGAATGTACATGCGGGTGATAACGCGTGTGCAACAACTAGTGTTGTCAATATCGCAGTATCCTGCATTGACCAATGTTGGTATCAGTGTTCCGCCAGAATACATTATTCGCTTTAAATATGTGTCTACTCTGTAATAATATTACTACAGTAGATTCTCGATTATTCGCACAATTCAAAAATAATTCAAAATCGCCGATAATCCAAAAATATAAATTTTCCGCAAATCTCTATGCCAAGAAACACTCATATAGGTATAAATGATGTTTAAGGTGAGAAAATTGAGTCTGTTAATGAACAAAACTAAAATTGTAGTAAATAATGTATTGATCTTGTTTTATTGCAAAAGTCCAGAAGCCTCCCACCCACTAAGTAGATAGCGGAGCCACGCCAATCAACATCAAACTCCGCCCGCCGTTGTAAAGATATGGTAACCACTGTACTGTAGAGACGATCACGTGGATTTAGGATTAACCGGAGCAACATATTTGTTCGGTTGAAGCATGTGACTTGTAATAAAAACATTTTAAATCAACAATGTACAACTTGACTTAAAGCTTTCATGACTGCAGGAATTCATATTCTGTGGGTCTTTCGCTAAAGTCATGTAGATAGGTTACAAAAATAATAAAATAAACAAAAAAACTGCGACGTTTCGATCGCAACACAAGCATTCGTCATCAGGAAGAGGAAAATTTCCCGAATAATGTACAACTGTTTTGAGATGAAGGGGAAATCCACGAGTTATTAATTTATGTCAAAATCTCAGGTGCGCGGTTAATCTGCAACCCGGATAAAGCTCACGCGGAATAATCGAGTCTCCAGTACCATCATCCGCTCACTTTTTAATATCCTCCTCGGCTTACACCTTGCAACGCTCCTCTACAGCTTCATTTAACATCACTACCCCACCGCCGTGACACGCTTTGCAGGCCCCCCGGCTCTGCAATCTTCGTACCCGCGTCCACCAAGGCTCCCCTGGTGTTTGTGTGCGCCTTTTTTCTGTTTCCCGTGCTTTCCCCCCTCTCCTTTAGCCTGAGTCGACGTACACATTGGGGGCCACCCAATGCCACTTGGTCTAGGCCGTTCCCAGATATGCGCCTCCGACGCTGCCGCCGCTGCTGTCTTCAGTAACTTAAACGCGCTCCCGGCCTCGATTAGTTGGCCCCTACCCCAGCGAGTGGCGCTTCTCAAGCCACTGGCTCCCATTCGGAACCTCAACTCTGCATCATTGAACACAAATCTCACGTGCATCCATTCCGTTCGTGCACCGGGTCATCTACGGATGGCGATTCCCCCCCAAAAAACTGGTTCTAACAAAGCCTTTAATTTGTTTTTACAACGCAATTATTTCTGGATTAATACAGCACTAATGAGTATAGGAATTAAATTAAAACAATGTTTTACTATACTGTATACCGTAGATACAGAAACAGAATAAACATTAACTGAAGGATCTGAATAGTTTGTGATAGCTGAATGTCTATTATACTTTAGGATACCACCATGTAAATAGTATGTTGAAAAAAAAAACAATAAAAGTACTCACATAATCACCAATAAATAATCAGAATTTACACAGAATAAACAAATCAATGAATAGTAGCAATCCACAACTGGAACAATGCTCTTTAAACCTAACTAATAAATAACTCACGTACTAATCACCTCAGCTACAGATTACTGCACAACAGTCTCTTTGAGCAACAAGGAGCAATAATTTGTTGACTTTTAAAATTTCAAATCCCAACATTTCGAATCAATCGTGGGCATGGAGTCGCCTCTCCGTGCCGCCACCAAAACAGAATCGATTCCAGACCGCTCCTAGCCACGGCATGCGGGAATCGATTCCTCTGGGATCGATTCCCCCCCCACCCACCCACCCCCCGTGTCATCTCCGCACGCGACCCCCCCTCGTTGACTTTCGCATCAACAACCACCACCCACCACCACCCACCACCACCACCCACCACCACCACCCCCACCACCACCCACCACCACCACCACCACCCACCACCACCCACCCCCACCACCACCCACCACCACCCACCACCACCACCACCCACCACCACCACCACCCACCACCACCACCACCACCCACCCACCACCACCCCACCACCACCCACCACCACCACCCACCACCACCACCACCCACCACCACCACCACCACCACCCACCACCACCACCCACCACCCACCACCACCACCCCCACCACCACCACCACCACCCACCACCACCCACCACCACCACCCCCACCACCCACCACCACCACCCACCCACCACCACCCACCACCACCCACCACCACCACCCACCACCACCACCACCCACCACCACCACCACCCACCCCCACCACCACCACCACCACCCACCACCACCACCCCCACCACCAGCCACCACCACCACCCCCACCACCACCACCACCACCCACCACCACCACCACCACCACCCACCACCACCACCCCCACCACCAGCCACCACCACCACCCCCACCACCACCACCACCACCCACCACCACCACCACCACCACCACCCACCAGCACCACCCCCACCACCAGCCACCACCACCACCCCCACCACCACCACCACCCCCACCACCACCCACCACCACCACCACCCACCACCACCACCCCCACCACCAGCCACCACCACCACCCCCACCACCACCACCACCCACCACCACCCACCACCACCACCCCCACCACCACCCACCACCCACCACCACCACCCCAACTTCACCACCACATCGGTTCGCAACGCACGCGATGTGACCGCGCAGGTGATCACGAGCGGAGGGAGCGGTGGCGCGGTGGTTAGCTCACTGCGCCGTGAAGCCGGCACCAATCAGTTCGAGCGGTAGCGGGATTCGTTTCGATTGGGCGACCGAACATTTGAACGGGTCCTCGATTTTTGACCGCCTTCGCTTGAGCAGTGCGGGGAAGTTGTTGGGTACCCCCTATAGCCCACACGGTGTGTGTGTGTGGGGGGCTGCAGTGAGTTGACAATATCGTCTGTGCATTGTTATTAAACACACTGAAGAGTGGTGATAATTGCAAGCACGGCACTTACAGCCTCGCTCTAATTCGTAAGACGTCACAACGACGGCCCGGCAAGAGGGATGTTTGTCCAGCTCGTGTTTTGAAACAAAGAGTTGCTTCTCGTTAGTGGGCGCCATGGTGGCTAGGAGATGTTACCTATCTCGCCTGGTGTACAGGAGGTCGTGGATTCGATCCTGACGCCTGCTATATATTTGGAGTTTGCGTGTCTCTCTCTCTCTCATCATCATCACAGTGGCTCGGAGATGTTACCTACCTCGCCTGGTGTACAGGAGCTCGTGGGTTCGATCCTGACGCCTGCTGTGTATTTGGAGTTTGTGGTGTCTCTCTCCTGGTGGTCGCCTGGATTTTTCTCCGGGTCCTCCGGTTTTCCCCTCCACATTTAGAATCAACGTCACGCGTTTGGAGTATTTGGCCTCTTTAACAGCTTCACATAAGCCACTTCGTTGAGCTATCATTCGAAAAAGAGCGATATAGTTCAGTGGATCTTACATGGTACAATTAAAAAAGAAATAGTTTCGTTTGGAAGCAACCAGACAACCCGGAGAAAACGTCACAATGACCTCACGAGCGCTGCCATCTGCTGGTCATCTCACAACCCCCAAATGCAGCCTACAGTGCCTGGCGAGCCCTTAATGGTCACCCGTGTAATCGATAACCTGCCTCATCCTAAGTATTGACAATCGTCAATACTTGAATACGCATTCAATGTCTCATCCTCAGCCGTCCTCGATCCGCACGTTGGCCGCACCAGGGGCAATCCTTGTCCCACTGACTTCTGTCTTCTGCTATCCTCACTGTCTGTCCCAGCGTGAGCCTCGTGCGTGCTTTGATGTCATCCACCCGCTGTCATCCTCGCGCACGTGAGCCGGGTGTTGTGCCTTGCATGATCTTCTGGGGCGTACTCAATGTGGTTGGTTTGTCGGAAGAGCGGACGGCACATTTGGGGGGTTCCGAGCGTGGCAGTTTCACGAATCTCGACGTGATTCACCAGCCCAGAGAACACCCAGCGTCGTCTTCGCCTCCGTGCTCACACTCGCATCCACACCTTGCAACCTATTACTGTGGCCCCCGAATTGTGTGCTCGTGCATACAAATATGGGGTTGACCTTGTGACCCTGATTAACGTTAAGTTATGCTCTTTCGGCTCTACATACGCGTGCACGGCGGTCACTACATTTACACCCCGCGGCAAGATTTCACGTTCAATGGCCCTAATTAAGACGAGACGCTTCGTCTCAATGTTTACACATCCGCACTCCTCTCGTACCCTGAGATCGCATTCATTAGCTACGAGCGGGATTGTGTTCGCGCTGCCTTAAGTGCGAGCAACAACCACTGCACATTCACGAGACCGCCACATTTTTAGCCCCCCCACCCCCCCACCAATTGTCTAAGTCTCTCCACGTGCCTTTGTCTCTGTGTGGGTGTCTCTCTCACCGTCTCTCGGTGTCCCCCGTCTCTACGCGCCCACGCTGCGTCTCTCGGTGTCAACATCTCATCTCGTCGCGTCTCCCTGTCTTTCCGTCCGTCTGCCTTTCTCCGTGCTCTCCGTGTCTCTCTCCGTGTCCTTCTCCGGCGCAACTAAGTCGGTGTCCCCCTCTGTGTCTCCGTGCGTAATATACCAACAAAGATAAAGACAAAGATCCCCCGTATAGACTTAACAGACTGTAGGGGCAAGTGCTGTTAGCGAGCACCTATGAAGGCCGGAACGGTACACGAGGGGGTGGGTGGCCAGCATCACGCCCTACCGCCTTTGTCTCCCCAGTGGCGATGTTTACACACCGCACCAGGTACTCATTTAAGGCTGAGTCGACCTAGGGGAGGCCCAGGACCGGTTCAGATAATCGTCACTGGTGTTGGCCGTGAGCGGGAATCGAACCCGAGTCGCCAGGTTCATAGCGCAGCGCGCTAACCGCTACACTACCGCTCCGCAAATATACCAACACACGCACACGCACGTGCACGCGCTCGCACGAGTCACCATAAGCGGCTCCTCTGGGAGACGAGGAGATGGCGGTGTGTGTCACGCATGAATCATAGAGCGCAACTCTTAGTAACACAACAGCGTGGCTACTGACTCATCAATCAGGCCCGGCCGCGCTCTGCGCGCGCGCACGCGGCCACATGGAGGAGTCTCGGCGTCTCGAGACCGCGGCGAGGCGTCTCCGCTGCCTTGCCCCCCCCCCCCGGAGTTCCATAGCCATGCGCGTGGTACGCGTGTGTGCCGAGTGCGGTGAATGTACGTGAGGCCCAGACACCATGTGTGTGAACGGATGTAGGCATTAATGAATGTGTGAGTGCGTGCATGAATGAGCGTGTGTAAATATCGTGTGTTTGAATGTACAGCGGATAAGAAGGTGTGTAATGTAACGTGTGTGTGAGATTGTCTTTGGGGAGCGGTGGTGCAGCGGTTAGCGCGCTGCGCTCCGAACCTGGCCCTACCCGAGTTCGATTCCCGCTCACGACCAACACCAATGACGATTATTTGGACCGGTCCTGAATCTTCCCTCGGTCGACTCAGCCTCAAATAAGTACCGGGTATACCTGGTGCGGTGTGTAAGCCTAGTGCGGTGTGTGGGGAGACTAAGGCGGTCGGGCGACGTTCTGGCCACCCACCCCTCGTTTATCGTGTTACTCGCTCACATAATTTGCCCCAACAGTCTGTTAAAGCTATACGGGTGTGTATGAATGATGAACACGTGTGTGTGTGTGTGTATTTTGTACGTGTGAATGAATGTAAGTATGTGTCTGCTGTACATACGAATGAACCTGGAATATATGTTGTACCTATGTGATTTAATAAACGTGTGTGTGAATAGGTATTTATACCAGCTCCCTAAATTCTGTTTCCGACCATAGCTCTCAGTGACAAGTAATATTCACGCTGATTCGGGTGTGTGTCTAAACGTATATGAGTGTATATACACATGTATATTAACGCGTTGTATACATCCTGGACTTCTTTCGCACCGTACCTATCCAACCGTGATAATATGAGAGAAAACCCAACAGCATCATCACTTACTCCGCTTACATGCGAGTCCAACGTTCAATCAATCCACGTTCACACCCCGTAGTAGGTGAATTCACTCACCTGGCAGGTGCTTGCAGGGCTTGTCATCTGGTACAGGGGATCCAGCCAGGTCGGTAGAGGAGGAGGAAGAGGCGTTTCTGTTGCCGACGATTGGCTGCTGCCCGACTCCCTCTCCTCCTCCTCTTCCTCCTCCTCCTCGTGGTACATAGTCCAACACGTCCCGTCTTCCCTGGGAGGATGGCTGGCCCGGCCGAATTTGGCCGGGCCGGCTCAACGGACTTGACTCTCTGGCTTCGCGTGAGCTGGGCTTGAACGCCTCGAACACCTCTCGTATACAAAAAAAAAAACCTCTCTATCCGCGCCTCCTCACTCTCGTCCCGGTGTTGGTGAGTCACATGTGGCGAGCACGAATATATAGAGCGGCGAGGCGGGGCGAGCCGCTATTCCTACCGAGTGACGCGCGTGACCTCCCTGTTCCGGAATTCCGCGCGGGGGTGTCGGAGCGAGATGGTGTCGCCCCGTCGGTGCCTTCTAATCGCATCTCGCCCGCACCACCACGGGAATCTTGACATTGTCTGCGCAGCAGCAGAAAGGGGCCGTCGCAATTGCAATTCCGCCGTATGCGCTGCTCGTGGCGATGGCGCGTTTTTGTTTTGTGCGTAAGAGTCCACATGTCGTTGTTGGATTTTGAGCGCATGACGACGAGCCACCACCGCTAACGCGAATGGTTGAGTCCTATGATGTTGTCGGCTTATGACCATACATGGTATTAGTGTGCACGTTGTAAAAAAAAACGAGGGTATCCTTGATTTTGTGACGTAGGAGGTGGAATTCCCTTTCCGTCTCGGGCGACGAGAACGGTGAATTCTCGCGATGAAATAAATTTAACGTGAAATCAATGTCACCCTAGTCTGTGTTATTGTTAAGCGTATTTGATTGGTTATATGTGTTTTTACAACTCGTTGTTACATTAATTATGGTAATTGTGTTTTCAGCGCTAAATATTGGAGGGCTAGATTATACGTTTCTTATTCGTGTCTAAAATGTGGCTTCATTATTCCAAGTTACATCAAGGCGCTTTGATGGCGACCTGAACAATTATCCAGATGTTCATTCAAATACAAGCTGGAGAAGCGTTACCCTTCATTTGATCGCGGATGAAATCACCTGGGTTGTTATGTGAGTGTGAAACAACGGGACACTCGGGAAAAGCTGGCTGCTGGAATCATCACGCACATGCGCGGCCTCCACTGCGACACGAGTTCCTTCCTACTTCGCGCGGTGTCGTGGGGGGTTGTCCATACTTCACCGCGCCGGTGGTTGTGGGTTGGCGAGATTAAGAGTGCTGTGTGTATGTTGTTTGTCTCTCTCTGTGTGTGTCGGTGTTGTGTGTCTCTCTCTGTGTGTCTCTGTGTTGTCTCTCTCTCTCTCTGCTTGTGTGTCAGTCTGTGTGTCTATGTTGTGTGTCTCTCTCTGTGTGTCTCTGTGTTGTCTCTCTCTCTCTGCTTGTGTGTCTGTCTGTGTGTCTATGTTGTGTGTCTCTCTCTCTGTGTGTCTATGTTGTGTGTCTCTCTCTGTGTGTCTATGTTGTGTGTCTCTCTCTGTGTGTCTCTGTGTTGTCTCTCTCTGCTTGTGTGTCTGTCTGTGTGTCTATGTTGTGTGTCTCTCTCTCTGTGTTGTCTCTCTCTGCTTGTGTGTCTGTCTGTCTGTGTGTCTATGTTGTGTGCCTCTCTCTATGTGTCTCTGTGTTGTCTCTCTCTGCTTTGTGTGTTTGTATGTGTGTCTATGTTGTGTGTCTCTCTCTGTGTGTCTCTGTGTTGTCTCTCCCTGCTTGTGTGTCTGTCTGTGTGTCTATGTTGTGTGTCTCTCTCTGTGTGTCTATGTGTTGTCTCTCTCTGCTTGTGTGTCTGTCAGTCTGTCTGTCTGTGTGTCTATGTTGTGTGTCTCTGTGTGTCTCTGTGTTGTCTCTCTATGCTTGTGTGTCTGTCTGTGTGTCTATGTTGTGTGTCTCTCTCTGTGTTTCTGTGTTGTCTCTCTCTCTGCGTGTGTGTCTGTCTGTGTGTCTATGTTGTGTGTCTCTCTCTGTGTCTCTGTGTTGTCTCTCTCTGATTGTGTGTCTGTCTGTGTGTGTCTGTGTTTTGTCTCTCTTTCAAATTTTGTTCTACCTGATGACGGTTGCCTGTGTTGCAATCGAAACGTCGTACTCTATATTTTTTATATATTTTTTTTTCGACGTGACTTTACCGAAAGAACCACATAGTGAGTGCTGTTCATGCCCGGTTTGTTTTTTAATGCAATCGACATTGACACCACGAAACACGACCACGCACCCACAAACCACCGCTCGTCTCATCCATCGAATTCCATCACCCCGCACACAGTTCGCTCCGTGTCAGATCCGCCAACGAAATCAATCGCCCTTCCCTTGTCCACCTCTCGCGCGGGAGAAACTAAACCGTGCGCGCCGTGGGAGCCCTGCGCTGTCGGGATCATCCCGTTGTTCGCTCCTCTCCTCTCCCTCGCCGTGACGCAAAGCCGTCATCATCAAGACGGTCGCGTCCGCGGCGGCCACTCGGTTCCTCTTCGCGCCGCAGATTCTTCACGAGGGATACAAGTGCGCCACCACCACCCCCTCCTCCACCACCCACCCATCGCCGTGACGTCGCTGCGCCTACCATCTGAACAAATGTGAAATCTTCCGTGCGGAGCGCGTGGCTTTGCGTCTGGAACTGAACCGTCGTTTGCCGTGTTGGCTGGGCCCGTGAGACGCTTCCGTGAGCCGACCGACTCATGAGGTGTTTGTATCTTGAGATGCGGGAAGGGGGGGGGTCTTTGCTCTGGACACAGGAACGCTTCGTGTTTGGTCGATCAGCGTGCGCCGGTCCGTGTTGTTCTTCGCAGAGACGCGCGGTTCTCGTGCCCGAGTTGGGTGTTGATTGTAAAGCGCACGGATTCGACCTCTTACTTCACTACCATCGTCATCATCGTCATCATCATCGTCATCAATCATCATCGTCATCATCAACCATCATCACCATTCAACCATCATCGTCATCATCATCATCAACCATCATCATCAACATCATCATCAATCATCGTCATCATCAACCATCATCATCATCAATCATCATTATCATTCAACCATCTTCATCATCAGTCATCATCCAATCATCATCATTTAATCATCAATAACCATCATCACCATCATCATCCTCCTCCTCTTTATCGCCATCACCATCACGGTCTTGATCGTCATGGTTCAATGATCGTCAGCACCATCACGGTCTTGATCGTTATGGTTCAGTGATCGTCAGCACCATCACAGTCATCATCGTTCTTCCTCTTCCTCCTGTTCTATCATCACACTCATCTTACACCGTTGCTCCAGCACATCACCATGACTACAGTATATACGCTACAAGTTAGATGTATTAGATACACATAAATAGCGTATACATCCTATTATCACGCATCGCTGACTCATTTTGTCCGATTAATGATATGCTGATGGCGTTTAGTGTTCAGTGTCGGGTGGAGCGGTGGCTCAGTAGTCAGCGCACTGCGCCGCGAATCCAACCGGCTGGGTTCAATTCCCGGCTGTGGCCACAAATCGCCAGTGACACGTTTGATCTCAACCTGTCCCGGGCAACCCTCAGCGTCCACTCGGCCCTCAAATGCCGCGTGTGAATATCCCGCAAACGACAGAATCGACGACCGGGCGTGGCGCTGGTCACACCGCTCCCCGACGCGCGTGATCGCGAACAGGTGCTCGCAAACAGCGCTTACCCCAACAGCCCTACGAAGCCGAAGGGAGTATACATTTTTATTTATTTTACTTTTATTAATTTAATTTTTTTACCTACGTGGCTTTACCGAAAAAACCTAAGAATATGAGTATACATTTGTTTTTTTAGCCTTCTTCTTCCTTTCATGCGTTGTCTACGTCACGTCCACATGGTTCCTACAGCCCCGAGGTGGGGATGGCAAAGAGAGACGCTCGTCGCATGCGGTGCGCGCGCGCGCGGGTCGTACGGTTAAGCGAGTGTGAGTCGGGTGCTAATGCGGCGTGGAGGGGACAGGGGAGGGTGAGAGAGGCGGGGTGTAGTGGATGGAGCTTGTGGGGATGGTCAGAGAGAACGTGGGTGTATTACGCAGGATGTGTGTGTGTGTAAGACGGCGTGTGTGTAAGACGGCGTGTGTGTGTGTGTGCGTGTTCGTTGTGAGGAGCGGTGGTGCTGCGGTCATTGCGCCGCGCAACGAAGCTGGCGACCCGGGTTCGATTCCTGCTCACGGCCAACGCCAGTGACGATTATCTGAACCGGTCATGGGCCTCCCCTAGGTAGACTCAGCCTCAAATGAGTACTTGGTGCGGTGTAAAAAAAAGCACTGTGGCTGAAACGCAGAGCGTGGGGAGCACAGCGGGTGAATCTGCCAGGCATCTCAGTCAGTCCAACCCATGGCACCTGGGTCCGACACCTCCTGCCAGCGGGCCTTCGACACTTCACGTGGCCTCAAACGCCGTGAACGGCGGTTGTTATTACGTGCCGTTATATGGGTATGATCTCGAATTCAAGTATTCCTCTCTCAGTGCAATTCCAATTCCACACCTCTTCGTGTTTCTTTGCAGACCGTTCGGGTGTTCTTCCACGTTATCTGTCAATGTGCACGTCACAGCAAGGGGTTGGTTCCCAGTCGCAGCAGACATTCGTGACCAATTGGGCTCCCCTTCACCAACCCCCAGTGACCAGCGTGGTGAAGTATGGTCAAACAACCCCCACGGCCGACACAACGTAGAGGAGGCCTTCACCCGGCAGCGGATTGCAAAGCGCTGCAATGTTCGCTGCTTACTGATATTGTACAGTCTTTGCATGATTGAGCTTCCATAGCCACGTGGAGTTTGTTGTCTCTAGTTTATTGTTGTTATGGACGTGTATCCATGTGGAGGCCACGCATACCAGCAGTGCTTTAAAACATCGCACACACATCTCCGTTAAGCGCGGTTGGCTACGTACGGTGCGAAAGAAGTTCAACATGGCAGCACATACATACGGTCCAAAGGTCACCGGTTCGAGTTGACACAACGACGTCTGAAAATGTGGACTGCTTCTTGTCCACGCTGCAGTGTACACGAATACACCGTGTGTGTGTTACAAACCGCGTGTGGTCAATCGGCAGGCAGGGTCGGGTGCCGTGGGCTAAAACGTGGGGTAAATACCCATCTTATTCTTAGGTTTTTTTCGGTAAAGTCACGTAGGTAAAAAATTAAAATTTACCTACGTGACTTTACCGAAAAAACCTAAGAATATGAATCCTTGCAGTCACGAAAGCTTCAAATCTGGAATAAATACCCATCTCTTTGGCCAGCG